TGCCGAGAACACCGCAAATGCTCTGAGTCAACTGAGGGTGGGAGTTGCCTCCGATGACGACAAGGTTGCGAACCATATTGTCTGTGTTCGTGGATATATCGGGTCGTCAAGGTTTGAAATAGGAATCAAGGAGAAGGACGCTCTGAAGGAAATCAGGATCCGAGGGATTGAGTGGAGGGGGAAAATCTGGGGGCGATCTCGGTGAGCAGTCAAGGAAGTAAAAAAATAAAGAGAAAATAAGAATATAAGGGTTCTTGAAATTGGAAGACAAATGCTACCTCATGGCGGAGCAAGAATCGAGACTGCGAGGGACAAAGGCATAAAAAAAAAAACCGTCGATGTGAGTCCCGCGATGGGAAAAAAGCCTCTTTGGAGTGGAGCGGACCTGTGGCTGATGCCTCAGGTGGCAAATGACCCGCATTTGGTAAAGCGTATACCGTAACGACGCAGGCCCCGCAAAAAACGACCCTTTGGAATTTGTTTCTGGGCAGGAACACAGTAAATGGCCAGGTTTACTGCTTCGAATTTTCCATTTCCATATACATGAATTCTGCTCAAATCCCCAGTCGCTTTGGAAATAATAAAAAAAGAAGAAACATATTCATGCGTGACTCCTATGCTCCGGTTCCCGATATGTATGTACTAAGAAAAGAAAAAAACATAAAAGAGCTTGGCATAACTCTCCCGCCGAGTGCAGTCTCCGGGAATCCGTTTATTCGCCCGTTCCAACTTCCCTAGAATAGAGTTAGTAAGACTGTTCCGGTATCCGAAAGGGGGAGGGGTTGAGGCTCACAAGTCAAGTTGAACTCCGTTGCTCACTCCATAATCCTCCAGTGTAAGTTGATCTTTGAAAGGGCGTTCGCCTTGGCGTTTGAGAAGGATTTCATGGGGTTCACGGCCGATTCGAGCTGCCACTTGGGCTTTGAATAACTCTGTGTAGAAGTTAGTACAACTGGTGACAATCAATAGTAGAAAAGAGACATACTGATCGGATCTGAGGCAAGACAAGGGATTGCGGCTTTGGTTCCCAGACGATCATTGACATGGACCACAATCATGGGTTCTGATGATTGCGGAGCGACCGGTTTCTTTTCCTTCTTTTCTTTCTTCACTTTCTTTTCTTGGTCTTCGCGTGGCGCATCTCGATCATCACGTCGTGGGGCTCGGTCGCGGTCCCCATCTCTTGATCTATCTCCATACCGGTCACCCTCTCGGTCACGTCGTGGTGATCGTGGTCGGTCTCGATATCCGCGTTCTAATCTGCGATCATCGCCGCGGGAATCGTCGGTGCGGCTTTTGTCTTTCCACCGAAAGCCTCCGGTCGTCTTTCTGGGGCGCTCTCTATCACCATTTTCTCTCGCGCGGGGAGATCTGCTTCGTGATCGGTCAGCCATGACTGTGGATGGAGGAAAGATGAAGTTGCGTGGGTGCCTGACAAGCCCAGATGTAATCCAAACGACGCAGCTGTGAGGCACGTGATGAGATGCAGCTGCCAGTGGGGTACGTTAGTCCCAGATTGAACTAGCGTGTTTATTCACGAGAGCTCTCCTGTGTAAAGTACCTTGGAATCTCTCCGCATGTTTGATCTACCTCTTGAGTAGACAGACTGCAATGGAAATTGTCACTTAGTTCTGGCTGTGCTGTGTTTTTTTTTACCTGAATCCTCCCTACCCAAAATGCCAAGCCGACTAGAGATTCAGCGTCCCTCTCCGACGACCGTCTCCTTCACGGTGTCGAATGCGCCCCAGCGATCGAGTTCCCCCGCCAAATTTCTATTTAGTCTCCAAGTACTGCTACGTACAGTTTTATTTTTCTGTGTGATCGGGGTCGGTATCACGCGCGTCCGGAATTTCTTCTTCCAAGAAGATGGGAGGGTGATAAGCTGGCCAGCCGTGTGGTCAAGCCCGCTCGGATCCAAACTGTGTCGCTTGGTGGATTCATACAACCCGCTGGCAATTGTTGTGGTTGGTGCATTGGTGATATATGGTGTTTTCAGAAGAGGTTATGTCGGTAAGCTGAGAGAAGAGAGTTGGCTTTATTAGATCTGTGCATGGCTGATTGTTCGACAGAGGAATCGCTCTTGGTCATTCGAGGCTTCGGAATCCAGACCTCGACATCGTCCTCGACGTATCTTTCTACTGCCTCAACGAGATTCATTCCTACCACACAAATCCAAGATATTGTGATTCACGAAGCCTTCAAGGGCTTCGAAGTCCGATTTTATTTGGCGGTCATTGTCGAAGGCGAGCCTAATGTCCTGGTGGTCTTCCCGGTATGTAATATTCTCGGCGTTATGTACTCAAAAGCTAATTCTGTGACTAGCATATGTTGCCCAAGCGAGAGGTCTTGGAGCAGGTTTGGAGAGGTTCTCGGCGATGTCTTTACGATGCGAAGTCATGATATGCGCACAGCCTCTGCGCATAAATTTTTGTTTCTGTAATCCCCTATCTTGCTCTAACTCCGAGGTTTGACGCTCTATCAGCAGCATATACAACGAGGTTCATTCCAGTGCCGCCCTTGCAGCCTCGCCCTTTGCTAGCCTTCGCTGCTTTGTGACAAGTCCCTTGGCATTTTGATCTTCCACAGTCTGCATCTTGGCCTTCTCGTCGACAGGGGTATATTTCCCACCAACAGAAGTATCGTTTCCACCATACCAAATCTTGGCACCTCTGTTTGATCTCTTGGAATATCCAGCGTTAAGCCATTGGTCGTCGAGGTCTTCGACGCTTTGGTTGCCCTGACTGGCAGTCAAATCTAGGAGAGCACCCGCTAGAATCTCATCTATCTTGCGCTTTCTCCAGACGGTCCACATTCGTTCAACGGTGCCACGCATCCCATATTTGCTGTCACCCTTGGCACTTCCCTTGCCGTTTGCAGTATTGTCACCAGCATAGACCCAGTTCAAGGAATCCAGGCGGCTGCCAGATTTTATGTCGGGGAAAATGCAGTCCCACAGGACCAGGGGAGCATCGTCAGCCATCGCATAGGTCGGCTTTCGCGGGTTCTTGGCAATGTCCAGCAGTTCAGGGACGATAGATGGGGACTCGAGTCCCTGTCCAACTAGAAACAGAATTGCAACCATGTGTCGCACCTGGTGCCACAAGAACGCAGAACCATGGAGGTTGAACGAGTAGACTTGAGGGATAGTTTGAGAAACCGTATCGGGCGTCGTCAAATCCGGTTCGGGCACACAGCCCTCTTTGGCCTGGAATCCAGGTTGGCCAATATAGCCCACGGGGTTGACCTTGGGATTGACGGCTTCGATACTAGAGTGATGGATAATGCGTTCGAAGTTATCGATCTGCTTGTTGGTGTCCAACTTGCAGAAATTCCGGAAATCATGCAGGCCCTCGAAATGCTTAGCCGCCTCGCGCATAGCCTCAATATCGAGCCACCCCTCGCGGAATGCAGCACGTGGTCCCTTGCCGTTCTGTGCGCGGTTTTGGAACCCAAGGGAGCCAGGAGTCGGAGGGAACGCGGGGTTGGTGAAGAAGTACCTGTACCGACGTTCACGGCAGGAGAAGCGGGCATCGAACCCAGGCGGCGGGTTAGGGCACCACGCTAGAACTCGGATGTCCTCCGGAAGCACTCTGTTTAAAATATTGATATAGTTCATCTCATCGGCGACATCATCCCACTCCTTTTCAGTAGATCCCGAGTCAATGTTCATCGCATCCTCGCCCTCAGGGGTCTTGGGCATGGGTCGTTGACTGCGGACCCGCAGTCCAATAACCTGCCCAAAAGCGCTCACACCCTTATCTGTGCGACCTGCTTTAGAGTAATCGCATCCATCCCAGTAAAGGTGGTAGGGGTGCATGGGGATGCGCACCCCTCTCTCGGTTGGCTCAAGATCAGAAGTGGTCTCAGGGGAGATGAGCCGTGTACGCTTCAGGGCCTTCCACATAATCTCTTCAACGGTAGGCAGAGGCGTTGTATTGCCATTTGTATGTTCGAGTCCATTGTATTCCTGGCCCAGGTATGCGAACTTGAGCGCAATGAACCGCGTTGTGTATTTGGAGGGGTCAAAAGTGCGCTCGGGTTTGGGGGGTTTCGGTACTTTGACAAAGCGCTTCGGCGCAGCCACCGGGGTAGCGTCGCTATCTGGAGGAGAGTGTGGTCGCTTCTTAGAACTATTGAATGACTCGGTGAGAGGGATCGCAGGTTCCTGGATGTCGGCAGAGATTGGCGCAGAAGCAGGGTAGGGTGTCTGTGATGGCTGTACGGTCGGCGCTGTGAATCCCGTAGTCTGAGAATGAAGCTGGCGCTCTAGCTCTGTGATGCGCGCGATCAGGCTGGAGTTACTCCAGGCCGAGTAGTCGGTTTGGTCCTGGATGTTGGTGTCCGCCATGGTTTCGGGTGTGGGAGTGCGAGATTGGCACAAGTTTCGGGTTTGCCTGAGGACTTGTTGTAGGTTGCAACTCAGTGGAACGAGTCTCGCAGGCGCTTTCCACATACCACGCCAAGCTACTGGGGCTGAGATCGGATTGGTGTGGACGTTGAAGCGGCGGGGATCGAAATTGAAAAAGTTCCGCGGAGGCGCTGTTTGGTGTATTTTTGTATTGAACGGCTGTATGGTAGTGTAATTACATGCGCTCCATGGCAAAATATTTATGTATTTATCGTATACCACTGTACTGGGAGAATTTAACTGCAAATGATTTGCTGTATGTCTTCTTTGGCATATTAAGTTAGGCAATATAAAATTTCAATAAGTATAAATGAAATGGAAGTTAGGGCTGCAAAAACAATATATAAATCAAGCATGTTAGATTCCAGAGGCCGCCAAGCATTGAACCTTATCCCAAAGTCCATCACCTCTTTAACCTAAAACGCACCTACTGTTCTCTGAAATGAGATTGTGGTGATACTACTCATATAGACTGTCCTGTAGTCCCAACAGAAACAAGTGTCTGCAATATACTTGTTGATTAACCTGCCGAAGGGAGCAAGTTGATCAATACCTGGACAGTTTGCACATAAGTCGAATCAGCTGTTCCAGCATGGCTGAGGTAGATCCTCAACCGGAGAATGCCCAATCAGTCTCTTTACTTCTACTCGGAGATGCAGGATGTGGGAAATCAACATTCTTAGCGTGAGTACCTAGTCGTTCCACGAACTGCGGCCCTGGAAGCCATGCTTGCAATCTCCAAACGATCTCCATGCTTATATATATAACATTATATGGGGAGAAGCTAACATGATTTAGTCGGCTAAAGAGTGGAAGACTGTCCCCGTCAGGGCCCTCTAATACTGATCCAAATACCCTTGAACTATTGCGAGATGGTGATCAACCTTTTATTTACGACATCCGGTTCTCAAAAAAGAAATTCACTCTAGAACTTTACGACACATCCAACCCGAACCAGCATTGGACAAATCTTCGGCCTGACGTGGTTGTTATAGCCTTTGATATCTCTAATCGAGACACACTCGATGGACTAAAAGAGGTAGGTCTCACATATATATATCCGGAGTAATTGTCAACTTATGCTGAAATTCAATGCTCCTCCTTAGTGGCGACACGACATTACTCGTTACTTCCAGTATGGTCATGGCGAGCGTCTTCCAGTGATGATGCTAGGCCTGAAAAGGGACCTACGGAGGGAAGGCGAGGGAATCATCTATCCACAAGAGGTGAGTGACTATGAGCTGGAGTTTAACACCTTGAATTGGCTAACTGGGTTGTCTAGGCATATCGTATCGCGCAGGAACTTCGTTGCGATAGATACGCCGAGTGTTCGGCTGTCACAGGCGAGCTGCTCGCAGAGACGTTTGAAGATCTCGCTAGATTGGCGGCAATGGCGACGACTGAAAAAGGTGGTCAGACTGAAGGCACCTCTTGCGTTATCCTTTGAGTATTTTGTTGTCAATGTTCTTCTATCTTGTTTCCCATACCCAGAGATGTATAAATCAGACGTGTCAATGCCCAAGACAGGCTATCTCCACGCTTCAATTTGCCTTGACGATCGATCGGTAGACATTCAAGGCACCCGAGAAGAGAAAGCTACTTCATACCCATTGCTTGGGTATTTTGATGAGGGGCATACTCTGTGATATAGATAGAATGATATACCGAGGGGAACTTGACCTTGTATGGGCGGCATTGTTTCCTAGCAGGTATACGTATGTGATGACACGATCAAGTCTACAATCAACCTGGGAAGGACATACTACACTACAAAACCTACTGGACATGATACCAAGCACAACCTTTTCAGATTACTAGAATACACACAGGGAGAAACCAAGGTAACGATTAAGTCCACCTTGTGAATTGACAGCACAGGGCTTTCCCCCAGAAGCTTCGTAAATAAAAGCAACTGGATCTCTTTCCCTCATAAGCGCCAGTCAATGATTGGCATGGCAATTCCTCCCCTGTGCAAAAACATGGAATAAAAAAAAGTGCTGGTAAAATGAGACCACTGAGGCAAAAGATTGAAAGGATCCCGGTGAAAGCTCGTTTTCTTCTGCTGTTTTTCAGTTTCTTTTGTTTTTTGTGAATTGCACACAGAGACTAGGATAGACATGTCAAGGGAATTTGCGGGAGATTGTAATCCATTGTTGTGAATGGATTAGATGGTGTATAAGAGAAAACAAGAGCATTTCTTCGATTATCAGGCCTCAAGGGACGCAGAAAATCGTCACAATCATCCCGGATCACCAAACTTTTGATCAAACTTCCCCCTTTCAACGACTATCCTCGTCACCGCGGAGCAATTTACCACTTGGCCTCACCAGCGGCGGGCTGAGCCTCAGCCCACTCGGTGGTAGCGGGAGCGGAGCTGGCAGCCCAGTCGGCACCCTCGGCATCCCAGCTGGTGGCACCAGCGGTAGCGGTGGCAGCGGAGGCAGCAGCGAAGGCAGTGCCGGGGTTACCAGCACCGGGGGCGGAGGCATCCCAGTTCTCACCAGCGAAGCCGGACTCGACGGCACCAGCACCGATCTCCTCAGCGCCGGGGACCTTGGTCTCATCAGCAATCTCCTTGTTCTCCTCGGCCTCGGGGTCGCGGTAGAAGTAGAGATCGACAACGGTATCCCACTCGGTCTCGCGGGTAGCGAGGGTACCGCGGAGACGGAGGACCTCACGGGCGAGCATCCACCAGACGAGACCGATGGCGTGGCGACCCTTGTTGTTGGTGGGGATGGCAACATCGACGAAGTCGGTGGGGGAGTCAGTGTCGCAAAGGGCAATGACGGGGATGTTGACGTAAGAGGCCTCCTTGATGGCCTGGGCATCAGTGCGAGGATCGGTCACGATGATGAGACGGGGCTCCTTGAAAGAGCGGGTGATGTAGTTGGTGAAGTTACCGGGGGTGAAACGACCGGCAATGGCGGTGGCACCGGTGTGGGAGGCGAACTTCAGGACAGCACGCTGGCCGTAGGGACGAGCGGAGATGACACAGACATCGGCGGGGTTGTCGATGGCGGCGATGATACGGGCGGCCAGGACGATCTTCTCCCTATTGAAGTGAATCAAATACATTAGATATCATACCACAGTCAGAAGTCCTTTTGATTTCGCGCATACCAGGTCTTGCCAATGTTCAGGACGTTGACACCATCGGCGCGGAGCTTCCAGAGGTAAGGCTCCATGTGCACCTGAAGGTTCTTGGAACCAAGGTGGCACTGAGCGGCAAGGAGCATCTCAATGTCCTGCGCGGTAGGGTTGAAAACCGGGGGGAGCTGGGAAGGGGCCATGTTGGGCGATTGATGGATTGATGAGTTGGAGGATCAATCGTCTGGCTCTTGTCGTGGTGATGGAGGGAAAAAGATCAAAGCCAAGCCGCAAAATTGTTGCACTCTCGCGATTCGGGAGAATTTCGCTTGCGTGCGCTAGGGCTAGGGCTCCAGGGCTCCAGGGGGTATTGTTATGTAATCAATATCTTGGCTCTTCTTTCACGTGATTATGAATGCCTGGGGCAGATAAGATCCCGACTAGGATTAGCGTAACTAGACCTCCGGCCGCAAGATTTCCCGACGAAAGGTCGATGGAAAAGAGAAGTTGATTGTTACAGTAGAGCCATCTACACGCCAGCCACACCCACCATGCCTCCGCGCATCTCAGTTCAGTCCTCTCTGAAGGCATTGACCGGTATGCTTGTCAAAATCAGTGATGTCAAATGTGCAATTACCTGGGTGCTAACCAAGACTTGTTTAGGATCAACCTCCGGATATAGCCCGTTGTCCAATTCGATCAACACTTCTATCAGAGCTGCGTCTAGCAAGGTTCAGGTTCGGAGGAAACATGACCCATTTCTGATGGCCCAGGCGCGCCAGCGCAAGGCAGCCAATGTCTCCCGCCAACAAGTCCTTGCGGAGGAACGAGAATCTTCCCTCGGGGACCCTGTCAAGAGCCAGCCGACACCATTTATCCAAGAGATGACAGCAATCCAAAGCAACTCGCACATCCCATCATCTTTGACTGAGGATCTCAACTACTACTTGAAGTCGAATGAGCTGGATGCCGCCCTCGACTTCTCTAAGGATTTGACCGCACCGCTCAAAAATCCCGATCGCAACACAGCGGATCCTCAAGTTGAGAAGGAGGCAATGAATTTGCATAAAAAAGAGCATAATAATGCTCAAGAAGCAATCAACCGGATTGTGAATCTAAACAATGGAAACACCAAGGACCGCGTGCGCCTCAACATTACCAAGTGCATTGAAACATTTGGGCGACACTACACAGACTCAATTCTCCCACCAAAGCCTTCAGCTGTGGCCCATGAGTCTGCCCCGGTTCATCCGGAACGCGCGCCGCGTGTTGGACCCGATACCGGCTCTGCGGAGGTGCAAGCCGCCATCCTAACCGTGAAAATCATGAACCTCTCCCGACACCTCGAGAACGCCAACAAGGACAAACACAACAAGCGTAACTTGCAACTACTAGTCCACAAGCGCGCGAAGCTGCTGCAATATGTCCGCAAGAAGGAACGCGGAGGTCCCCGGTGGCAGAACTTGATGGGGACATTGGGATTGTCTGACGCTGCGTGGAAGGGAGAGATTGCCCTATGAAGGTCATTGTTTTAATAAGAGATCTTTTGTATCTCTACACCATTCTCTTCTTTTGTGATTGGCTGGCTTTGAAAAAAGTATCAGCGTGTTACCTTGTATCATCTATCTAGGAGCTAGCGAGGGGTACTTGTTGGTCCATGTCTCTATTTCCATGTTTCATCCGCAGAGCATCTGTACAAATAGCATTGTTTCTTTTCCCATATCTGTTTTCATGTTCACAAATAAATTGAAGTGGCCAACTTGCTATCGGAGTATAAGCTCTGGAATTTAGTAAATTTACCCTAAATTGTTCTTATATTAGCGTCTTTCGGGTGCCCAGAAATGGTAATCTCTCGGTTACGCTATTTGCTACGGATACAGACTTTAAATGTATAAAAATTTTGGTTACTATATTGTGATGACATATGAGAGAATCCATAACTAGGTAGGCTATTTTGGGCTTATGATTTAAGGGGAGTGGACTACCCGGGAACGGAGTATGCGGGGAGAAGTATCTGATCTAAGACAGGAGAAGAGAAGAGACAGGACTGATACATCAAGTCTAGAATTAACAAGAAATACTCTATGGAATAATATATATATATTGTAGATTGATATCACAGAAGAGCAATAATTGGAACAATAGGCACAATAGTCTCCCTTACCTCAGACACCGCCCTGATACAAAACATTCTGCCGGGTCGCGCCTTCCAATTCTGAAAAGTTACATAGTTTGGTCGAAACCTGGTAACGGCTCCTTCCCTTTTTAATCTGGTTGTCGCGTCCAACCGTGTTGTTTATATTTTTTCTTCTCTTCTTCTTCTCTCTTCTTCTCCTTTTCTCCTCCCCATTATCAACAAAGTTACCATCCAAAGCCATTGCCTTTGGATACTTTGTCAGAGTCTCTGTGATCGACTCAGTGAGTATCTACATATGTTCCTGGTAGCCTTTGGATATCTTTGACTAATCTATTGCATCTCAATAAGACTTCTCTCAGTTTTCCCTTGCACCACCCACCCCCCTCACCTTCTACTAACCTCACCACCCACCTTCCTACTCCATCTTGGCGAAACGCGCAAGATGAGACTGCGGTCGAACCACGTTCTTCCGCCAATCACGGAGTACGTCCCACGCCGCCGCCGCCAGACGCGGAGTGCATCCGCACAGGCTGGGACTGAAGCCGCGACCGAAGCGGCGACCGTGACTGCGCTAGAGGTTGCGCAAGAGACCGTGCCAGAGACACAGTCCGCCGAAGAGAGGCCCGCTCCAAAGCGGAAGCCAGCCAAGAGAGCCGGCCGGAAGAAGGTAAGTTCAGAAACCAGATATCACAACTGTTCATAACTAACCCGTGCTTTTAGAAGGCTGCGCCAAAGGGCAAGAAGCCCGCCGCCACTGCGGACTGTGAAGTCGCCGAATCGCCCGAAACCCAGGAAAACGCCCTTGCGCTCATTCCATCTGTGGAGCAACCTGACACCCGTACGTTGCCCCCAAAGCCCACCAGAGCTCCCGCTCGCAAGCGCATTGTTAGAGGACGAGACATTTCGGCGGCCTTGCGTTATGGCAGTGCTGGCGATCTCCTGAAAAAGGAATATTGGAACCCAACTCCATCTCCCCCGCAGACACCCGTGACGCAATATGCCTGGCCGCCTGGAATAGTCTACAATAAGCTAAAGCGAATCCCCTGGTCACTTCCCTGGTCCCCGCCATCTCCCCCAAGAGCCTGGCCCCACAGACGCTCTCTCCATATGACTGATACCCAGGATGAACCCGAGCTGACCCGCACGGAAGAACCATTCTCTAGGAAACGGAACCGATTGTCCGAAGATGATCCGTCGGCATCGAAACGTCACAAGTTAACACTTCACCCCCCATCCGGATTCGAAAACCGTCCTCGTGGCAGCCCTCGCAGGACGTATGCGGACCGCGCCCGGCGACGCGAAGCGGAAAGGGATGGACGAATCGATCGCACCATTTACCGTTTCCCCCAGCTTTTGGCTCAGCAAGGAGAAGATGTGAGGTCTGGCAATTCGAACCCTCCGACATCTCATACAAGCGAAGAAACCACGCCCCGTGGTAATGGTGTTGTTCCGTTCTCTTCATTGCCTTCTGCACTCCCACCAAATCACAATCAACCCGAAAACCGACCTGGATGGCGACAATGGATATTCAGCTCAGTGACTGGTCTTTGGCGACGAGACAACGCGCCCCAAACTCCAGAGGTCCCACAAGGTAAGTGCCCCTCCATCATGTTATCTATTTACAGTGGCTAACATCATGTTTCTAGTGGCTGAACCTCAACATCTGGGAAATGAATCTTCATCTTCTATCGCAACACCTTTATCAGCTCCACCTTCCTCCGCCCTTGTACCACAGAGAAATTTCGAATCCCCCACTCCACGCCCGCGCATTGCAGAGTCGCGAACCTCACACTCGCGTCTGACAGCCAGCGCACGTGCTCCACAAGTCGGCAAAAGAAAGAAATACTCCTATGATTTGGACCCACCCGGGTTTGATCCAGAACTGCTCGCGCGAATGCGTGCCAGGAAGTCGAATCCTGAGGATCTCCAACCTGTAACTTCACCAGAACAAGTTCGTGCACGCTACGAGAATGAATCGAAGAAGCGCAAGCGATCAGCATCACCCGATGTCATTCCACACCCTCCAGGATGTAGTTACGGGTTTGACCCAGATTACTTCATTTACGATGATGAGGATGAGGACTTGCCCACAGGCGAGCAGGGAAGTCAAGATACCAAAGCCAAACAAGCTACAGTCAGCGATGTACCGGAAGAGGAGCATGTTTCCAAGCGTGTGCGCTCTGACAATACCCTCCTGGAAAATGAACCGGAGGAACATATCTCCAAGCGTGTGCGTTCTGATAACACCCACCTGGAAAATGCACCGGAGCAACATATCTCCAAGCGTGTGCGTTCTGACAATACCCTCCTGGAAAATGAACCGGAGGAACATATCTCCAAGCGTGTGCGTTCTGACAATACCCACCTGGAAAACTTCAAACACCCGGTCGCACAACAGACCGAATATTCTGCCCAAGAACTGCGAAAGGCCCGTGAGCAGGCCGAACAGTACAAGCCCAAGACGCCTAGTCGTCTGCGAGCAGCTCACCGTTTCTCGACCAGCTGCACTGAGCTCATTGAAGAAGACGAAGCTGACCGTCGTCGAAAGATGAGAAAGACGTCCCTCGCGAAGGCTTGCCCCACTGGGGATCTCAACCACATCATCTGGCCGGAGACTGAGCCATGGGTGGACCGTTTCGACTGGGGCCTCCCTGACCTCGATAAGTGGATGACCATGGGCCCCAAACATTGGACAGATGAGCTTGTCGAGGATTACCACCAATTGTTTATGGCAAAGCTTGCCGAGAAGCGTGCCCAGAACTAAAAACCAAAACCCCAAAAAAACCATGGAATTACTCGGGGTTTCCCTGGCCCGCCTTGGAGGCTAGGGCTAGGGGACCCCTAGAGTAATTCCACACCAAAAAAAGAAAAGGAAAGTCATCTCTTTCCTACGTGTACTTAGCGTGATTAGCAAAATGAACCCCCCATGTATGATTCATAATTGTCTCTAAATTTACTAGTATTTTCCTGACAGTTCGTCCCTGTAAGGTTAGACAGTCCTATGTCTTTGTCTCACCATTTTTCTATATTCTGTTTTGACTCTTTTCCCTGGACCTTAGATCTAATCTAGATGAGCATTCAGACATTGAGAATTCAAGCATTAAAGATTCAACTACATATTCGAGAATTAGACTTAAGCCTTGAACTGCGACGGAGTTGGATATACCAAATACCCCGGAGGTCATTACCAACTATGTACACATACGTACATACTATATAGACTTCGGGTACCTTCGTACACCGAGTACACCTTCACGCCTTTGTGCACCGCTAGTCACACCTCGGTGTGCATTTGGTTGGACACACCCATGGACCTATACCGGTAGACCTCGGTGTGCACCATCAGCTACATTCTGGCGTACACTTGTTTCCTCTGAATATACTCTTTTGCTGGATCTAGAGCTATTTCCAGACCCCTAGCGGCGAGAATTCCATATATTCTCCACCCACTCCGTTAAAGATCAATCTGCACTAATCGAAGAGGAAGCCATCCGTCGCCGGGAATGAGAAAAACGTCCCTGCGGCATTCCCTAATGGTTTGAATGACATCCTACGGCCTGAGTCCGAACAGTAGGTCGCGAGGCTTGACTGGAGCCTCCCCAGTCTGGAAAAGACGATAGACGATGAGACTTGTACATTGTATGAGAACTGTGGAGTACACCCATCAAATCTTTATGCATAAACTTGCCGAGAAGCGTACAAAAAGAGGAAAGAATAGAGTCGTGTTTTCTCTTTTCTATACTTCCAATGAACTTAACCCTGACCTTTGCTGGTCTTTGAAAATTTCCCACTCCAAAGTGAGTATATACTACATCATATTTGACTGCTTCTTTAGCATTTGAGCATGTTATCATTGCCCGCTCTAATTCTAGGAATGCTGGTCTACTCATTTTAGAAAGCCGCCATATCTCCTGATTCCAAAGGGTTTGAACAGAGGATAGGTGTACTACTGAGACTTGGAAGATACCTGATGTATGGATAATATAGTAATGATTTCAATTATACCATTTAGAATAGAGTACATATCTATGTAGGTCAACTCGGAAAAAGGTTATGAATATAGCAGGAATCTGTGGTTTGAGAGGACCTTTGCTTTAATCTCAAAAAAGGATCAATATCTTCGCAAACGAGCGCGGCTTTGTGTGGCTTTTTCATCAAGTAGTGCAAGGATATTTCGACCGGACGGACTCAGGATGGTTCAAGGCCATAGTTAAAACGCCGTGTATTATGTATCTTCCATTCGAGGAATTTGAATGCGCGGTCTGGATTTGGGTGTCTAACTAAGCGTCCAGACTTGCTCATAGGTATAGTGAACCAATCGATTTGACGAATCAGGCAACATAATATTTGTCGACATCGAAAACCCATCTCAGATTACAAGCATAATTGATTGGCAAGGCACACCTATCTATCCTATGCTCCTGATTTCCCACCATCCATCCCTAATTGATTATGAGGGACCGAAGTTAGATGGATTTGCTCAACCTGTTCTCCCTGAAAATATCAAAACACTTGACCCCGAGGCCAAAAATGCTGCAAAGAACTTGTTTCTTTCGCAGTCTTTAAGGCTTACCTATGAGATAGAGGTGCAAAGAGCTGCACCCGAGCTGTTGCATACATTTCGTCACAGAGAGACATTGCCTGGCCAAATACTGGGAGCGATTGGGTCCACATACGACGATGGAGAACCATACGTACAAAGCTTACTTGCGGATATCACTGAAGAACATGCCTGGAAGCAGGTGGTTGGGGTGGATGAAAATGACAATCCCAGCGTGTTATGCCCTTTGAAGTATTCAGAGCAAGATAAGGCAAAGTTCAAGGCTGAGTATGCTAAGTGTGAAAAGGACGTCGAAAGGAAGTCACGAGTACTTGAAGAGATAGGTGTCTATATAGGCTGGAATGGTGCAGTGTCTCCTCATGATTACAACGAAGTAGTGAGGAGACTTGCTGTGGCAAAGCAGAATTTCCTGACTCGGGAGTCGACAAACAAACAAGAGAGAGAGCGATATAGGAGAAGGCCTGGCCGTTTCAAGATTTTGTGTGAAATGATTACCTAGGGTCTGAGGCCCTATGGAATTGACGCCGACAAGGACCGCATTCGATGGCCAGAAACGGCCACTTTTGTATGACAAGAATACTAGCGCTCCCTTTGTCAATATTTCGAGGGACCTGATCTTGTAGTTGAACAAACACAAATGGGCCTGTACTTTCCGATGTGATTTTCCTGAATGCGTTGGAAGATTTTCCGGACTTGGTCTGCTATCGTGATACCAAACTTTTATCCTCTGTCTGTTCCCCCTTTTATAAATGCACACAAATTCTTTCCCGTATTAACCATTTATTATGTAGTACTCTTCGATTCCACGGGGCAAATAAGATTATAGAGAAAGAGCACAGAAGTTATAAAAACCGCGGAGGCTACTAAATTCCACTTCTTTCTAGAGCCTATCCGGGCTCCATGTTCTGCCATAGCTTTATGGTCTATGTTCTATGCTAGGCAAGTGTTGAATTCTTAATCTGTTCACAAACTCTCATATCAAACACCGAGTTCAGGTCAGTTGGAATCACACCAGCGGAAACCGCATCTATACAGAAACGTCAGCCACGCACTTAAAAGAAAAGGAGGGTGAAAAAAAACCTTTATATGACCACCGATAATCCCCCAACTGAGCCTTCCAAGTCCAGAATATCCACCCTAGACGTTTCTCATATGTTGTAACCTGGGCCGCGAACCATCGCTTATAGAAGTCGGTGTTCAATGCGGGATCCCAGTCTGCATTCCACCCAGTTTCATCAGCTACACTCAGACTCCATTCACCAACAATGGTTGGTGATAGGTTGTCCAGTAAATTGCTGCATGATGTGTTGAGGTAGGCTTCCTTGGTCTCGATACCGGCCCATTTGAGATAGATGTGGCCATCGTAGGCTGTGTCGTAGATGTCATCGAGGAATTCAGTAGGATCACCGGATCCCCATGCTTTGTTCATCACTTGGATATGGAGATAATCGCTCTTATCGATGTTGAGATTCTTTTCAACCGCGCGGATCGTCTATATTGGGATATTTTAGCATCATGTCATTGGGGTCGGTTCAAAGAATCATCAACTCACCTTGAATGCATCCGGGTAGTAGTTCGACCGCATTGAATTAGCCTTGGCTGCTTCCTGGACCGGCTCATTGACAATCTCAAGCATTCCAACATTGCGGAATTTCTCGCTCTGGTGTATTTTCGTCGTCATCCACCCAAGGAACTCCACTGCTCGGTCGTACTGATAGTCCTGGTAAAAGCTGGCATTCGAAACATATTGACCAGTAAAAGCATTCTTAGGCGTCTGCGCTCCCGGAAGTCCGTGGAAATCAATAACAATATATAAACCCGCATCACTAGCCCATCCGCAAAGCCTCTCAAGATACTCAAACCCACCCCGCGGGAAATGCTCGCTGGCGTAGACAAGGTCTTCCTTCATCCAGTACCCAACAGGCACCCGTATAGTGTTAAGACCATAGCTCTGTATTTCGAGGATGTCGGCCTCGGTAATCCACGATTCCCAGTGTTTTGCAAAGGCGCTGTTGGCTGCGTCCTGGCCGATACTTGAGACGCAGTCAAACTCGGACTCTTGGCCTTTGCAGCCCATGTCGGACCAGACGTCTTGGGCAATCCATGGTTCGAATACTAAGTGATTGCCCATGTTCACTCCGCGGATCTTGCCGTTGGAGGTGGAAAATAGGTTTTTGCCATTGGTTGAGGAGATTTGTTTGTCGGTCTCGGGCAACCAGGCTGCTGTGAGGCCGGATAGGGAGGCAAGTGCAATGAGTTTAGAGATGTTTCTGATCCCCATGATTGTTAGGAACTGGGAAGATGTTGATATTACAAGTGCATAAGTGCATAAGTGGCAGGCCATTCTTATATGATATACTTTGTACATACATTCAAGGATTTCTTGTCCAGCACCACCAGCATCGCCGAGTTACCCCTTCTAGTATCGATTTTCAGGATGAATGGGCAGTTTTTACCCACTCGGCACTACGTATGTATTAGCGGAATCCGCAGCTCGCCGAGGACAGGATTCGGAGTCCGTCGTACCTGGTTCCTTGGATATTGATGCAGTTATGCAAGACAAAGTGGATTTCCACACATGGTTCTAGGGAGATCGTCAGGAGCCTAGGCAGGATCCATTAGCAAATATGGTTCCTCTCTTCCATATGATCCACTACTCCGTACGCTGAGATCATCTATGCCAATGTGTAGTATACTGCAAGATTGTCGATCTTCAACCTGGCCCCGGGGGCACCTCGGATAATTGCGGAATTCCCTCTTTGGGAGGTACACCGGGGCCCGAAGAATACCCGATGGCAGTGCTGCAACATTGTGGATCTAAGCATCTCTGAACTACCTAAGGGGACCTTGGGAGTTAATGCATAATTCCCTGTGAGCAGTGTGGAGGCACAATTATACAAGGACCTGCACAATGATCTACTAGGAGAAAGAAGCTACGTGCTTTTATAAAAGGTGGAATGGATAGAGAAAGAAGGATAACTTTCATCTTGTTCATTCTGTTGCTTTCTATATACGCCTTATCAAAGGGCTTTTTCCAAGGTTCCATCTATTGTGGTATCATACACGATAATGTACAGCTATTCCTGATAATAGTCGAAAGAATCCCCACCTTGGACATAAGAATGAATCCGACTTCTGTGAGTCCGGCCACGCCATCATAGTAGCTTATTCAATCAGGCCGGTCATACAAGAAGGAAAAAATACAAACTTCAAGACTGATAGGGTCCAGAGCTTGAGTGCTTGGAGCTCGACGCGGAGATATAGCGCAGAACAGGCGGTTTGGTCGGATGGTAGGCTGGATAGGACGTCTCAACGACCCGACAACCATTCCATCGAGAATGATGGAGTGAGAAATGGGGGAAGTATAGTAACTCAAAGTCTAGCTTTAGCCGAAGATGTCGAATTTATCGAATTTCTCTTCATTGCTGGGGGTTTCTCTTCCTTGCCAGCAATGAGACTTCCATATTGGTTATAAACCGGCTCATCTGGATCATAAGTTTCCTTACCCCATGGTCCGAGGTCATCATCAAAGAGATCTCTTTCTTGGCCATTGCAGATCTCAGAAAGAGTGATCCAGTTCTCGTCATCAGTCCAGATCCCACCTCGACCTCCACGCACCTCCAACCAGTCTTGCCCGCCCAACAGTGACGACTGTGCCGCATCGAACCCGTGTGAATCACGAACATATTTGCGCAGTAGGGCCCGTCCCCATGGAAAAAACCACATATTCTCCCACCAGGTGTTGCGGAGCTTGGGGTCGCCGTTGAGATGGGCGAGTACCGGCACCGAGGCGGAGTGGACATTCGTCATTAGCGAGATGTTATGCCAGGTGCGCTCGTGCGGGTTCGGGAGCCTGTCCAGTGTGGCATTCCACACCGGTCTCTGGGTTGATTCTCTTGCGAAGCGGGATTGGACGAATGGGTTGGGAAGAGTGGCAATGTCCTGTGGTAGGAGGAGGCGGTGTTCACGCGGGACGCCGTGTTGCATCTGCAACGCGGACATTTTGGTGACGTTGCCGTACTTGACCCACTCAACATCCTTGCGAGACATGATCTGGTTGAAGAAGAGTTGTGATTCGAAGTCGACGCCAATGCCAAATTCGTAGCGGTGACCTGTCTCTAGCCGGAGGCTCATTCCGGTGATGTTTGCTGCATCTGAGATACCCACCATCCGGTAGAGCTGCTCTTTGAAGTCATTGGCTGTGCGCCGCCGCTCCAGTTCTCTGATGACCTCTTGTCGCCCGTACATCTGTGTCAGGGCCTGGTGATCTGCAGACTTGTTCGAGCGCAGCTCAACTTGCCGCAAGACCTCGTCGTAGATCAGACGCAGATCCGCAGCCTGACCAATCACCGCTCCGGGGTTCAACCACCGGGGTCGGTTCAAAGATCCATCCGGGTAGACATCAGTCTTCCAGCCATATACATCCGGAGGTAGAGATGATTCGGGGACAGATGCGCAACCGGGATCGTCCAGCAACCCGGGGAAGCACATCTTACTCGCACCAAAAAGGACGCGCTGGGTATATTTCTGCACCATCTCAGGCGCAGCCTCAGCCTCTTGGCCCTTTACTTGTGCGAACCCAAACTTCTTCTGCAGCTTTCGGTTGTTCTCCCTTATGATAGCCTGGAACCGCTCCACTAGGACCTTCGGTGGCAATTGGAAGAAGCTGTCTGCGCCATCGACCATCAGCACAAAGTCGCGGTCATGCACAGTCTTGCTGTCTCGGAGGTAGTTGCGCGCTCGCGTGATCCGGTCCACCATGCGCTCGCCCTCGGTCGCGCCTGGGGAATCATGCCCGTAACCGACTAATGTGGGCGGCGGGTATCCTAGGATCATGGCCGACGTGAGCGTTCGGCAGACTCCGCGCGAGCCATGGGAGGCTGGGACTAGGACATGCAGGCGCGGGTTGGGCTTGTCCAGATTGTGAGGGAGGGTATCATTGACATTAATGTCGGTGCGCGGAGGGAGGATGACCTGGGCGTCTTCCGGGCGCTCAGGGAAAGGATGGCGAGAGGGAAACTTGGTCCAAAAGTCCGGTTCGACTCGCTAAGTAGATTGTTAGCTTTTTTGGTCTCAAATGTTGGCGGAGAATTTCTTACTGTTGATGAATACTGCAGCATACAAAAGAAGAAGAACAATGCAATCACTGACAAGCCAATTGTCTTGAGGCGATTTGTCCGTGACCGACGGACGTGCCACAGCGCGGGAGATTTGGCATCTTGAAAGTGTAGCGCGTCCTCCGACGCCATCATGCAAAAATAGAGTCGAATCAGATACTGATTAAAGCAATATGGAACATTGTAAGATGTTAGGAACCAAAAGGAACCAGAAGACACCAAACGGGAAATACGCAATCGGAGAGAGAGATCGGCGCAACGTTTCCGGTGCGTCACCTCGTGGACCCCCTTAGTTACATCTAAGCTTGTCTCAGGTTTAATTGTATTCAAATGATATGATGGACTAGATCCCATGTATTTACTTATTTAGAACCTGCACATGTGGCATCAAGATACGTTTCTTACAGTCTCTTATATCACTACTCCGTATTCCATCCATATGTAACACATATATGAATGGATAGAATATATCCCTCAAATTCCCCCTGTACTCTACGAGAACAGCAAAATAAAGTAGCAGTTTGCAGCAGATAAATTGCTCTGTGTAAAATATGCAAAATACTATACAGGTCCAAGTCTCCATGTAGAGAACCAGCTCAACATCCCAGAACCATATATGTACAAACAATGTCTCATTCCAAGTAAATTTCCTCTCTCAGACGCTGCAAGTTCCGGAATAGTCCACCGGCCGGTGCCCCACTGTCACTATCCCGCCGAGCCTCAGACCTGGACTTCGACTGTCCTCGGTTCTGATCCTGCTGGTCCAAAATGCGCCGTCGATCTTCCACAATATTCGCCAGACTGTCCACGAACCTATTACGGGCTTTTTCCTCGGCAGATGTATTCCACACAGTCGCCAGGGTCCGTAGAGCTTCGACGCGGCGGTTGGCTGCGTCAAGTCCGGCGTATCCTCCGCCCTCACTGTCGAGTAGACCCGTCACTTCTGCGCGTAGCTTCTTCATCATTTCTTGGCCCTTTTCTTCGCGGTCTTGGCCTTCGGGGCCGAGGTCTGGTCCTGAGACGGAGATGAAGGAGGATGAGAATGAGATCTCGGATGGGGGGAGCGGCCAGCTCATTGCGTCGCCGAAGGTCTGTACAACGTCTTCTAGACGTGATCGCACTTGGCTTAGTGTGCGGAGGTTCGTTATGTATTCTGGGTCTGTCCGGATGGGTTTGTTCTTTTCGTCTGGGTTTGTTGCTGACTCGTCTTCCTTTGGCGCATCCTCTTCTGGTTCCGTCTTGCGCCCGTCTTCTGGCGAGGGTTCCGGGACGAACTTTGCTATATCGTCGCGTAGAACTTCGGTTAGGGTTTCGGATAGCCCGATTGTCTCGCCTCGTAGGACTTCGACTTCGTAGGCTAGTCGTCCACCGCTTCGGAGGATTTCGTCCGTGAGTTGGGATAATGTGCTCGAGAGACGGATGTTTTGGGCGTTGATTTGGGAGAGGAGGGACTGGACCTGCGTGGACAGCTCTGTCAGGGGCACAGAGCCCGGTGACCGAGAGGCATTGGGTTGTGCTGATGCCACAGTCAGCGGTGATAAAGTGTCATTGAGGAAATCGGCCGGGTCGAAGTTTGGATCGGCGAAGTTAGGGGATGCAGGTTTGACGCCGGCTCGAGCTGACGAGCTATATGTTTGTGATGCCATCTGTATTAAGGCCTGATTTATGAGCCTTGCCAATTCGTCTCGAGACCAATTCACGCTTGAAGGAGAGCTGGCCTCCGCGGGGAGGATCGATATCTCCACGCCCCACCGCCTTCGGTTTTCCTTATATGGTATAGTGTATACTCCTTTAGGCCTAGTTCCTGGCCGCTTTTGACCTGAGATCTATACAACGTAAACAAAAGAAATCAATAGTTATTTCTATCTAACTTCTTTGTTGACTATTTTAATTCATTATGCGTCCCACTGGCTCACTTGCTAGCTCATCCCTGATATCCTGAGGACCAGTTGCCTTCTCATGTGCAACAGTCCGAATGAGATCATCGAGCTCTCGAGGACGAGAAACCGGTCGAAGACTTATCGCCAATGCTTCTGCTTCATTCTCTCTCGCATTTTTCTTTCTCTTTCGCACGAAATAAAAAGAAATCATTGCCAGTAATGCAATGACCCCTAGAACGCTACCGACAGCGGTCCCGGCGACGGCACCGCCTGAAAGTTGAGACGACGAGGATGAAGACGACATTGAAGTAGATGTTGAGCTTGATAATGACAATGAAGTAGACATTGAACTTGAGATCAAATGTGAGGTCGAGGTCGAGGTAGAAGTGTGTTCGCCCAGCTTCTGAGCTATTGTAACCGCAGATGGAGTATCGCAGCAGCTATCATCCTCCCCATAACACCAAGTAGTCGAGTTCGCAGTGCCATCACAAGAGGTCATCCTGGCACTAAATTCCGATCCACCGGTTTGGGTCTAGCAAATCCCACTCATCAGCTGATGATACACCCGAAGTGTTCACCCACAATTCACAAAGGTTTCCAGATTCCCTTCGACATAAAACTCCACTTGAAATAAAAAACATACCGATGTCTTGGTACATACAATTAAACATCCATTAGTCGTCCAATCGGAAATCGTACACGAATTGTGCTAGTATGTGGTATTCGTATCCAATTTTCCGGCGCTGTTTTTGTACGTCAATACATTCATGCACAGTCCGTTGGCAAGACATTCGTCCGCTGTAACTCCGTTGACTCTGTTGCTGCCTGCTGGGTTTTACCGGTTACTGGCGCAACACCTGCTTATCGTGTCTTTGATGGAAATGCATGGTTGATATATAGGATTTGACGAGAGGGTTCCATCGTGGTAGTAACAGAGCGAGGTTGCTAGCGGAGTAAAGGTAAGAATGCTTAGGATGGGAATTAGAATCGGAAAGAGGGGATCTGGCTGGTAGATTGGTTTCATCGTTCTTTGGCCGTAGTAAATAACATTATGGATATTCATAGATAGTAAAGGGTAGGAACTAGAAAAGATAGTGCAGGATCTCTGACAGAAGCTGTAGAGTCAGAGAGAATAATTTATGACAAGTTGAATACGAGATACTGATAAATCAGGGGGTTATGGGCTATGGAGATTACATTCCATTATGGCCTACATAAGTTTAGAGTATGCAGCCCTAATTGATTCTAAGCTATTTAATAGGCCAATCACAGCAATCAACAGATATTGCCTCTAACTAACTAGTTAGTTAATAGCCTGCATATTAGGCTAGTCTAGGATATGCAGCCCTAATTGATTCTTGGTTGCTTGCTGTGCTGTTGGCACCGGATTCGACGACCTAAAGCATTATATAATGCATCACTCGGCTCCTTTTCAACAGATACCAATATACGTACCCCGGGCATGGAGTCCCAGAGGTAAAAAGAGAGAAAGTCAAAACCACAAAAAATAAACAACAATAAAAGCTGGAATGGTGATTATAATGTATTATCTCTGCAGCTGAGCTATAGTTACATCCGATGGAGGCCTTGTATCCCCAAACAAGCCCCACCATGTCAGCGGATCCAACTCCTCCATGAAAATAATATGCACCTATTTACAAAGATAACATTTAACCCTCAATACCAAAGACTCATATCGACCAGGTATTGCAAGAGTCGAGAGTCAAGCGAGGAAGGGGTATAATATCTGATTTCGTAGAAAACAAAAGAAAAAAGCTAAGCACCAAGTTCATGTACAAATTTCGGGCCGGGGTTTGTCGCGTGGAGTTCGGAAGGACCAGTCGTCCTCGTATTCGCCATAATACTAGACGCTCCAGCCTGCGAACTCCCACCAAACTCACTGGGTACTCCGTGTCCGGGACGTTGATATACCATGTTTGGGTCGGTTTGGGTGCTTCCGCCAAGCTCGCTGATTTCAGGGTGGCTTCCGTATGAAGATGTCGTGTCGGGTAGAGGCTTTTGTCCTTTTTGTTGGCGGCGGCGGAAGAACCAGAATAATAGTGCGACGAGTACGATTAGGCCTGCGGCGCCGACACCGACTCCAACGCCAATTTTTGCTCCCGTTGACAGGCCGCTTGCCTCTGTTCCTGTGCCTGGGGCTGCGGGGCTTGGGGTTGCGGGTTCTGGGATGTCTGGGACTGATGGGACTGTTGGGACTGTGAGGCCTGTTTGTGTTGATGAAGAGGTTGATGAAGAGATTGATGAGGCTGCTGTTTCTGATGCTTCGTCGGATGATGTTGTTCGGGTCTTGCTGTCGGTCTTGCTCTCGGTCGTGGTCGTAGTGGCAGAGACAAATAAACTTTTGTCTGATGCTTGCATCTGGACTTGGATTGCTTGCGCCCACATGGTCACAGGGCCGGAGACCTGTGTGCTTTCCTCTTCGGCTTGGCGGACGGTGACAATGGTAGATGATGCACTAGGGAATTCGCTTAGACATCCAGCGAATGTTGTTTGCAGGTCCCTTTTTTCTTCATAGTAGGCAAAGCCACTAGAATATGTGGTCAATATCCGTGCTGGAAACGAGGATAAATGTTCTTTTTCACTTACGAGGGACAGCATACGGCAGTGGTCGCTGGTTTGTGAATCAACAAATCGGCCGAGGTGTATCCATGTGGACAATAACCTGGGCTATAGGCGACAGTTGCCCGAACTCTTCCATACTGGCTGTACCCGGAAGGGAAACACGCAGGATCGGCATTGTCATTGTCGACAGCGTTTTGTATTAGGAGGCCATTTGCGACCAGGTTTGCAGCCTCAGGTTCATATGTCCATGAGTTCGAGCATGAGGCGGGGGCAGTGAAGATACTTGACATGGGCATCGTGATCGTCCCTGTCGATTCGGCCGCCCTTGCGACCAATGTCGCTATAGTAGACGTCATTTTGAAGTTGTATCCGCTAGGTAGCGCTACAAGGTGTTGCAAAAGGGTAGAGTGTATAACGATTGAAAAAGCGAAATCAAAATTTAGCCCCCAATTCGAAAGGGGGCTTGTTTTGACTGTTGTGTATATCTGTAGCGCAAATTCCAAACTCATCTTAGCTCCCCTCGCCACAGGATCTTAGTGCTGATTCTATAATTTTCCTCATCCTGTTGAGCCCTCGCTCAGGATCTCACACTGCCCCAATTCTGGGCAAATTGGTATTCGTTTCTCTATTTCTTGGGTTTAACTCAGTGTGAACTGTCTGGATAATATAAAACAATGATAATTATCAATAACTTTTCTAACTAATCAACGTGGACATTGGAAAATCCCCCCACGGAAATTACCTAGGATCGGCATCACGATGTCCACTAACATACTAGCGTCCTCACAACACCTTTTACCCATTTAATACCAAGATGTCATGTCTTGGCTGCAGCTAAAACTCATCAGGAACGCCATCTGCACAAATTAGGGGCCACTCGTTAGAAAAAATCACAAGATGTATGTAGTTATCGTACATAATACATAGTAAGGTACGGACATCTGAAGTATGAAGCACACGAAAATATGTACGGAGTATATGGCTTTCAGTATTTTCAAAAAGAAGCACAACTCTCAAGAGAATATTAGCTTTCCTATGTGGATTTGATTAATTTAAAAAATGTTTCAGACCGGACTGAACCCTTCTGTCATAGGTCATTTTGAGTGGTTGACAGGTTAATGATCTCCGCATCTGTAGTCAAATGATGAGTCGTGCTTTTATACGAAGTACATATTATCATTGCTGATTCTCCTGGGTATAGAACTTGGCGTGACAGATATAGAGCGAAGATTGCATTGCATTTTACTAAATAAGTAGGTCGAAAGCAGTCAAGACATTAAAACAGCCGCAATAGTAGCAGCAAACGAAGGTGGGTATCGTCATAGATCCAATCACGTCCAGCCATAATACAAAAACAATAAAATTCCGGGAACGCAGACAAATGAGCTGTTGAAGAACAACTTCAGGGGTCCACTTTCCCGAAAGGGCAAGGTAAATCACAAACCGAAGAGGGCAGAGTCATTATCTTCATGCAAGTAATTGAACAATTAAGATAAGGGGGAGGAAAACGCAAAACATCAAGATCACATCTAGATGTCTTCGACAACGCGAGCATTCACTGCCTGCTGGAGTCCAGTATCGACCTGAGAGGTCGCGCCGTACTTGCTAGGCCCTTCACCGAAGCTTTCGGCGGAATTAAGCTGCGTCTGGGCGTTCTGGCCATTCATTCCTGGCATAAAGATAACCTTGCTGTTGGCAGATTTGGCCATGGCCTGCATTGCTTCCAGGTAGCGGATCTGCATAGCCGGAGCGGAGGACAGGATATCGGCAGCCTGGCGCATCAACTTGGCGGACTCGACCTCGGCGCGCGCGGCAATGACCTTGCTTTCACCGATACGCTTCGACTGCGCCGCCATCGAGAGCGAGTCTTGCAGGTCCTCGCTGAAGATGATGTCCTTGATCAACATCGACTCGACCTTCACTCCCCACCCGGCGGCTACCTCCTCGATGATCTCCGAGGTTGACTGGGCGATCTCCTCGCGGCGCTCGATCACATCTTGCAAAACACGTGCACCGATCACGTGGCGCAGTGTGGTCTGGGTGCGCTCGATCAGGGCTTGTCTCACGTTCGAGATACCGAAGGCGGTCTTGTGGGGAGAGACCACTTGGTAGTAGATGACGGAGGTCAGGTTGAGGGTGACGTTGTCCTTGGTCATGCAGATCTGACGGGGCACCTCGACGATTTGAATCTTGACATCAACGGTGGTGATGTGTTCGCTGAGCGGGTTGATCTTGACCAGACCAGGATCGACCGATCGCTCGAAGCTAAAATGATCATTGTCAGTGGGTGATATTCGATGGGGATGACCGAGGGGAGGATCACTAACCGTCCAAATCGCGAGATCAAACCGACTGCACCTTGGTCGACGGGCTTGAAGGGGTTGGGGCAGCAGAAACAGCAGGGGATGGCTCCGAAGAATCCAATACATTCACCCAAGCTGTGGACTAAACGAGGGATTGTTAGGATGAGAGTCACAGCGCGTATGGAAGTTGACGGGACTTACTTAAACCGGCGTACCATCCATGGGCATCTGGGTTGTCATCATCATGGTTGATACGGTGGGCGTATTTGGGCTGCAGATCGCTCATGCGGAATGGCTGGACATCGACCAGAGGTTGATGTACACCACGGTCGGCGGCAGGAGCCTTGCTGGTGCTTGCGCCGTTTACAGACATAGTCAAGGTATTATAAGTTGAGGATAGTGAATGTTCAAGGTAAGATGGTTAGGAAGGGATGAGAGAACCGTAAGGTTTTAAATGCTCCAAAGGTAAACACAGAAGGTACTTTCTCCGCAGTGGAACCATGACACCTCTTTAATTCCAACCCGATTGAATATGATTGGTTCAATCTAAGCCTCTCTCTCTCCCAAGGCTGAGTCTTCGGTCGGGCGCTGGGTCCATATGGGGTTGCCGAATAGCCGCTCCGTTTGCACGAACTCATATCTTATATAGGGCTAAGATGTAAAATAATCCTTCCATTCCTCGAATCGTACATTGTACATTCCGATGGGCATCGTCATACATTGCATATTATCATGTGCACGTAGAGCTCCAGTTTCCAGAAGCCTTCTAAAAGTCCAGGGCGCAAGGGCGCAAAGGCAGATTCCATGTGCGGTGGCGATGCCATGGAAAGACCATATATTGTCACATGAGCTGTCAGACCGTGGAAAATCTTTCGAAAACGAAAACGAATGAGCGAATACGTAACATATTTTGAAGTCTAAAGACCAATAGTGGATGATCTTTGCCCGTACTTGGCCCGAGCATGAGGCAGTGCCTGGAAAACTCTCCGGGGAAGGGCAGTGTTGCCCAGGTGCCCGGCTTGGCTTACGTAGTGGAGGCAAGCCTACTCGCAGCAATGTGCTCTTAATGGTTAATAGTGTGCCATCTTACATCAACTAGCATCATTGGTCTAGTGGTAGAATTCGTCGTTGCCATCGACGAGGCCCGTGTTCGATTCACGGATGATGCACATCTTTTTTTTATTTTTGTTTTTTGAATCTACTATTTGATGGAATATCTACCATTTGGATCCATTTATATCTTTTTTTATAAGCAGGCTGTGTAATAAGTGCAAATATTTTATTCGTTTGGGAAATATCTCATAGTTATTCTATGTTTTGCAAACATTGACCAAATCGGGTAATAACTAATTGTAGCCACATCAAATCTACCACCAAATATATATCACAGTACCAAGGAGAAAAGATAACGTTTCGAAGAAGTAAAGTATAGAATTGACCATTATGATCATGATCAATAGTTAATATGAATATAATTATCTCAGCCGGATAGGAAGTATAGAAAGCTTCGCAACATATGTAAGAAAATATAGAAAAGTACGGGGGATCAGCCATCCGCAACATAACCCTGGAATGTCGCCATACTTCACTCGCACGAGAAAAGATAAACTACATATGTTATCAATTAATTATTCAAATCCCCCAAACCCCAATGTGAAACCCCCACAGTTACATGCTGACGCCATCGGCCTCCAACTGCACGTCTTTTTGCACGTCTCACGACAATACACCGCGGGGTCAATAGATATTGACGTATGCAGGGTCAATAAATATAGTCTACCCCTCTAGAGCTATTGTAGACTCGCAATTCATTCAATCCTCTCTCAACCCGACACACACCATGTCTTCCGAAAAGAAACAACTCATCATCAATGCTTTTGCAATGCAATCGCCGAGTCACCTGAACCCAGGTCTATTCCGTCACCCCACAGACCAAGGCGCAGACTACAAGAATATCAAGCATTGGATTGCTTTAGCCAAGAAGCTCGAAGATGCCAAATTCCACGCCATCTTCTTCGCAGATGTGCTAGGTGGGTACGATGTATACAGAGGTCCTTCAAACCTTTCCCCGACGATTCCTGCTGGCGCACAATTTCCAATCAACGATCCCCTCTACAGCATCCCTGCCATGGCTGCAGCTACAGAATCAATCGGGTTCGGCGTAACAGCTTCAACGACATACGATTCCCCATATGCCCTAGCAAGACGCTTCTCAACGGTAGATCACCTCAGCAATGGTCGTATCGGCTGGAATATCGTTACTTCATACCTCGACTCCGCGGCTCGCAACTTCGGCCTCGATACACAGGTCGAGCATGATGAGCGTTACCGCATCGCTGACGAGTACCTCGATGTCACGTACAAGCTGTGGGAGGCGTCGTGGAGAGATGATGCTGTGACCTGGAAGCAAGGATCCGGGAGCAAGACACAGGCATATGCGGATCCAACTGCCGTTCGTGAAATAAATCACAAGGGGAAATACTTCCAGGTCCCCGGTCCCCATCTCTGTGAGCCGAGTCCCCAGCGCACGCCCTTTATCTTGCAGGCTGGTACCTCGACAGCGGGTAAGGCGTTCGCGGCAAAGCATGCGGAAGCTGTGTTTTTGCATGCGCAAAAGCCCGAGCTTGTTCGTCCGTCCGTCGATAGTATCCGCCAACAAGCTGCGGATATTGGACGCAATCCTTCGGATATCAAGGTCGTGGCGGGTGCGTTGGTGATCGTTGCCGAGACGGACGAGGAAGCGAATGCCAAGTTCGAGGAGCTGAAGACGTACGGTGATCGGGAGGGTGCGCTTGCTCTTTTTGGTGGTTGGACTGGATATGATCTGTCGACCTACTCTGATGATCAGGACTTCCGTTTCGTGGAGCTTCCTGCTGTTCGCAGTATGGTAAACCACTGGGCTAGTACGGTGCCTGGCACTGAGGGTCAGAAGTGGGATAAGAAGACTATTGCAGAGTATTTGGTGCTTGGTGGGAATGGTGTTAAGATTATTGGAAGTGTGAAGACGGTGGCGGATGAGCTGGAGCGATGGGTGACTGTTGGTGACGTTGACGGATTCAATCTCAGCTATGCTAGTCTCCCTGATACCTTTGATGATGTTATTCGTTTGCTGTTGCCGGAGTTGCAGCGTCGTGGTCTGTTCTGGTCGGATTATGCTGTCAAGGGTGGAACTTTCCGGGAGAACATGTATGGGAAGCAGGGTCAGTCCAGACTCCCTGATGCGCACCCTGGTGCGAAATACTTCTGGAAGGAAGGTCAGGAGGTGCCTCCGTATTCATTGGAGGAGTCCAATTAGCATGTAGCATATTTGCAAACAAATCGAAAACTTTACACCCCCTTCTCATTGTTGGATATGTCAGATTTCTTTTACCAATTCCTCCAATTAGTTTCTCGGGCTGGCAGTGCGTAGCTACCAAAGAGATATAGAGATAAATTGTGTAATATGTTGACAAAGAATGCCTAGACTTCCGGGGATGTCAGTCCCATCGAATGCACTCGATAGTCTCCCTACAGCATCTCTTCAACCGGCCTCATAAGCCATTCGTCTGGTATAATTTCATTTGACGTGGCTCTCACTTCCGGGTCCCAAGTCAAGATTTTGCGTATGAACCGCAAAAACTGGTCTTTCTCCTGTCCCGGTGGGATTGTCGTGACAAAGTCCCCGAGAGAGGTTTTTGGTATTAGCTTCTGTATCATAAAACACCAGTTAATGTTTTGCTTGCATGTGACCTACGATTATGTGCTCAACTCAACTCACCATAACGCCAATTGATCATATATCAGCCGGGAATCCCCATGGTAGATGTAAGAGTACCTCCGGGGCGCGGTAGATATCGGACATCCACCAGTCTTGATTCACGCATCCTTCGATCAGACGCATTTGACCATAGTCTGTAAGAATAGGGTGGCCGGAGAGTTCTAGAATGGTAGGTCTAGATTTGTAGACAATTATCAGCAGGGTCCCGTTAGTTGTGGATGTTATCGGCAAACTTGGATCCTGGGATTCCTGGTCCTCAATATCTTGAAGGCTATAGTCGTCATCAAATTCTAGCCAATTCATAGAGAAGAATAGGCGATGTATCAAGGCTTTAACTAAAGCTTTAGGGATCATTGCATTAGGAAATGTCTCCTGTAATGTGCGGACACTGTTGCCTTGAGGCTTATATGCAATGCAGTAATGGCGACCAGAGAGACTTTCTGTTTCGAATATATCACTCGCAAGCCTGGTAAAGTCAAGCCCGGGATGATCCTTATAGCGAACTGCTTCAAACGCTGGAGCATGTTGATTTCGTTGAGAACGGGAGAGGGGTCGGCATTATTGTCAATCTGCACAGAGACCATATTCATTCGCCCTAGATTTCAAGTCAGCAACAGTTGCCGATATCAAAACAACTTTGGCGGTATAAGACCTCTCATCCCTCGCAAGCCAAACAGTGGAGTAGGCGCCATAACCAAGCTTCACAATTATCCGTATCGATCATTAAAAACCTGGCCAATATTGACTGGGTAATAATATTTTCGATGATAGAATGGGACGGTTTGCTCTTCAATTGATTGGCTGTGTGCTGCCGTTTGAGTCAGTCGATGGGGCAGCGGTGCTCGAAAACAACGCGGTCGGATAATAATGACAAAGGGCGAGGACGATGATGTTGTGAGACGCGTTCGAAGACTGGCCATGTTTCTCCTTCACTTCGCGACGTCTAATTGGCAATCAATACGACCTGGAACCCTTCAAAGAGAAGTAATAACCCATTGTAATGCAATATTGTAGATCAGGTGAATCCGACCACTCGCCCTCGCTCTAGTACAAGTTGAAAGCTCAATTAGGGTATTGTGGGGATAATAAACGACTTGAATTTCAGGAGCGTAGGAGCAAGGGTTGATTTGGAAGAGAAGTTGATAATAGGTTGCACCGTCGTTTGCCAGTTGAATAGGAAGAGACTTTGAATTGACGACGCTAGTACCCAGCGGTATAGGCGCCAACTGCCAAAACCCTATGTTGATGCCTTGATGCTTAGTTTTGGCCTGGCGGCCTGAATTAAGACCGGCAGAAGAATTAAAATAACTAGTTACCTGAATTATTATGACACTTCTCTTAATAACCACAGTAGCCTGATTTTGCTGGCGTTTACAACTCTCAAAAATGAAGACTTTCATCAGCATACAAATGCAGATATCTCTATGTTTTTTGGCCGTTTTGTAAGGGTCAAAAATGTAGCTTTGGCTCTCGATTCCTACTGTACAAATGCCTTCATTTACATTTTTAACCCTTGCAAACCGTCCAAGAAAGTCGAGATATCTCACTTTGTATGGAGATCAAAAGCTTCATATTGGCATGAATGATTAACATTACATGGCAAAGGGGCAGTGTGGGGAGCGGCCAAGAACCAAATTAAATTAGCATTAAGGCACCAATATTTACTAGAAATGGGGGTTTGGCAGCTGGCGCCTATACCGCTGCGTACTATGCCCTCCAGATAGGTAGCCACCGGGCGAAAAGGTCCCCTAATGTATGCACGCCGCAAGTATTCTCTTAGTAATTCCAATACCAATAATTAGTATTGATTAACATGTAGTGTGTAGTCCTCACGTTTTTCTGTATTTAGTTGACTATATGCATTTGAAGAAGTACTGTAATTTAAATCGGCGGCATACTCAGTACATGTACATGCATTAGGGACCTTCTCGCCAGGGCTGTCGTGGCAAGGCACATGTACATATAGGTCTTGGAATAATTTCGTCTAGCTTCCACTCTACCAAATCAAACATCCCACCATCCCTCCATGTGAGACTTCAAATCAATCTCCTCCGGCAATCTCAGATGAGGCGTCAGTTCCGCATCAGGAGTCAACTCCTTTGAAGTCCACCCATTCCCAAAGTAAGCAAATCGATTCCCACTTTGATTTACATAGGTATACTCCCAATCCTCCCAGCGCGGATCCCGGCGAATATAATTCGAATGTGACGCACTACCGGGGAAGAGACCATGAATACGAGACCCCGGCTTGCCACCGTTATACCACGAGCTACAGTTCGCCGACCAGACAGTGCGCGGGTAGAACTGGTCGCAGTACTCGACGAAGTCATCGGTCGCTTGCTTAGCCGGGACGATGGACTTGATTCCCTGCGTGCGGATTTTGCGCAGCACTTTCGCGATGTATGTCACTTGGTTCTCGACGTTGTTCGGCACTGTCCCGCTGTGTCCTGACGAGTATGGTCCACCGAGCCAGAGGAGGTTTGGGAACCCTGGTGTTGCGAATCCAAGGTATGAGTATGGGAATCCAAATTTGCCGTCTTGTTTCCAAGCTTTCTTTAGATCGACTCCGTCGGCGATGATGGAGAATGGAGGTGCGTGATCGACGTTGGCTCCTGTTGCGCAGATTGTGATGTCCACTTCTCGCTCCACCCCGTCCTCGGTCACGATGCCTTTCTCGGTGAATCGCTTGATGCGTGTTTGGATGTAGTCGACGTTTTCCTTGGCTAAGGCCTCTAGATATCCTGGTCCTGGTGTTGGGCGACGACACGCTGGGGGAAAGTCTGGGATGATCTTTTCTGCTAATTCTGGCTTTCCTGCAATACGCTGCAGCATCAGGGCGGTCCATTTCTCACGCAGTTCGTTGTTTTCCGGCGTGTCTTTGAAGATTGCACCAAAGCGCTGGAAATATCCCTTTTCGACATCCCTTCGGTATTCCAGATACGCTTTGGGATCTTTCCATGTCTCTAGCTGTGACTCGGAGAACAAATTTGCCTCTAGTCGACGGACTCCCACATTTCCGCTGCTGAATGAATCTGCGATCCAAGTTGGATTGCGTGCGTAATGATCAACGTGGCTAGCAAATGGTTGAATGGATGGTAGGACCTGCAAGCCGGAAGCGCCATTTCCGATAAGAGCAATTCGCTTGCCTTTCAGATCGATGCTTGGATCCCAGTTAGACGAATGGAATAGGTCTCCCTTGTAATTGTTGATTCCTTCATAGTCGGGTAGCTTCCAGGCATTGAAATGACCGATGGCGTTGATTACCACGTCCAGCTCTTCTTCATAGATCTGTTACATCGGTGTGAGTATAGAATATCAAGTATACATCGACAATTTCTCACCTTCGAGCCATCCACATGCTCAACAGTGACATTCCATTTCCCTTTCTCGGGCTGCCATTCGGCCTTCTGCACTCTTTGTCCCGCTCGAAGGTACTGGTACACATTGTGCTTCCGTGCAACACCCTGCCAATATTGTCGAATCTCATCTCCCTGGGCGAATTCTTCCGTCCATTGGGTATTTGGTGAGATGCTGGATTGATATACATGTGCAGGGATATCGCATCGAACGCCGGGATATGTATTCTCGAACCTGTTGATCCGAGTTAGCAACTTCCGCTAATGAAGACAAGAGTAGAATGGAGAATGTACCATGTGCCTCCCTAAAGAATGTGGGTTAGCTTCGAAACAACTCACTGATTAACAAGTACATACCACATCCGCATTCTTATCATAGATTCGAAGATCAAGTCCTGGCAGTTTCGCAGGGAGCAACACGCCCGCGGTAATCCCTGCAAGACCTGCACCGATAATACCGACCTTGATGGGTCGCACCACATCAACCGGATGTTCCTCTAGTTCAAATCGGAGTTTTTCAATATTCTCTGATAATCCGTTGATATCACTCTCCACCGTTACAGTGGTTGGTCCATTCAAGTCTGAAGGACCCTTAATCGATTCCGAGGCAGGTCCGATATTCGCCAGCGAGGGAAGAACTACCTCGGGAGCTTGCACAAGAGTCATGGCGGTTTTTTTGCTTTCTCTTTTCTATTGGAAATTCTTCAAACAATCACAGCATAAATGTATGGAGTACCGCTGTCGCATCAAGTTAGATATACTGGCATTCTTGTAGACGACCTAACACCCCGCGCCTGCACGTCATGCCCAACGTTTCAAACGCCACCTAATGCGAATTACAATCCTGCACATCGAAGATAGACGGCTTCATTTGGATTGGAGTCGGATATGCGACCATATTGTGATGTTCTCAGGATTGATTTGAGGTAGCTAACACCATCGCGGTCCGCGATGACGTGCCGGGGCTATCGTGAACACCATTCTCTCCACTCCCCACGCCATTGCGGAGTGTACTTGGAGTATTTGGGGTATTTGTTTGCGAGATGTCGCCATTTGATATATCGGCCGATTCGAGTGATTTGGGAATATTCCAGAGGCCTAGTACGTGCCAAAATCTTTTTAAGATATTTAAATTTCTAAAAGTTCAATTTATATTCCTTATAAGGCCGAGGCTATGGTTATCATATGATCAAGCATGCTGAGATTGGAGCTCGAGGATGCAGGCTGCCCAGTGTGACGTTGTTCACTAATGTGAAGGGGTTCGGAAATGTTGGATTCTATACAAAATTGGGGTTTAGTGAGATGACAAGGAGAATGAAGGATTAGTTTGAAAATGTATACTTCCAAGTAACTCTTAAAGAAAAGCAATGCTCCATTGTATAGGCCTGATTATAACTAATGTCGTGCAGAAAGTATCAAAGCCGTAAACGGCAATACCCCCAAGAACCCTGAAATGATACTTAATGCTGTAAAGTCAATCCTCGCCCCAGAAGTGATTATGCATGACCAACACTTATTTAATGTTATAACAATAATACATAAGCTAAAGAAGCAGGTCCGAATAGCACCGAAAGAAAATTTGTAGATAACACTCGTGAAATTGAAAGTATTCGATTATACCCTTAAAGAGCGAAGCTATTCAAAGCAAATCTAGGCGACCTCAGCCTCAATGACCATCTCATACTGTTGAGGGTCGGGCCAAAAGTTAACAATTTGAAGCCCAGCATCGGTCAACAGCTTCGTCCATGCGCCTTGTGTTCGCTCAGAAGCCGATAACAACGACATCATCTCCACATCCATTGTGGCCTGACTGATGCTCGCTCCTGTGGGAGGAAGAACAATATCATAAATAAAAAGCTTAGAATAGCCCTTGACCATTGCATTTTTAGTGTTCACAAGCAATTGCTTAGCCTTGTCATCTGGCCAATCGTGAAGAACTGCGTGCATAAAGTATGCACGACTCCCTGTGGTTTGGGTGTTAGTAGATATGTCCGAGTCTCTGCGCTGGGGTTGATCTTACCTTTCACTGGCTGAGGTAAGAAGAAATCATGAACCATAGCCGTGATCTTATCATCAACTGTCGCTTTGCCAATCACTTCTGGAAGATCCTGCAGGACTAGTGATCCACTGGGAAGGCCTGGATGTTTTGCAAGAACGTGGGAAATATCAATCCCAGTGCTCCCACCAACATCAACCACGAATGGAGAGCCATCGTCTAGCTTGGCACCCTCTAGCAACTTTGTTGTATCATAGACCTTAGTCCACGGAGTTTTCCATGCCGTCCATGCTTCCATGTGGCCATTGAAAGCTTCGTAGCAAGCGGGGCTTCTCTGCAATCGCCCAAAGAAGTTGAGGCCGTCGGGGTCACTGTCCGAGTGATTATTAGTATTGACTTCCGTGGGCTCTTTGTAAGATATCTTTGCTAGATAAGTCGGCAGGTTATGACCAGCAGCAAGGTATTGATTAGTCCTGAAATATCAAAATATTAGTATGACACAAGACCAATAATAGAGGATATTCTTACGCTGCTTGAAGTGAGGCGCGGACCTTGGTGCTCTCATCGCCGATAGCGTTCGAGAACGGAGTTGGTTTGAATCTGTCTTCCACTGTCTCCTCAACAACGTTGAAAGCAGCCAGCAAGCGGAACAATCGACCTGTGTCATTTCATGAGCCCTGCTGGGCCGAAGTGTGAATATTATGAAGAGAAAGCTTACGTAGTAGGTTTGTATCGACAGCGGGAGTGGTAAATGCGACCAGTTCATTGATAGACTTCTCCCCTCCTACTTTCGTCCAGGACTTCCAAAGACCCAAGTCGATGCATGTCTGTAGAGCGGCAAAGACGACAGGCTGTTCAAAACAGAAGCCCCAGGCACGCTCATATGGTGTCTCCACCCTGGCAAGCAGTCGACGGGCTGCAGCGCGTACCTTTAGACGTTCGACTTCGTTACCGCCAAACACCTCAGGCTGAACAGCGTCGAGGGAGTCAATTATTCTGTTTGTTTCAGACGGCAGTCGATCTGCTGCATGAGCTTGGACGTGCTCTACTCCATTACCGCTAAACCATTTAGGCCTAGCTGCAGCAAGTGCTGAAATGATTTCTGTTAGATATGACATGTTCCCAAGGATTGGAAAAGGAATAACCAGGATGATGATAAAATGGTATCAATCAGACTGGCGGTTCGAGCTACAGTATAAGTGCGACCCGAGCCTTTGTAATTACACCACATGTCGTGACATGACCTCCAGGGGTTTCCCTAGTGAAGGTCAATTCCCAGCGGATTACCTGCTTTAGGCAGATGTGCGAAGTTAACTACGTCTCGGGACTTCCAAGGTTACTCCGTAGGCTCACCAGTACTCCGTACAAAGTTCAGTCCAACTCCCCCTCTATTCGATTTGTGATAGCCTACATTCTCGAGGGGATATTCATTCATTTAACCACATTCAGAAATGATCGTTGTGTGGCGGCCGCACCATTACAAGGGTAATATAGCCGGGGAAGCGGGAGTCACTGTCTTTGCGCTAGAGCGGCCCCGTTATCTGTCAAACCCTAAAAGGATTGGACTTTTGTTTCTGGAACTACGGAGTAGAATCAAGAAGTTTCACAGTACAAAGTGTCGATGTCCGTCCGATATTTGATAATTAGATCGTCGATGTCAAATCTAACCTGACTATCTGGCCGAAGCTCAGAATCAAATTCCCATTTCAAGGTTGAAATTCAAGACTATGCTGGCCGTACTCCTCGACTCTAAAATTCAGGATTGTTAAACAGGACATACGTTGCACACCACATAACCTAGCAAAATGAGAAGACATTGGCAGTGTTCTTCAATTTTCACTTCTCGTCCAGCCCATCCCCGTTCATGTCAGACCCACATCTGTCCAAGGCCCGTGTTGGATAGCTCACAACATGGCCGGCTTTATAATGGCCTTTTGTTCTCTAGTATGTTAGAGAAATGTGGGTTTGTGGTGTGGAAAGGTCAAAACTAATATAAGCTACCGAGTAAAAAGTACGAAGTACGTGCACGTTCTTTGTACCTATTGTGGAGCTCGTGGGATCACTACCCATAACAGCTTAGTATGGGTCCTTACAAAGTAATGAAACTTGACAGGGTTCAATACTTAGGTCATAGTACACTGTCGCGCCGGATCATTGGTAGGAAATAACGTCGCTCAGGGGACATTGCTGAATGTCTGGCGTACCTATCGACAGCAGGAATTGATGTATCTTAACGTATAGCACACAATGATATAAAATTTGTATACTATTAAACTGGAGGCCGGGTCCTGCTATCTGAACAACGTTGTTTTTGTCATTCAGCGATCCTTCTTTTTTATCCTGAACCTGTATTCATCTTTAATATGGGTGTGTATGGAGGCTTAGGGCCCATGACCAATGCGGTCCTCTGGGTGGAGGTTGTTGTATTCGCACTTTTTGTAGGGCTAAGGCTCTATACCCGAAAATACATTCTGAACTCCGTTGGTCTTGACGATTATCTAGTTTTGATTGCACTGGTGAGAACAATAAACCACGGTACTGCCTTCTTCGTGCAAATTCTAACATGCTGCAGGCTCTGCACATCCTTTACACTGTCTTCGTCACAGTAGCAAGCGTTTACGGCCTCGGGAAACTATACGCTGATGTCGGTGATCCAGCCATCTATTTTACGGCTGTCAAGTATGAATTATTCAGCCAGGTAGCTGGGATCATGGTCATTGGCGTGGGAAAAGCGGCTGTTGGCGTGTTCCTTCTTCGAATTGTGCGGAATAAAATCCAGATCTGGTTTATCTGGGCTTGTCTTGGAATCACTGCTTTTATCACGCTTTTTGCCAGCATTACTGTTATATTGCAGTGCATTCCAGTTGAGAAATCCTGGAACCCAACTACACCAGGCTATTGCTGGCTCGATTTTTCCAAGGTTGGTTACACTGTTGGATGTGAGTGCTACAGTTGCCCCAGGTTGTATATAAGAATACTCATCCTGGCTTTTATAGCGTGGTTTGTCGCCGCAGACTTCTCGTTTGCGATCCTCCCATGGTTTATTGTCTGGGATCTCAATATGAAACAGAAGGAAAAGTTCACCGTTGCCTGTGGTCTCAGTCTTGGAGTATTGTGAGTTTCGGGATATTTCGCTCTCTTGAATATTAATCTGACAAGCACACCCTAGTGCTGGAGTATGTGGCATTATCCGTACCAAAGCTCTGGGAGGATTAAACGCATCTGAGTACATATGTACGTGCTCTGAATTTTTTTTTCATGACGATAGAGCTGACCTGACTCTAGATGATACGGTACCAATGCTTATCTGGTCTGCCACCGAAAGCTGCGTCACGATCATGTGTTCGTCAATCCCCGTCCTCCGTCCTCTCTACATCCGCGTCAAATACGGAAAGAATGGCAAGAGCAGCTCTTCGGGCAACACCTCCTACAAACTGCCAATATATGGCAATGGTCGAAGATGGGGCAAGTTTTCCAAATCTGGCCTTGATTCTTCTGCGGAAGAGCGTAGTAATACCTACCACACAACCGTCATGAAGAATAGCACAGAGAACACCAGCGATGAGAATATTCTTCGAGGTGCTGCAGGTATTGAAAGGACAGATGAGATCTCAATTAGCTATGAGCAATTTAGCAAGAAATGCTAGGGATAGACTCACAGATGGATTCTCGACCCAAAGCCATGCGATTTGAATGTCAAAAATTTGGTTTTTATATATTCTACTCCTTGTAGTCTGTTTTGTTAGGAAGAAAGTGGCTTAGTTCGGCCGAAATGTTGTCTCATGTTTAATTTGTCAACTAGCGGATTTCACCGATGACTCAAATAACATCAGACTACAATTTCTTCAACTACTACACAACAAAATCTTCTTCAGATACCACCCATTTCTTGAAGCCCAACTGCATATATTTCGGAATAAAACCAAGCGGCACCCGACCTTCACATCCGTCATGTCCTCTGCCCCGCCAACAAGTGGACTCCCACCTAAGACATGGACACGAGATAACAACCGCGAATTCTTCATTTCAACCGAACCAAGCCTACTCTCTGTCAAAGCAGTCAATGATGCATTCGATAAAGACTTCGTTTATTGGGTCTCAAAGCCCTTCCCAGAGAAGGTGCTGTGGCAGATGCTCCACGGCTCCTTGAGTTTCGGCGTGTACAGGTGGACTCTACCCATAGAATCTGTAAATGATTCTACCACGCCGTGTTCGGAAAACACTGAGCAGATTGGACTTGCTCGTATGGTCACAGATGGTTGTTCATTTGCTTATCTGTCGGATACCTACGTTCTCCCTGAGTACCAAGGCAATGGGCTTGGGAAATGGCTTGTGACTTGTATTACCGAGATCTTTTCCAAGGAGAACATGCCGTATTTACGTCGCATTATGTTGCTCACTGATGATGAGCGCATGCAGGCTTTCTACGCGAAGATGTTTGGGGTGAAGGTTGTCGGGCGTGAGGAGCGAAAGGACATGGGGAGGGATCTGGTGTTTATGTGTGCGAGACCGCATGCACAGATATCATTAGATTGAAACGGATAAATACTCTGGATTTGGTGCATGGTACTTGATATCTGAGCAAGGAATGGAGACTTGGGAATCTGGTAGCTCATATTTATCCTTTCACTGTCTACCATGGAAGTTGCAAAGGAGTCGACAGGTTCTTCCCAAGAACAGCTTCTGCGGTGCCAATATCTCTGTGGATAGATTAGCCTGGTTCCTGATAATTGGATCAAATATCTTACTTTGGTCCTGCTGGCGCCCAGAATTCTCCGGTTTTGCTAAGATCGAACTCTTCAATGAAAGACGCAAGTGTTTTCGCTGCTTCATCCGGCGTCACGGCTGTTTTCCGAGTGACATCGGGTTAGACCTACTGAATTGAAAGTCTGTAAGAGTAGTGCATTGGTCACTCACCTCCACCCACATCCCAGTACTTATCGAATCCAACACTCTTTGTCATCTCCGTCCGCATAAATCCAGGATGTACTAGACCAACTGCAATCCCCTTCGGCTTCAAGTCCAGACTCAAAAGCTTCCCGACCATATTCAAAGCAGCCTTACTAGCATGGTGGCCAAAGTTACCCCCGCCTTCCGTCTCATGGCGCAAGGTGATGCTACCGCTCTCGCTGCTGATGAGGATCACTTTACTACCCTGGTCCAACAATCCGGCTTTGACAAGATTGTGTACCACAAAGACGGGACCAATCGCAGAGGTCGTATACATTTGGACCTGCTTCTCCCAGTCTGGAGAATCGAATGTTTCAAAGCCAAAGTATCCAGCACTAACGATGACCGTTGAGAGCTTTGTAGATGGAAGCTGTGAAACAAGCTTTTGGCCCACATCTGGTTGGGAGATATCAATTCCTGTCAGCCATGTGACTCCTGGGCTTGGCTCTGGGTTGGAGGATCGGGATGTTGCAAACACATGGGTCGCTGTCTTTGCGGAGTATAGTGTCCGCAAAGAGGCACCCAGCCCTCGAGTGGCACCTAGGATGAGGACGTTATTTGTCATTTTGTAAGTTGAACTAATATGCTCGAAGATACGGGTAGGAAGGTCTTTATATGTGCCTGACCTGCGCACGCCATTGAGGGATGACGTAATGACGTAATCCCTAGCTGCCCAGGCCCAGCTCTGGCTATACCTGCGTACATGTATGTACGTATGTATGTATGTTGGATTGCAAGGGTTCTATCTATAGGCCATTGACTCTGTACAACGTATGTCATATGTTATATGCTATATGAAACTTGTTTACTTACATGCTCCGGATCATTTCCTACTAGGTAGAACTGTTTCTCTATTGGACGTTACTGTCAGAGACTTTTGTCTAATTCTTCTATTGGTTCTCAACACGAGAGCCAAGCCTGATGTGTCTGGAGGTAATCATCATACAGTTTGCGCTTGGATGCTACGATGCTAGTCGATCTCTCAATCGGAGTGGACCATCGAGAGGCTTAGTCATATGCTATTTAAGGACGGGATCTACCTAATAGTGGCCCCTTCACAGTCAGCCTGTTTTTATCTCCATGAGCCCCTGCAAAGTGCGCCTCTCGTTGGGAGCCAGTCAATTCATGTGTTCTAGGGCTCAAGAATGACTGGCTTTGCCAAATTCGCCCTCTCCGTTCAAAAAGTCCGGGCTGCGATTCACAACAGGAGAAAGTCAAGTGCTGCCAAGGAGCAGCGTGGATCGGCTCTAAAGTAAGATCCTTTTGCGACAATCCGCGAAATTTCACTGACTCAGCTTCGCTATCAGAAAGGAACATGCAGGTCTTCCAGCTTTACCAGTTTTATCGCCATGGGACCTCCCCGTTGAGATACAAATCCGCATATTTGCATATTCCGGCATCACCGACTTCCATCCACTAAGACTCGTCTGCAAGGCTTTTTGCCAACTGCTCACCAGAAATGAACATGAAATTGTCCGGCAGTATCTCCGCTTGCGTCGTCACGGCACCCTTCCATCCCCGATTGACGATGACCGCACCTATACTCGAAACCCAGCCGACGATGTGGTGCTATTGTCAGACCTATTCCCGCCGTCCAAAAGCGCCAGAGGTGGCCATCTCTACACCTTCAAATACTTGCATGGGCTGAGACGAAGGCAAATGCTCTGCTCGAGGCTCTGCTACTACCTGGCAGATCGGATCCTCGATCGGTTCGTCCAGACCGAACCGGCCGTCATGAGGGCTTCCTTTCCCGCAAAGCGAAACGAGCGCAATGCCCTTGTCAAACATGGCATAGCTAGCATACGGTTCCACCTGGCACCACTCATGTAAGAACAGCGGGGAAATGCTTCACCCCAGCAAACCACTGACCTCTTCTCTACCAGGTATTATACACTCTATTTCCTCGAATCATACGCATCCGCCCGACGCGAGCACACGCACACACTCGTACAGAAATACGAGGCAGGCCATCTGCCTGTACCCCTCCCACTCGAAATACGCCAGAGGATGTACCGCGACCTACAAACGCGGATCCTCCAAAGCCCTCCCTTCACCAACACGGCGGCGTTGGTTGCGACTCACCATTGTATGCATTTGCTTGTTTCATACATACGCTTCGCCATGTCTCCAGATGGTCAAGCTGAGATTGATGACTCGTGGATCAGCTCGTTGCTCACATTGGCGCCGTTTGCGCGGATTGTCGAGTTTTTCTCCGCTGAGATTGGGGACGGTGGGAACCAGCGAGCACAACGCAAGGACTTTATGTACAACTTCTATAATGACACGATGAAGTATGAAAAGGATCATATGAATTCGGTTGTTTTTGCGCGCGCGTCTGCCCAGAACTTGCATAGTTCGGTGCAAGATATCTGGTTTGCTGCTGCTGAAGCTGAGTTGAAAGCCCGGCGAGCCATACCCCACGACGTAGAGCACGTCTGGATTTGGAATGGTATTCCAATTGTTTTTGGGTGTCCGGATTGTCATCCCACGCGAGGATGGCAGGCATGATACATTGGAGGTGCCCGGCGTCAAGGTTATTATACTGGGGATATACCGGAGTTGGATATATGAGCATTTCAGCCAATTGCATTTGCATTCCATTTCATTGTTATTATTTTTCTCCTTTCAAACCAAAAGAAACATGCTGGCAGTTGTAGTCAATGTGATTTTAGTCCGTACCTATAACATAAGGGAATTGATGGTGTTTGCTTTGTTTGCAACCGGCACGCGTCGCTATGTACATCGCCAAGTATCAATCTTCCTCGATGATATGCTTCAATTGTAGCATAAGAATTAGCCGAGTTTATTGCAAACTCACCCATTGGTCTTCATGGAACAAGCAGATTCACGACAGTTGTTCAACACTTCTTGGACCATCCACCGTCTCTCCCCTCTCCATCATGGGAAGGATTGTGAAACCCTTCTAGACGATCAGGTCGCCCTAAAGACATATGCAACGCGTCTACGTGACCATCTCACAGGCGATGTCCTTGCTGGTTTCCATACAAGCACTGGTGCAGCAGACGACGACGCGCTCTCCAAGACAGGCGCCCTAAAAGATTGTTTATGGCGACCAATATCTCCTCAGCCATTGCGCGACGAAGCGCCAAGCAGATCCCAGAATACCACATTTCCTGGTATTCTAGTAACGCTAGAATACGAAAACATCGTCTACAAAGCAGCTTTGCTCGCAGACACAGAATCATCCCAAAATCAGCGCACGGGATCGACATCTCTCCCTCTTCTTCTAACCAAATTCCCAACTGCGCTTCGCCAAACATTCCTCACATTTTTATCTACCAATTTCGACACTTACTGCTCGCCCCTCCGACTGCCCTCGAGTTTTCTCTGTGCAGGTCTAGAGACATATGTCGATACCCTGCGCACTCAACAGCCAAGTACGAGTGACACAGTCGAAGATGTTATCAAAGAGTTACAGCTCACGTTGTCCTTTTCATCGTCGATCGCACCAGCGCTGAGATCCCTAAATGTTAGCGTCGCGCGCACTTCACTAGCGGGTTTCCTGCACGATCAGTCTGGACAGTCGGAGCCGAAGTCACGCAGTCTTCAGCATAAACTGCGCAGCCCTTTCATTGCCAATCTTACTTCGTACTTGGAAGCACATCTTGCCATGAAGCTGGATCTGGATGGGTCGTCTTCAGACCGGGTTGCTAAGCAGCATGTGCGACTCTCGAAGGTTGCCTGTGCTGCTTTCGTTTTGGGTAGTGAAGGACGTGTGAAGCTGGTTGTGGCTGCTGATAGAGATGCTGGGGATGGGGATGATGGTTCTCGAGTTCGAGGCGACAAGAATGAACTTGCTTTGCAGGCAGGGGAATCGCTTCTACGGTCAGTGATCCGGAAGGCTGTTGTGGAGGACCATTCAGCTACGTGAACTTCTGAAGCTTTTCTGTGCCAGTGTGAAACTGGGACACGTTACAATATCTATGGAGCTCGGAAAGAGGTCACTCTGCAGTGCAAACCCATCAGCATGACCTTCCTGGATCCACAGAGCCCATGACTTTGGTTTCGGCACTATTCAACCCACTGGACTTGTCACCAATACAGGACTGCTCAACCAAGTGCAAACCGGGGCAACTAAACTGCAGCTGCTAGCGTCATGCTTTGTCCCCGTGCTCTACCATGGCATTGCGGATGCTGCAAGGCCGGCTTTCATCGCCAAGATGGCATGCTCAGGAGAGCTGATCGTGGTGCATAGCAAAGCGTAAGGGCTTACTTCGGTTCTAAGTGAACCAAGCTCCCTGTTAGGGAAGAGATAATTGATCATGTCTTCTGTCTCCTTGACAGTTGTTGCTCTATGACAAAACGTCAGGTAGAGCAACATTTTTGATTATTTTTTAGATAGCCGAAATGCAATATATGTCCGTACAAATATCCAAACCGCATCCACACACAGGTCACCAATTTTTAGCAAGATATACAGATGGAGACTATATCTCCTGCGTTTGGTTCTCAGATTCCGCCAACCGCAGCGCCTCATCAACACTGGGCACGAAATGAGTCAATCCACCACACTCCTCAACAATACCACTCCGCTCAAACATGCGGAATACCTCTCTATTCGGCAAACGGCAGAAGAACACTCTGACGCGTTCCTCCGCGTACGCATGCACAATCTCCGAGAGAACCTGGGTACCAGACCCATCGATACTCGTAACGCCATGAACGTCGAAAATGATATTTTTATTATGCTCCGGGGCGCGCATGCGCGGCAGGGAAGGGTGGGCATGACTGGAGCCGTAAAGTTCCAGACGTCGCAAGCGGTTCTTAAGATCGCCTGTGTTCGCAAATGTGAGGGGTTCAGGGATCTTGACGATCAGGGCGCCTTCGATTAGCTCCACGTTTTCTGGGTGGAGTTCGGCGTTGTCGAAACGCGCGGCTGTCCCGAGGACCTTGCCCAAGATCTGGATGCGAGGGTGTGTTGCGTGTCGGATGAGAATTATCACTGACAGGCCCATTCCAATCGCCATGCCTAGTTCCAGGGAGTAGAAGATCGTTGTTGTGAAGATGAGGAGCATGAGGACGATCTCTGACCAGCCCCGCAGGCGGATGAAGAAGAGGAGGTCATGCGGGCATTCTTCCACTAGAGTGAAGGCTACAACGGAGATCATGGAACTCAGAACTGCTTTCTATGGGGAGTTATCATCGTCAGCACTTGGACAAAGCACACAGGTATGGTGTAGGAAGGGATGAAAGGGACGAACCGGGAGGTAGTAGAGATAAGGCAAAAGCACCATGACACATGTGAATGTGATGATGCTCAGAAAAACACTAGCCATAGGTGACCGTGCTCCTGTCTGTGAGCTGAGCTTGCTTCGCCCGTATCCACCAAATGCAGGCAGAGCCGAGAAGCAACCTCCGACGACGTTGGCGAAGCCTAGTGCAACCATCTCACGATTGGCACTCATGTACATTCCCTTGATTCCATTAGAATTGCCTTCGCCCAGCCCCTTGGCCGCAACAGATGACTCAAAGAAGCCAAGCAGCGCAATAATAAAGGATTTGCTCAATGCTGTGCGCACATGTTTCATATGCGCAAGCTGGAAAGGCCAATTGAAAGCGAATAGTCCTCCAGAACCAACTTCTGTAGGTCCAAGAATCTCGAGCCCTTTGCTTTCCCAGTCGAGGTGCCAAGCCAAAACTGCCGACAGGGCAACAACCAGAAATCGGTCTGGGAAATAAATCACTTGAGGGATACGCGGTACAAGCATCTTCTTCAAAGTTCTGCAGAGGATCAGTATGAGGAATGTAAAGCCGGGGTCGCGATACGCACCTGAACACCATGATGACACTAAAGCTAACGATCGAAACGATAGCAGTTAGGCCATGGCACTCTCGAGCGTAGCGAATGATGAAAATCAGCTTTTCAACACTGGTGCCATGGCTAACGCCGATTTCCTTGGCATGCTCGGCCAAACCCAATTCAGGGATAAGTTGGTCTACAAAAATCACAAAGCCGATCGCAGTGATGAATCCTCTCAAAAATGGTCGGCTGAGCACATTGTCCAAAAACCCTAGGCGGGTCAGGCCAGCGATCAGTATCATGCCACCAGACATAGCAGTCGCCACTCCTACAATCAGAGCGGTTTCTGTGAGGTCGTCCTCGCCTGAGATTCCTTGCATGACACTTGCTTTGACAATAGCACCCGTTAGGAGGGAGCCTGCGGCCTCCGGGCCAACTACCAAGAGAGGACAGCTTCCTAGGATGGCATAGATCATGGGATGGATGACGAAAGAGTAGAGGCCGCTGATGGGGGGTGCATGAGCAAGATTGGAGGCTAAAGAGAGCGCCATCGGGATGTAGATGGATGCCACAGTCAAGGCAGCCATGAGATCTCCACGCAGGAATGACCAATGATACTGTTGGATCCAATTGAAGAAGGGAATATAATACGATATGTATCTGCCATCCATTCGTCAGCTACCAGTCCTAAGACAGGCTACGAGAGTGCTCGCAGGGTATGAATAAGATACGACCTACTGTTTATTCGTGTCCGTTATTGGAAAAGTGAAAGATGATTTCATCTGTGACGGAGTCTCTGAATCTGGGACCGACTCTGGGTGGTCTACTACACCTCTAGGGCGACCGGCCGCACCTTCCGACACTTCATGTCCGTTATATCCACTTGCATCGCCCGACTCTCCGACGTATGACTGCCTTCCCGCATCTTCTACCTGGGGCGAGAATGTGCCATGGCTGCAACGCCTTTCACCGCACGCAGGACCGGCCTGGAGGTACGATTCCAGAAGCCGAGTTCTCAAGTCTGGTTCGCCCGTAACCCCTGTGCCGGCTTGGTTGTCCTGTGCCGTGTGATTGTCATGGCTAGAATTTGTCGAGATACCAAGACCGGTTTGAGGCGATGAACGGAAAGCGTCGACAATGCGGTCTCGTAGAGTCCGACGTCCAAGTCCGTCGGACTCCCCAGGGAGTAATGAACTTGTCTCAGACATGATTTGACAAGAGATTTGAGGAGTGTTAGGTCAAAGAATTAGACATGAAGTAGGCCGCCATAAATGCTGGTCATAATATTATGTAAAAGATTGAAAGCAATTGTAACAACCCCAGCCCCGAATTGTTTTGTCGGCTAGGCAAGGGTGCGCTAGACCGATAAGCGGGGAACGCAGGCGTTATCGTTAATTCAACGCAGATCCTCGAATAATGTCTATACAATGAAGAGATAGAGCATCTTCAGAAGAATTGTCAGAGAATCTTCTGATTTGTAGAAAGGTCGTCAAGTATTGAAGAGTATAAAAACATGGTCGTCTTGCCGTTGATCTCCGTTGACGTAATTGATTGATGTGTCAGCCAAGATCAAACATCGGAAGGCGGTCTGGGGAGTATCACGTGATTATTAATCCCGTGATTGTTCAGGTCAATGTGGGTTTTGAAGTCCGCCACAAAGAGATAGATTGTGCCTCATTCACGTCGCCTATCCCCTCTGCGCTCCTGTTCTCCGGCCCATACGATCATTCATATCCCATTGGTCACCGTCTCGATCATCTCGATTGTGCCATCAAATCCGTCCCTTTTGCACCTAAGATTTCCCCGAGAAAAAAAAACAGCACCCCGCCAAGATGTCTTTAACAAACTGTCGGTTCTATGAGGACAAGTACCCGGAGGTGGACAGCTTTGTCATGGTGAATGTCAAGCAGGTATGGATCAACTGAATCTTGAACTGAAAGACTAAAGCGACAGGGACTGATTTTTGTGTGAAACGAGCTAGATCGCCGAGATGGGCGCATACGTGAAGCTGCTTGAATACGATAACATCGACGGCATGATCCTCCTCTCAGAACTTTCTCGCAGACGTATCCGCAGTATCCAAAAGCTCATCCGTATTGGGCGCAACGAGGTTGTCATCGTGCTTCGTGTCGACAAGGAGAAAGGCAAGCATATCTTATTCGCCCGGTAGAACGCGAGAACTAACTTGTGAACTTGAAGGTTACATTGATCTGTCGAAGCGACGTGTGTCCCCAGAGGATGTCATCAAGTGCGAGGAGCGTTACAACAAGAGCAAGGCAGTGCACTCTATCATGCGCCACGTCGCAGAGGCCACTCAGACCCCGCTGGAGACCCTATACGAGACCATCGGCTGGCCTTTGAACCAAAAATACGGCCACGCGCACGATGCCTTCAAGATCTCCATTACGTAGGTTCTTCTTTTTTGTCTCATGCTCGAATCCTTCTGACAGTTGTTTTCTAGAAACCCCAACGTTTGGGATGAGATCACCTTCCCCAACGATGCCGTCAAGAGTGAGCTGCAGCAATACATCAGCAGCAAGCTGACCCCCCACCCCACCAAGGTCCGTGCCGATATCGAGGTTACTTGCTTCGGTTACGATGGAATCGATGCCGTCAAGGATGCCCTCCGTACCGCTGAGGCCGACAACACCCCCGAGAACCAGATCAAGGTCCGACTGGTCGCTCCTCCTCTCTACGTCCTGGCCAGCCAATGTCTCGACAAGACCCTCGGTGTCAAGTTGCTGGAGGCTGCTATCGTGAAAATCGAAGAGCGTATCAAGGCGAACGGCGGTACCTGCACCGTGAAGATGGCGCCCAAGGCTGTCACCGAGCACGACGATGCGATTCTGCAGGAGCTTATGGAGAAGCGCGAGCGTGAGAACACCCAGGTCAGCGGAGATGAGGACTCGGAGAGTGATGAGGGCGTTCCCGAGTAAGAAACGGGTTACAACTTCGAGTCGAGGGGCATACAGCGGTCATCAGCGCTAGCATTCAAAGCTGGAATCACCGCTAGAGGAGAGTTGGTCAAAGATGGATAGAAAAAAGCTTGCACATATCGGAGAAAGACTCGATGGGTCAGTGTGCTGATGGGCAGGATTGCAGTCAGAACTCGCTCTTTAGCCAGGGCAGTCGCCTAAACTTCGTGTCTGGGGATAAAATATCCACGCCTGTGCATGCGCTGGATGCCATCGGTCGAAATCCTCGTTCCCACCGTCAAAGACGCTGGGTCCGCACAGGGTGCAAGTTCTGATGCACATAATGTTTGCGATGCAACCGAGACGTTCAATGCCAGTCATGCTTTTAAATTTCAAATCGTATCCTTGTAGAGACTGTCTATGTTCCTACATGTAGATACAATGTATATAAAATTCCCTTAGGAAGATCACATTAAATGGCGGGGAGAGCTGAAGCTTATCTACCGTCGATCATCATTGGTCCCCATCGGTAAACTCATCGGTGAACGAAACTTTCCCCTTTTCACTCTTCTTCTTTCTTTCCATTTTTCCTTAAACACGATATGGGACATTGGAAGAATCTCTTTAGCGCCGATCGTGGCAGGACCCGGCATCGAGTCGAGGTGGAACGTCGTCGGCGTACGTCATTTTCCAAACATGAGCTGTGGAATACGGCTAACAAGTCACAGTGCTACCGGCCTATGCTGCTGATGAGTCTGACGCCTCTGATGCTTCAAAGGAAATTGCAAAGGTTGCTCTTCGGTTGAAATATCAAATTGAGCAGGTTGTCTCCTGTGAGATACAGGAGAATGTCTTGACCGACCCAAACAGCCGTATCATCACGGATGATGTGGTTGCGACTGCTAAGCAGGCCGGTGGAGAAGAATACAAAGCATGTGTTGTCTATTGTCTTCTGGTTTGTCTGCGATGGTTCAAGATTCAATCATCTGTCGAGCTTTGGGATTCCGATCTCCATGAGATTCGGGCTGTGGCTTGCGAGGTCATCGCCAAGCGCATGTAAGCACCCCTTTTTGGACATTTTGTGTTTTCTGCTGTTTACTAACTCAAACAGTATCGAATCCGAGCAGAACCAAGATTACGTGTTGAGAGACATTTTACTCAAGCGATACTCCATCTTCAGTGAAGGTGTAGAGACTGAACCCGCCAATGTCATTGAACGATCGGTAGATCTCCATGCCTTGCGGATCATCAGTTGTGCCGCGTACCAGAAATGTATCCAGTACCTATGGAGAGGTTGGATTTGTCAGGAAGAGGGCAACCCAACTAACTTTGTCGAATACAGCGAGAAGTCTAACACCAGTTATTGGGTTCATTTCCATCCTGATCGGATGCGGACCCCTCTCTATCAGAATGTCTGCCAAATTTTGTTTTCCTTGATTTACCTTGCGATTTATACCGCAGTTATCAATACCGTGAACCCAACTGGTGATCTGGACGTGGCCGAAGCCATACTTTACGTTATGACTCTTGCGTTCATCTGCGACGAGGGAGTCAAATTTTGGAAGGTGGGATGGAATTACCTCGAATTCTGGAATGCCTTCAACTCAACCCTCTACACCATCCTGGTGGTGTCCCTTGCCTTGCGCTTTATTGCATTGGCACACTCATCGTCCACCCACGATGAACAAAGGCAGATATACAACGAGCTCAGCTACAACTTCCTGGCCTTTGCGGGCCCTATGTTCTGGATACGCATGATGCTATATCTTGACTCGTTCCGCTTCTTCGGTGCTATGTTTGTGGTTCTTCGAGTCATGATGAAGGAGAGTTTGATCTTCTTCGCTCTTCTATTTGTGGTTATGGCTGGTTTCTTCCAGGCCTTCGTCGGCATGGCCCAAGTGGATCCCGATGTCCCTCTCCACCGAAATATTCTCCAGGGAATGATAAATAGTATCATGCAGAGTCCTGAGTTCGACACTTTCCAGGAGTTTGCATTTCCCTTTGGCATCATCCTCTACTATGTGTTCAACTTCATTGTTATGACTGGTAAGTTTGCATTCGACTTGTTTGGGGTGATACTAACAATTATCAGTTCTGTTGAATATTCTCATCGCCTTGTACAATAGCGCATATGAGGATATCGCTGGCAATGCCACGGACGAGTACATGGCCATCTTCGCGCAGAAAACCATGCAGTTCGTCCGCGCTCCAGATGAGAATGTCTTCATCCCGCGTACGTATTTATTCAATTCAGATATAGCATACTTGTGGCTAATTTGCTCTGTCTAATAGCGTTCAATCTCGTTGAGATTGTATTTCTGATCGCCCCATTCGAATGGTGGCTTTCGCGGGAGGCTTACGCCAAGGTGAATGACATTGTAATGGGCGTGATATATTCGCCGCTGCTTGTTGTTGCGGCCTGGGATGAGACCCGCCAGGCGCATCAGATTCGATGGAATCGTCGCCATGGCGAAGAAGATGATGACTGTGCCCAGGAATGGGAGCATGTGGCCAAGGAGGTCAATTTTGATCTTGATGATACTTGGAAACAGCAAATAGTTGAGTCCACACCGGATATCAAGGTTGATAGCTGTACATATGAACTCAGAGAGCTGAGGGAGCAGGTTAGGATGTTGACCGAGATGGTGAAGGGATTGACTCAGGAGATGGACAAGAAAGTGGATGAAGCAAGCTAGGAGGCCCTGTTGAATTGTACAGTTAAGATACTATACTAAGCATGTATGGGATATTGAATTCACGAGTCTTCATGGACACAAATATCCAAGGCATTTCTTTGGAGAGATAAGCATTCATGATGTCTCAGGAAAGTTGCTTTTTTGAGATCCTGAGAGAAAGCCAAGTTGTATCAGAATTCCTACACAGGTATCGCAGTGAACCATGTTATTGTTGGCTATAGAGCCATGATTGAGGGCAAACAAAACTAGAAGCAATAGGCCTAGTGGAGTAGAGCGAATAGTACCGAGATTCGAAGCAAATACCTGTGCTTCGAGTGAATTATGACTATATGTCTTAGATACAGGGCCGCTATCCATTGGACTCCCTCTGTCTCTTTACCAAAGAAATTCTCCCAATGGTTCAGTAACTTCAGTTTCAGTCACCAGGTAACCCGCATCGAGAGTTCAATATCAAGCAGTCACTGCACAGCAACAGGCAGAGCAAGAATGGAGGCAATCTTCTCCCGTTGACGATCCAGCTGTGAGAGCTTCGCTCGATGGGGCTTACCAATACCTATCCGTGGAATCTCGTCTACAAAGATTACACCTCCATCTAGGGCTTTATAGCTGGCCAGCTGGTCTTGAATCAGGCCTGCCAGTTGATCCGCCGTAGTCTCGGGGGATATATCACTGCGGACAACATAGGCTCGGGGGACCTCGCTGCTGCCATCTGGGAGCATGACCCCGATCACAGCTGCGTCCTTGACACCCGGGTCCTTCAGTAGGATGCCTTCAATCTCTGCGGGGGCAACGGAGTATCTAAACCAAGCATGATATGTTAGCCTATCATCTGCTGCATCAGATGTCCCATGGAGGCGAAAGAAGGAAAGGGAAGAGGAAAATGACTGGGCGTAGAGAATTGAATAACTTGCGCTCGAACTTTGATGAGATCTTTGGTCCGCCCGATGACATGGTAATTTCCGTCTTGCGCATGGAACATGTCTCCCGTCCGAAACCATCCTTGCTCATCTTTATCATCGGTCCGCCCTTTATATCCCAAGAGGAGTCCCGGTCCACGGACATACAACTCTCCAGGAGAGTCTAATTTCCCGGCGACATCTTCGCCCGTTTCGGGATTGACAAAGCGCAGCTCGTATCCGGGCAGTAGAGTCCCCACACTGCCGAATTGTGGTGTTGCCCCGTAGCGATTCTGGAATACCACTCCCACCTCGGACATACCCCATAGATTTCCAGCTACAGCATCCGGTGACAGCAGGCGCTGGAATTGCTGCATAGAGTGTCCGTCGATGGGGGCACCGGAAATACCGATATAGCGCAGGGAAGACAAGCTCTCAGCTACATTCAAGGAGGACTTGTTGAGAATATGGACCATGGCAGGAACCATGTATGTCTCCGAGATGCGGTGCTCGCGGATGGCGTCGAGGAAAGCGGAGATTTCGAAGTGCGGAAGAACGTACAGAGGCTCGCCGTACCGGATGGGGAAGATGTTGCCCCAGAAGTCGCCAAAGGAATGATATAGTGGCAGTGCCATCAGACGGACGACGGGGTGCGGCACTTCGTAGTGGACGCTCAGATGGTGGGAAATGATCGTGTGGTGGGTTCGAATCGCGGCTTTGGGGAGCCCGCTGGTGCCACTAGTTAGGAACATGGCAGCCGGCGTGCTCTTGCTCTGTTCACTATCTTCGAAACGAAGCCAGTCTAACCCCCCATACTGGAGCAGATTCTCCAGGCGGATATATTGGTCCGCTGTCTGGGTATTGGGATCATCCGTCTGCTCCGCCCCGCCGTGTGCAAATTGGACTATTTTTTCGATGGAGTGCTTATCCACCAGAAGAACTTGACTCGAGCAGATTTCCTGTAGGTTGCATACCTCCAAGACCCTGGACAAGGCACCTGGAGCAGTGATAACCAACCGAGGCTCGGCGAGACGAAGCAGATGAGTCAATTCATGTGAGGGACTGGCCACATCGCAGCCCATATAAACTCCGCCGGCACCGACGATGGCGAAGAAAAGAGCAGAGTGTATAACCTAGGTTAATGTTAGGGATATGTAATAGTCATGGGGGCAGTGTGATTACACTATTCTCAAGTTGCACGAGAACACAATCGCCTCGTTCCACACCCCGGGCTTTGAGACCAGCAATGAGTGATCGCACCAGCCGTCGGAACTGTATGGCATTGAAAGCACGCAAGGTATTTTGGGCGTCGATATAGATGGGTTTAGATGGGTCAAACATAGGACCACTAAAAGCAAAGCTGACTAGGTCTGTCTCGTGTGGCTCCATATTACTGTATTGACTGATTATCAGATGCAGAACTTCGTCCTGCAGGATGTTTGCGCTCTTTAAATACATGCGATTCTCAGATCACCCCTCTATGAGATCGACACTGCACGAGACAAGTATCATGCATAAGACTATTGATAAGACGCCACGCCACCAACTCGTATTATATAGATCTAGCCTAAGACTATACTATTTTGAGCCCACGCTGTCATTACAGAGCTTTGAAGCAGCTGCAAACGCTAGTTCGCCAACAGATGCGCCACTGAGAATTAAAATAACTCCGATGGCGACGGTCAATTCTTTCATAAACCATTGACTTAACCCAACGGCAATAAGCGAGTCGACTCCGAGCTCTGGAATCAGCGTGTCGCCGGAGAGCGATGCATCTTCAGTCAAGTTCAAGCTGACCCGCATTTTCTCCATGAGACGCGTCACGATTACCTCGGCCTTGTCCTCCAAGCTTGTCGCCGCAGCCACAAGATCCTTGGTCGACCGGGTCTCAAGCAATGGAGTCATTTGATCCTGACTCGCCGTGGCCGTGTAGGAGTAGAATGGCCACAGCTTTGGCACCGGACATTCCGTACAACCACCCTCCAAGCTCCGGTACCGAAGACCCGCGATGAACTCAGAGTTGTAAGTAGAATCTGAGCGCCCGCAGAGGATCGCTTCGGCGAGTATCTCGTCGACATCCCGCTGGGATACGGCCACTGGACCACACCAAGGGGTCTGACTGGGAGAGGAACTGTTAATGCCGTGGATCTCACCCAGATGCACTAGGCTCGCCGGCCTGCCCTGAGCCCGACGGTGGCGGACCAGTGAGGCCATTTTCTCGGACATAGCCGCAGTCATTGCCTGGTCCGCGTGGCCTAGAGCTCCTGCAATAGATCCGAGGAGCACCCAGAAGTCCAGAGTTGGGGTCTTGTAGAGCTCGTCTAGCTGCCGCAACCCCTTCATAACTGGTTGTAGATGACCCTGAAGTAGTCCCGGAGTGAGCTGGGACAAGGAGCAGTCGGGCAGAGGTGGGGGCTGAATTAGAACTCCTCCCACTGCCGAGGGAAATGCATGGGGGACATTTTGATGCAAACTGGGGACGGAAACGCCGTCGGTCATGTTTCTGGCACCGATTAGCTTGTGCAGATAAAAGTACCTGGGTGCATAACTTACATTGTCGAGACCGCTATGCGCGTTCCCTGTCGATAAACCTCTTCCAACCACCATGCATCTGGCTCCGGACTAGAGCTAGCGAGAAGGATCCATTTTGCCCCGTGTGCTGCCAGCCAAAGGCAAGCAGCATGGGCTAGTTCACTGGCTAGACCTACAAGTATGTAGGTTTTCTTCTCCGACAGCTGCACCTGGGAACTGGCAGTCGGTATCTGGGCGAGCACCGGAGTCGTAGATTCCCAATCTACAATGACCTCCTGGGAATCAATGGTCGGGTACTCAGCCACCCTGCCGATTGGTAACGAATCCACAGAATTTGGTGGGAGCGCTTCGCGGCCGGTGTACGCCATTAAGCAGGCGGTTAGGAAGGCCCTAGCTATGAGAGATGAATCATTCCCGTTGAGCGGCCCTATTGATGCAGAGGCAAGGTAGAAATCCTCTACATGGATTTGTGCCGCATTCTCAGGCAAGAGTGATAGTATACGCTCATATACACCCTGTCCACGGCGATGCAGGATCGCTATGGCCGACACATCAGAGGGAAGCACTTGAGACAATTGCCGTGCAGTGCTATGCTCGTGCAGGAGCAACATAGGTCTCTCTTTGTCCGGGTTGCTTGTGCTGGTGCTGAAGACCACTTTACCATCGCGCTGGGTGAGCATTTGGTGGAAGATAGACTGGAGGACCTGGTCAGCCTCGTGCACCACAAGCGTCCCCGATTGTGGGACTTGTTCGACAAGGTATCCCGCCAACAAAGCAGCCGCTGTGGCGCGGAGATAAGACTGCTCATGGGCTTCCAAGATCATGTCTGGCACTGACCGCGCCCAGGACTCTGGGACAATGACCTGAGATGCAATGTGGGACGATAAAGCGATCATTCTCTTGTTGCTGCTAACGGCCCGCCCTATGACCAGCCGGAGGAATACGCTTCCTACTACCCGCATAGCGGCGAGACTGGAATGTCGTACTCGCAGACAAAGAGTCGGTCCATAGCTTGTAATCACCGGCGGATCAGCCATCGAGAGAAGGCGGAACCCTTCACAAGTTCTGTCAGCGGTCGCAGGAAGAATCTGCACTATTCTCTTGCCGAGGTCCACGCAGTCTGTCACCCTCTGGCGCCTAGCCAGATGACGCAGCCCAGTAGAATGGTTATGGTATTGACGAGGAATACGGAACATAGAGCCGTCATATTGAATTTCGGGCTCAATTTTGTTCAGTCCGCACGAATCAGGACTTTCTTGAGCTGCACTGGCTCGAACAAAGCGTTCAAGAGCACTTGCCAAGATTTCCGCTGACAATCCAGCCGGATCTGTGATATGTAGCAGCTGCAGCTGAGAGGAGAGTTTTTCAGAGACCAGGACGCTGCGAAGAAGACCTTTCGCCAGTCCTGCATCAGGGTGATTGATCTTCTCACAGGTCACCAATAGCATCCGCTTACTGACTGTGATCAGTCGCCGCAGCTCGCTCAGGCTAGCGTCGGTCAGGCTAGCATCGGTTAGATCCCGATCATCGACGAGGTACAGAACAGTCAGTTCAGACAGAACGTGGTCCTCAATTAGATCCAGGGAAGGTGCATGCGAGACTTTGATGAATTCGTCCTGCACTAATTCAACAAGATCTGACGTAAGACAGTCTATCTGCTCAGCATCACCGCCAAGCAACAGCAGGCCTCCGTGGCGCGATGATTCTGCCTGAATGTCTGGTGTCCGGCAGAGAACGAGTGAGAAGTCCTCGAGGCTTTCAATATCTCGGGGCGCATCCATCGACTCCAAGCCACAGAACCCGTTATTAGACAGTAGCTCAACCCAGTGCTCCCTAGTGGTGACTTGATCACCAGAGCAGTAGCCTTTCTCGGTCTCTGTACATCTCACCGGAGGGCCGAATAAAAGATTCAAATATGTAGTACTGGGATTCGTTCGCACCAGTAGGACCAAGAATCCACCAGGCTTGAGCAAGCGACGGATATGGGCCACCGCGGCCTCTTGTAGGAACACCGCAGTTGTGATTAGCACCATGTCGTAGGATTCCTCCCGGTAACCCTGCTCAATAGGGTCCTCATTGACATTCAAGGCTTTGTGCGACACCTCGCCAGATTGCTCAAGGTCGTCCTCAGCCACTTGAACGCCAGAAACGGAGAGTCCTGCATGGGTGAATGACCGGTAGGTCCGACCCATCTTCTTCAATCCAGAGTGAACACGACCTCCAAATTGGCCGATCTGAAGAATGTTCATCTGTGGGAAGCGGAAACATGCCTGGCTGACGACAGAAACGAGCTCATCTTCTAGGTACGAGACTTGCACGTCGTCCTTCAAATATTGATTTTCCTCGTCGATGGCCGGCCAGGCCTCTATTTGAAGACCCGGTTCACGCAGCACGCGAGGCAGTCGCTCGCCCACCGTAGCAATCGCCGTGAGACCAGGGTCCTTTCGTAACGCGCTCGCTCGAACCGTCAAGTCCTCAATTTTCTGGTCCAACCAATCGGATGTGCCTACTGGATCTGATCCTTGGGAAGCATTCGCAATGCATTGGTTCATCCATGCAAGCAGACGAACACCATCGAAACCCAATCCGCTTCGCTCCGAGTCCGTTAGTCTATTGCTGGCTTGCTTGAGATACAGTAGTGCAAGCTCCTCTCGGAGAGAGTTTAGCTGTAGCATAACCGCGGGCAATAGGCGTGATGTCTTCTTCAGAGTGGGCTCAAGCGGCCCCCACTCGGTCTGAGAAAGGACCTGGGTATCGTTCGGTGCATTCCCAGATGGCTGACATACGAGAGAAACACCTTCGAGCTGGACAGCCTTTTCACCCTTCATAGTAAAAATGTCGATATCACCGTGAATCAGACCTCCATCGACATGGGTTAGATAGCTTGCTATCGTCATTTCCTTTCCCTGCCAACCAGAGGCACATAACACGGGGTTGACCCAGGTACTGTTGATATTTTTGGACAAGAATGGGCCCGTCAGCAGTGACTCTTCTGGCCCACCAATTGCAGCAATCATTGTTTGGATAGCGAGCTCTAAAATGGCCGGGTGAAGCGTCATAGGCTCGTCAGAATCCTTCGAGGGAACGAGCACAGTTCCAGCGGCGAGATCGCGTCTTTTTTGAAGTCCTGTCAACGCAGCGAACGAGCCAGTGCAGTGATAGTCGACGCGACGCAGGCTGTCATAGAACTCGGTGATGTCCACGGGCTTTAAGGCTGGAGCTAACTGGCCTTGTGGGGGTAGGAGAGCACGGTCTGAATTCCCTGGATGCATGATCATCTTGGCTGTCGCACACTGGACGAGCTCTCCAGATACAGCAGCCTCGCAGCAGAACAGCGCAGTAATTACTCCACGATGCGAGCGAATACCACCCACGGTGATAAGTACCTCCGTGCCGATAGGATTGTTCTGGATGGGGAGCTGAGTGTGGATGGATAAATCCTTGACATTCAGCAAGCGCAGCCCTTGGGCCTGTGCCACTGCCATCCCTGCCTCCAGCGCCATCGATATGTATCCAGTCTCAGGAAAGACAGTTCTCGATCCGGCACGACGGTCTGCCAACCAGGGCAGCTCCTCTGGTTGCAGGTAATTTCGCCAACGGAACTCTCCTGCTCCGTTCTCCGGACTGAGAGCACCGAGAAGTGCGTTGGGAGGTCTAGAACCATGGCTATAGTTCAAAGATAGTCGCGACTGCGCCCAGTAAGTCTGAGAGTGGTCAAAGGGGTATAATGGCAGCGAATCTACCAGCACAGGCGACTGGTCTGGGTCAAAGAGTGAGACATAGTCTGTGAGGCGGACGACATTGGGGCCGAGGTGCGCCCAGGATGAGGCCAGGGCCGTTGCCCATGTATCGAGCCCGGGCTTTCCTCTCTCAGCAAGGGCAAGGTAAGGAATTACTGAGTGGGCCGAGTGCATTTTAGACAGGGTTTGTAGGACGGGGCCTCTCAGTGTTGGATGTGGCCCAATCTCAATGATGAGATCTGGTGGTCCAGCCTCTCGTACGGCGGCCTCCAACGCCTGGGAGAACTGGACAGGACGCAGCATATTCTCGACCCAGTACTCCCCCGTCAGTTCCTTCTGATCATGTTCAGTCATGACCTCCCCGGGGTAGACGCTAGAGTACCAGCGCGCGACAGACGCTGTCAGCGTGGCAGGATAGGCTTGCATTGCCTCGCGATATGGGTCTGCGCAGGGCTTCATATGGGGAGAGTGATATGCGGTGTCCACTCGAAGCATACGCGGAGTGAGGCCCAGGCTCTTCAGCAGCCACTCCAATTCCCGCAGGCACTCTGCGTCACCGGATAGTGTGACGCTGGACGGCGAATTAGCGGCGGCAACGCTGATACGTCCGGAATAGGCTTCTAATGCGCAAATTGTATGTGCCTGCTGCCATGTCAGATTGACGGCCATCATCCGGCCTGTCGGATCGCGTGATTTATCAATGGCTCTTCCCCGAAGGTATGCAATGCGAATCGCATCTGAGGCCGTCAGCACACCCGCAGCATAGGCTGCTACAATCTCCCCGGAAGAGTGGCCGACAACAATGGTAAGCTCAATGCCTACCGCACGAAGGATGTTGACTTGCATGATTTGCAACGCTGTGCGTAAGGGGAGAGAAAGAAGGCCCTCATTTACGCGCGAAGAAGATGCTGGTCGTGACAATTCCTCGAGAAGAGAAAATTGTGGACGAAGGCCCAGAGGGAGTTGATCTAGAGCTTCCTCCAGATCGGCCATCCATTGTCGAATTGTGGGACTTCCCTCAACCAAATCGAGACCCATTTGTGCCCACTGGACTCCTTGACCCGTAAAGATTCCCATAACGCGCCTGGGCCGACTGCTGGATCTGGAGACGATGGAGGAGGGCTTACCCGTGGCTCTTCGACCGACTTCAGTATCGATCTGATCTTGTAATTCCTGTACCGAGTGCGCCATTAGTGTCAGGCGGTGGCGATGAGTGGAACGTCGAGTCCACAAGGACACCGCCAGACCAACGAGACTGACTGCTGCGTGTTCCCGGAGGAATGTTGCGTAGGACTCAAGGACAAATGTGAGTGTCCGTTCAGAGGCAGCAGAGAAGACAAAGGGCAGACTGGAGGGCATGTTGCGGGACGGGCTGAGCTCCTGGCGAGTGTAGCTTTCTAGGACTACATGAACATTGGCACCCCCAAAACCGAAGGAGTTGACTGAGGCTCGGCGAGGACAGCCATCTGGGACCGCAGGCCACGGGATGCACTCCGTGGGAACACGTAGTTGAGCGGCAAATGGTGCTATCTTTGGATTGAGCTGCTGCATCAGGAGATTGGGAGCGATCATCCCGTGTTGCAGCGACAGTGAAGCCTTGATCAATCCCGCCAGTCCAGCAGTCGCCTCTGTATGTCCAATTATTGTCTTGATTGATCCCACATACAGTCGATTGTTCGGATCTTGAACGGATTCAGGTCCAAAGAAGCTTGAGTTGATTGCAGCTGCTTCCTGGGGATCTCCAGCCTGGGTTCCTGTCCCATGGGCCTCGAAATACTGGCACCGATCCGCGGGCCTCTCTTGTGGAGATAGCCCCGCGCGTGCATAGGTAGCGAGGATCAATGATTGCTGTGCCTTGGAGTTAGGCATCGTGATACCCATGGTTCGCCCGTCCGAATTTGCCCCGGAAGCACGGATCACGCATTCGATGGGATCCCCATCGTTGATTGCGTCCTGCAGCCGTTTCAAAACCACTGAAGCCACACCTTCTCCACGGGCGTAGCCGTTAGCCTTGCTGTCCCACATGCTACTCCGGCCAGTAGGGGACAGCATCCGTGTTTTAGAGTCTGCAATATAGGCATTGGGCGACAGGATCAGGTTGCTCCCTACTGCCACTGCCATAGAGCAGTCATCGTTCTGCAAAGCTTCAACTCCAAGATGAACAGCCAGTAGACTTGAAGAACATCCGGTGTCAACTGCCATGGAAGGACCCTGCCAGTCAAAGTAGTATGAAATACGATTGGCCATGATTGATGGTGAGTTTCCCGTGACCATATACCCCGGGAATGCCTGGGGATCCATGGCCTGGATCTGATTGTAGTCGTTGCGAAGGGTACCACAGAACACCCCGGTCTTTGAGCGTTGCAGCGCATCCATTTGCAGCCCCGCCGCATCAAGCGATTCATAGACGGTCTCTAGGAGCAATCGCTGTTGTGGATCCATCGCCACTGCTTCTGTTGGCGAGATATTGAAGAAGGCCGCATCGAAGGCTTTGATATCCTCGTCCAAGAAGTAAGACTCCTGGACGTTTGTTGTGCCATGGTGGTCTCCATCTGGATGATAAAAGGCGTTGATATTGAATCGGCTGGCCGGAACTTTGCGCGCAACATCACGGGGGGTTTGGAGGAGGTCCCATAGTTTTGAAGGAGAGGAAGCACCACCAGGGAAGCGGCATCCTGTACCAATAATAGCAACAGGCTCTGTTGCTTTCATTGCAAGTTTATGTTGTGGGAAGTGTGAAACGTGAGATGAAAATAATTTGCAGTTGGGCGGGTGTAGCTATCCTGAGAGTATGTACATAGATATGGAAAACGCCGTGGCTTGCCTTCTGCCACCATCCTGTCAGCATTACAACTATTGAATGACGAAAATCGACCTATAGACCAACCTTCGGACATAGACAGATCACGAACTAGCTGTCCTATTTGGGAAGTATTATCCTCACTCCAGACAGCCCCAGACTAGCCAAATTTAGCTTTAAGCAGCGGTGAGGGAAAATCATCCTGAAGAACATGTCAGGTCCTACATGCATATGTAGGCGTCGAAGGGATGATCCTTGCAAGAAGGGGTGGAGTAGGGAGACATTCAGGTTTCTTCATATCTTTTTCCCTCATTTACTGCTCACCCACCCTATGCGCAATAATAGTGGCTGATATCTGACCCCAACGATCTTGAGACAACATGGATAACACATTTCGGGGCTCCAACTGGGCCTGGGCAGTGGCCATTATCTCGTTCCTAGGACTTTTCACTATTTTCTTTGTCTCGCCACACCTCTTCCCATCAAAATTGACGGTGATCAATGGTGGAAAAGCCTGGGATATCTTTCGCACCACGGCAAAGAAGCGATTTCGTTCAGATGCGGCAAGTCTTCTAAAGAGCGGGTTTGAGGAGGTGCGTATAAGACAAACTACATTATCTAGGATACAATGCTGAAGTTCCCTTGTCATTCCAGTCTCCGGATGCCTTTCGCATTCTCACTGACAACGGGTCCTTACTGGTCTTGTCACCTCAATACGCTCGAGAGGTTCGCAGCGATGACCGACTTAGCCTAGACCATTTCATTGCCTCGGTTCGTCTTGTTCCATGTCCAATGCCTTCCTAGTTATCGTCACTAAGCCTCCACTGATTAGGAATTTCACCCCGACATCCCAGGTTTCGAGCCGTTCAAATTGATCTTGGATCCAAAAAACCCGTTGAACACGATCCTCAAGTCCAACCTCACACAAGCACTGGGTATTTTTATCCTCCAACCGGACTCTTGTGCAACCCATTCCGTGGCTAATATCACTTCTCTGAGTAGCATACATCACAGAGGATTTGTCTGCGGAGGTTACAGAGGCACTATCTGCAACCTGGGCCGATGACACCAGTGAGCTCCAAACTAGATGATTGGCAGATTTTCTGGTATGAATGCTAACTAGTTTTTCTTGTGATAAAAGAATGGCACGAGGTTAGCGTAAGTCAAACAGCTCTCAAGCTTGTCGCACAGATGGCGTCCAAGGCCTTCATAGGACAAGAAAAATGCCGGGATCCCAAGTGGCACAACATTATCATCACCTACACGCACAACGTCTATGGAGCAACACAGGCACTCCACTTTTGGCCTAGTTTCCTACGACCCATAGTGGCACGGTTCTTGCCCGCATGTAAAGTGTTGCAGGCTCAGATTGCCGAAGCACGAGAGATCCTGGAACCCTTGGTGGCCCAGAGGCGAGCCGAGAAGGCCATCCGAGCGACTCTGGAGAAGCCTGCGCCGTCCCGTGGGGATATCATTGATTGGCTGGAGGATTCTTATGGCGACCAACCGTACGATGCCGTGGCTGCACAGCTGCTGCTCTCGTTCGCTGCTATTCATGCAACCTCTTACCTCCTGGCGCAGGTGCTCGTGGATCTCTGCAGTCATCCGGAGCTAGTACAAGATCTTCGGGCAGAAGCTGTATCCGTGCTGGGTAAAGAGGGATGGACTAGGGCTGCCTTGTACCAGCTGAAACTAATGGACAGCGCACTCAAGGAAAGTCAACGCCTGGCCCCAAACAGATTGTGTGAGTGGGCCCTTCTCTTTACCCCCAAATTGGGCATGAAAAACTAATTCAGTTGTGCTTTGACAGTATCCATGGGACGCATTGCGCAGGGTGATATGAACCTGTCTGATGGTCTCCGTATCACTCGAGGCACGACTCTGATGGTGTCTTCCCACAGCATGTGGGATGCTGAGATCTACCCGGATCCACGGCAGTACGACGGCTACCGATTCCATAAGCTACGGCAGACATCGGGGCAAGAGGGCCAGCACCAGCTGGTATCCTCGACGCCGAATCACATGGGGTTCGGATACGGGAAGCATGCTTGTCCGGGACGGTTTTTCGCCGCAGCCCAGATCAAAGCTGCCCTGTGCAATATCCTTCTCAAGTATGATATTGAATACAGGGGTGGGCAGTCACCGGGGGTCTGGAGCCAGGGTATTCATCTGTATCCCGATCCGACGTCTAGGATCCACGTCCGTCGACGGAAAGAGGAGATTAATTTGTGATCACTGTCTCACTATGCGGACTTAGTCGAATGCAAGGACACCCTCTGTGATTTTTGAACCGTGATTAAGCAACATTTTTGGAATGTGGAGCCCGTCATGCATAGTACTCACGACTACCATTGGGCCGATCTCTTCGAGACCACGAGAGCAATTTAGAAACTGTCTTTTCTGAAGAACTAGCAGATAAATAATACAATTGTTTTTACTCCGTACTTTGCAAATGACTCAATAATACTATTCCCCCAGGGTGAAGAAACTAAAATATTTTTAAACTTCGGATGTATGTCGCTATACCTGCTCCACCCAATCCATCCGAGTGATCAGCCCTTTGACTCTAATTTTCAGCTTCAAGCTCTAAAAAACCCCCAATATGCTGCAAATCCTAGATAAGTGTGAGAGAGATAACTAGACAATTGCCATCTCAAAGTGACTCTGCAGTCACTGTAGTAAAGCAAAAGCAATAAACAAAAAATCAAGAAATTAATGTTTAATAATGGTAGAGATTAGAATATATCTTTGCCATGGTGGCAGAACAATGCATATTGTGAAAACAGGTTTTGAAGAGCTGAAGATGCGGTGATTTCTCTGCATGATACATGGAATCCGGAAAATTGATGCGAATCTACGGAGTACGGAGTATATACTTCGAGGTGTTAGCTGCGCAGATCATGACATGTATGCTATTGATATGGTTGCATTAGCGGTGACTCAAAAAGCAAGTCTAAGACCTTGGTCTATTGAGTAAAATAGGGGCGAACGTACTATACGTATACCACCGTTACAAAATAGTGGTATTAGAAAAAGCAAAGAAATTAGGGCAAGAATTCCTGCCATCGACCTCCGTATCCCTTGCTGCCAGTACCTGCCAGCATCGATTGGCCCTCTGGAAATTGTGCAACAAAGAAACCAGGCTGTTAAATCCCCTACTCTTATTCCACAGCAGACGTAGACCGGAGTGCTCTTCCTGTCTTTGCACACAGTTTTTGTTTTTAAATGCTCACTATGATTAGGCTCGAAGATGCTTCCATTGAGGGTTTATTGCTGACATGCGTCCTTGTGCTTGCAGGCCTGCATCTCCTTCGACTGACACTGCTCGGTGACCGATTGGACGAGTTTCCCAGCATTAATCCGCGGAAACCCTGGGAAATTGTCAATGTCTTCGCTCAAAGAAGATTCCAACAGAATGGTCCTGCGTATCTGCAAGCTGGGTTTGCAAAGGTATGTTCCATAAGCAACTGCCCCATTCAAATGGAGACTAAAGGGTACAGTCGCCCATCTTTAGCGTGGTCACCGACCTAGGGCCAAAATTAGTGGTGTCTGGGGCCTTCATCGAGGAATTCAAAGATGAAAAGCTGTTGGATCATTGGAAGTCGATGGTCGAGGTGAGTGCGGTGGGAGTAGTAGTGGAAGAGCAGGCGCTTACTTGTCCAAGGACTTTATGGCAGAGGTCCCTGGTTTCGAGTCGATGTTTCTAGGGAGTTTTCACAATACGGTTCTTCGCGATGTGATTTCCGTCATCACACGCGAACTAGGTAATTATTTTTCTCCCGTTACGATCAGCTCATCCACTGACCCGGTCTCTATAGAACAGTTACTGCCTCCCCTCTCGGATGAAGTGTCGGAGGGTTTGGTGGATACTTGGACAGATTCATCAGGTGGGTCAAAGCACACCCAAAAGAAACCCTGATAAAATCACAATTAATTTCAATGTAGACTGGCACGAGGTCGCACTGCTTCCCAGCATGCTGGGGTTGATCGCGAAAGTCTCATCTCTCGTCTTCGTGGGCGAACCCCTGTGCCGTGACCCAGTCTGGTTGGAAACAGTCATCAACTTCACCCTCATTCGACACAACGCACTCCTAACTCTCCACAAGTGCCCTGCTGTCCTTCGGCCCGTCCTTCACTGGGTTCTCCCTCCATGCCAGAAACTCCGGCGGGAGATCAAAACTGCACGGACACTCATCAACTCTGCTCTGGAAAAGTCAAGAAAGAATCCGCAGACTGAGAAATTCTCCAGCGTTGCCTGGGTCGACGCTTTCGCCAACGGCAATAAGTATAATGCCGCCATGGTGCAGCTGAGACTGGCGAATGCGTCCATCCACTCCAGCGCCGATCTGTTGGTCAAGGTGCTTATCAATCTATGCGAGCAGCCAGGCCTGATTCAGGATCTCCGGGACGAGATTGTTTCCGTTCTCGGGGAGAATGGATGGAGATCCTCGACATTGAACCAATTAAAGCTCCTTGATAGTGTTTTGAAAGAGAGCCAGCGATTGCATCCAGTCACGACCGGTATGCATCCCCCGCTGTCCAACCTGCGTGCATATGCTCACCATTTATCTTAGGTTCATTTTCGCGCTTTACGCGGCAGGATATCAAGTTGGCCAACGGCACCAAGATTCCCAAAGGAACACCTGTTATGGTTACTAACGATGTCGCCGGGGATGCCAGCATCTATCCTGATCCCCAGGTCTTCGATGGGTACCGGTACTTGAGAATGCGTGAAGGAGCCGACAAGGCCCGGGCACCGTTCACAACGACGGGCCAAAATCACCTTGGCTTTGGGTACGGGAAGTTTGCCTGTCCTGGTCGATTCTTTGCTGCTACCGAGATCAAGATAACGCTCTGCCATATGTTGCTGAAGTATGAATGGAGGATGGTGAAGGACAGCCCGCATGATATGCTTACAAGTGGCTTCGCGTCGTTCCGTGACCCACGAGCAAGTATAGAAGTCCGAAGACGCGCGCTAGGGGGAGAAGGGCTCGAAGTATTGACTGGAAAGAAGTGATCGAGAGGAAATCACGGAACCTTTAGTATCAGAAACCATTCCCAAAAATAAAAGAGTTGTGCATTTCAAGCCCCATGATCAATGGAGAATAGGAATATTAGGTCAGATACGGAGTATATGCAATTGTTCACAAGTCTTAGTATTCATGAATAATACACTTCTTGGACTCTATATTATCACCCAAAACAGATCATTGTGAAACCGAAGAAAAGACCAGTCCACAGCTGTATATGCCATCTTGCAGGGGGGAAAAGGGATGAGTGGGTGACGGTATTTCGGTGTGTTGTATTATGACGGATCTGCGTATAAACCCTGCCCACCAGACCCTAGTAGACCGTATTTATTCTCTTTGACATCCGTTTCCACAGTAATTCTTTGACACAAATCCCAGCAACGTCGTATCACCATCCTCGATTGATATTCTCTTCCCAATTCTTGCTTCATTTCTTACAGCATTCTACAAAGCTACCATGGACGGGTGGTCAGATCTCTCATCAGCACCTCCCGAGTACAAGAATGTTTCCTGGCTAGCAGATCGGGCTCTGTTGGCCCAAGGAGTGGGATGGTCAATCAACTACCTGGCCATGATATACCAATCGCACAAAGACCGCTCCTATGGCATGGCCATCCTGCCACTGTGCTGCAACTTCGCGTGGGAATTCGTCTACACCGTCATCTACCCTTCTCAAAATCCCTTCGAGAGAGGCGTCCTCACAACATGGATGGTCCTGAACGTCTACCTCATGTACACTACCATCAAATTCGCTCCCAATGAATGGCAGCACGCCCCGCTCGTCCAACGGAGTCTTCCAGTGATCTTTCCTGTGGCAATTGCGGCTTTTACAGCGGGCCATCTGGCATTGGCTGCGACGGTCGGAGTGGCCAAGGCAGCCAACTGGGGCGCCTTTCTGTGCTTTGAACTTTTGACTGCCGGTGCAGTGTGCCAGCTCTTGAGTCGGGGATCCAGCCGCGGGGGATCGTATATAATTTGGTATGTTTTTTTTTTTTTTTTTGGCTTGCTTCAGGGTCTGGTGACTAATTTGGGGTTAATAGGATTTCGAGATTTTTGGGCTCTTATGTCGGTAGTATCTTTATGCATGTACGAGAAACCCATTGGCCGCAGGAGTTTAACTGGATCAGTCACCCTTTCGTCGCCTGGCATGGTATAATGTGTTTCTCGCTGGATATTTCTTATGTGACATTACTTTGGTACACTCGTCGGCAGGAGCACCAAGGCAAATCGAAGAAAACTCCGTGATCGACAGGATGCATGGTGTTCTGTCATTTTCTACAGATCGTGCTAAATGGCGGTGACCCCAAATCGAGATCGGAAAACTTCTCCGTACGCTTAGGGGAGAGCTGAATATGCCAGGGGGATAATCAGTCTCGATCCGGCCCGATCCGGCCCGATCCGGCCGACAATGCTTTGTTCGAGTGGGTCCAATTGTCTAGTCTAGAATACGAGGTATCAGTTTTCATAACAGGTTTATAGTGGATATTCCCTATGGGCGATATCAGGTATTTTGGATAAACTTGCATGCGACAATATGAATACCCCGATCTGGCAACTGCGTGTCATTGTTACATACGGAAGTATATAGGTATCAGTCGTAAATTTATTTGTATATATGAAACTCAAGGTTTGTGTGTTTACTCCGTACCTTCCCATTCCATTCCAGTGCCATTGAGAGCATCATGAAGGTCATCATTGTCGGAGGATCCATCGCCGGCCTCTCCCTCGCCCACTGCCTGGAAAGGGCCAACATTGACTATGTCATTCTAGAGAAGAAGGAGGAAATAGCCCCCCAGGAAGGCGCATCCATTGGTATCATGCCCAATGGTGGTCGGATCCTGGAACAGCTTGGGCTATACGACCGGATTGAGGAGCTGATTGAGCCTTTGGTAAAGGCGCATGTAACCTACCCCGACGGCTTTGGCTTTACAAGTCGGTATCCTGCACTCATACAGCAGCGGTACGTCGAGATACAATGTCCACTTGCTGTTCTAGACTAATGTAAAAGATGTTAGGTTTGGCTATCCACTTGCATTCTTGGATCGACAGAAGTTACTACAGATCCTGGCAACTGAACCCATTCAATCCGGCCGAGTGAGACTAGATCACAAGGTCGAGAGCATTGAAACCTCACCAGATAGCGTCACGGTGAGAACAAGCAATGGACAAACCTATCAGGGCGATCTTGTCGTGGGGGCCGATGGAGTGCATAGTCGGGTACGAGCGGAGATGTGGCGATTGGCCAATGCCTCGCAGGGGACCATTTTTGGGAGTGAAGACAAAGGTATTATCTCTAGTTTCTATGGCCTATCTCTTGGTCTTTTGACTTTGGACTGGAAAGCTAATGATTTTAGGGTTTACAATCAACTATGCCTGCATCTTCGGAATTTCGTCACAAGTCGATCAATTGGACCCGGGCGAGCAAGTCACCTGTTACAATGATGGGTGGAGTATCCTTAGCGTGATCGGACAGAATGGCAGGATCTATTGGTTCCTCTTTATCAAGCTGGAGAAGGAGTATGTCTATGACGGATCACACGAAAGCCTGCCACGCTTCAGCCGCGAAGATGCCCGAGTTCATTGCGAGAGGCTGGCGCAGGAGCCACTCCGGAAAGATGTCACATTCGGCCAGGTCTGGGCTCGATGCGAGGTCTTTCAAATGACCCCTTTGGAAGAAGGTTTACTCGGCAAATGGCACTGGAGAAACATTATATGCATTGGAGACAGCATGCATAAGGTCAGCAGCCCAATATCACTCTTGCTTTACTAGGAAATTTGACCAACAGGCCTACCCATGCAGTTCGCACCGCATATCGGACAGGGTGCCAATTGCGCTATCGAGGATGCAGCCCAGCTCAGCAACAGTCTCCACACTTGGCTGCACGGTTGTGGAAAGGAGCACCAACCGGCAGCTGATGCTCTGCCAGAGGTTCTTGCTAGATTTGTCGAGGATCGCCTCCGTCGGCTAGGACCGACGGCCATGGCCGCTCGATCTGCCATGCGTCTCCACGCGCGTGAAGGGCTCATAAACCGGATTCGGGGGCGCTATCTCTTGCCCTACGCTGGTGATAAGCCGGCTGACTGGGCTTCCCGAGGAATTGCGGGTGGTATTACCTTAGACTTTGTAGAGTCACCCGCACGCTCCGGCCCTGGCTGGGTTCAATTCAGCCAGTCAGGTAAGAGGACTTCGTTTCCTATGGCTTTGGCCGGTTTGTGCCTAGTGGCTATTGTTGCCCGAATAATGTATTTAAAATTGGTTGCATAGTGGCGGCGATATGGGACAACAGAAAGCTTGGCACATTTTCGCAATTCGATAGATCACCTGCATCGAGCCTGAAGAAGATCTACATGATCTGCAAAATTCCAAGCTCGTGTACGGAGTATTGTTTCCTTACAGATAGTACGAGCTGTCATAGTGGAGCTATGCAGAAGGCAATTCCGATTTATTGCTATCTACTCCGTATCGCGATCTTGTAGTCCAGTCAGCCATTTCTTTAGCGTGTGAATTGTATTGAGCCCATCTCGGCCCATTTATGGATGGTCTTGTCACCTCAAAAGGTTATGATCACACATTGCTTGATGCTTCCAGACCAGACTTCATTATTGATCAATCTGTCATGATGGCTGGCTCTCAATCTACAGCACAGCTGGTTCGCAACCTCATTGATGTCTCCCGATTTGACAAATATAACTGTTTATTTGCTATATTCCCTGGAGGTAATCTAGATCCCTTCAACATACTAGTACCCCGCTAACAATTCCTCTAGTCTGGTCTATCTTCCTTGCGGCAGCCTCACGACACGCCAATGGCGACCCCGTTCCTCTGGACTTCGTGCTTGGTCGCGCAGGACTGGCCTTTATGTACACTTATCTACTGAGCGGCGCGGGAATGGTATGGAACGACTGGATCGACCGGGACATTGATGCCCAGGTCGCCCGTACCAAGAACCGCCCCCTCGCCTCCGGTCGGCTTTCCACCAAAGCTGCCCTCATCTGGATGCTAGTCCAGTACGCGGGCTCGGTCTGGTTGATGGACCGCATGGTGAACGGGCAGAACGTGTACGTCATCCCCATAATCAAAGCAATCATCATATTGATTGGAAACTGACAACCCACTCATTCTCTAGATGGACATTCATGCTCCCCCTAACAACCGGTATCATCTTGTACCCCTTCGGCAAGCGACCCACAAGTCGTAAGCTGGGCGTCTACCCCCAGTACATCCTCGGTGCAAGCAGCGCCCTCACCATCCTCCCAGCCTGGGCCTCCGTCTTCCCAAGCGGTATATCCATGAAGGACCTGGGTGTGCAGTGTCTCCCGCTCTCCGTCTTCCTGTTCCTCTGGACCATCTACTTCAACACCGCCTACAGCTACCAGGATATCAAGGATGACTGTAAGCTCAACGTGAATTCGTCATACGTCCTTGCGGGAAGTCATGTGCGCGGATTGCTTCTGTTACAGGCTGCTTCTGTGGTGCTGGTGATCCCTTGGATTCTTTATACCAATGGGTCTGCTTGGCTGTGGTTCTCGTGGCTGGGAGTGTGGACGGCGTCCCTCGGCGAGCAGCTGTATCTCTTTGATGTGAAGGATCCGAGTAGTGGTGGCAAGGTTCATCGGCGCAATTTTGGGCTGGGAATTTGGAATGTTCTCGCTTGCTTTGTTGAGCTGCTATTTGTGTCGGGCTCTCTGTGAATGGTTTGGTTTTGATGTAGAGTTTGAGAGTTTGGGAATGGGTAAATGGTTATGCGATGTTGGCACAGTAGGAATTATTCGTAAATCTTCGTTATATATGGATACTTGTTTGCTTCCCCCTTTCAATTAAGAAGTTGCTGGAATTTGCTCTGATACTCAAGACATTATTGAAAATTTTAATACCAGAGGGAGACATCCTATGTCTCTCGTTCATTACTTCTTATGGAACTGCAATTGCGAGACTGCTCTAGAACGTTACGGCGCAAGGATAGAAAGGTCAACCATTCGAAATTCTCTACTATGGCACATATGTTATGCATAGGTTAATCCTATGGCTGCCATCCTGTAGCCCAGCAGAACAAGGGATCCTTTGCTAACAGAGACTGATCATCACGATTCAGAGTCAGATGCAAGTCCCACGGCTCCGTACTTGCCTGAACATCCCGACGCTTTGGAAGGATAAAACACATTCCCCCCAAGACAGGCACATGCAGTTGGAACCCTCGAGGCTGCGCTCCAAAACTCTCCCCAAAATCCAGTCCGAAGATTCCAAAATTTCTGAAGCTGCTCAAGGGGATGGGAACTCCCCGGAATCCAGTCTCCGCCCAGTCAGCCTGCGAGTGGAGATGGGATAGAGCGTCTTGGATGTAGTCTGCATCGACTGCCAGAAGGCTCTGGCGTATACTAGCTGCAATCTGCATGAGCTCTTCCAGACACTCCTGGCGCAATTCCACCGAAGGATCTGCGCCATCGACCGGGGACTCGTTCCTCCCAGGTTGGATTGGCGTGTATGTCAGTAGCACCATGTTTCCCAGATAGTCATCAAAGGCTGGCGTTTTGAGATTGCCGCGCATGTCCACCGCGATTGACAGTTCGGTAGATTTACCAGCCAATTGTCCCGCTTGTCGAAGTATCATAGCCATCAGGGCGCTCACAATATCGTTACTGGACAGGAACCCCGGATTTGGCCTCCCATTATCCTGGGCAGATGTTTGTCCCTTTACCAGGGCATTGCAAGCTCCCTTCAAATACTCGATCTTAGAACCGGGAATCGTCAATCTCCAGGTTACAAGCTCGGTGGCTCTCGCCCGGACGAATCCCGACCAATTATGTGCGAGTAGCGCTGCCCATTCTCCGAGGCCGCAATAGTGCTGGCTGAAATCCGCCTTTGAAGAACTAGAACTGCTTTCTGAGACAAGACGTTCAATCTCCGATCGCAACTGCCAGTCTGGCAGTAAATTTGCAGAAGAAGTCGCCGTTGGGTCCCTACAGCAATCGGCTAGAAGGCCCAAGACTCGCGCAGCGCCTGCGCCATCCATTGCAGAATGATGAAACGTCATGGCGAGAATAACCCCATCGCACATGACATTTGCTTGAAAGCGTAGAATCGGCCTTCGTGGTAACGAAATATCCATGTCGATAGGCAACGGGGCCAGCCGACTTATGATCTCCTGCTCCTCGGCGCCCGATATGAGGCATTTTGATTGGATTTCACTGATCGACTCGGTCTGGGAATTTCGTATCTGGAGCATAGGGAACTGGACAAGCGACTCTGGGGCTTCTGGTTCGATCTGCCAAGCATACTTCGTTTGGCTGGACTCCGTCCGGCGAGTCACGTCCCCTACAAGGAAGGGGTGGACCTTCAGCAGTAGTTTGATGCCATCCTCGAGGACACGAATGCTTTCCCCGGGTTGCGTGGCCTGGAAGAACAGCAAAAAGGTGACGTTCATTCCAAGGGGGTTGTGGTCGAGAGAAGATAGAGGGTATGGAGAGCGGTCGCTGGGAGCCCTCAGGGTATCGCACATGCCATCTTCACATAGACCATGAAGTCTAACAAGTCCCTCTTTGACCTGATGCCCCTGATTGACTGGGGAGCATACTTCCTGGGTGCTCATGATTTTCGTGTGTTATCCTACCGAGTCGAGTTGGATGTGTTTTACTCGGTCACTTATTTTAACTTCTGACCATCTCATTTCGCTTACTTTGTCTTTCTTTGTATTCCATTATCCTAGGCCGAGATTCTTGTAGTCTTTGCGTTCTGCATGATTACCAGCATAATTTTCTTAATTCGGTAAACAAATATGTCGATCTCTCGCAGATCTCGGATCAGACGTATGCGTTTTGATGCAAGCTGCATGAAGCTTTGCATAGTGTACTCCGTGTACAGGTCATAAATTATCCTGGCTTACTTTCCAGCTAGATATCACGAAGATATTTCTACATGATGATAAATCGCAAAAGAGGGTTAGTAATTAAATCAGTCACACTCATCCCTATTAGGGTTTGGAGACAATAACATAATACCAGCTGAAGATGTGAGCACTATATGCTAAAAAGATAGATAGCAACATGTATTTTCCAAGTCCTTTTTTGATCAGCTTGATCCACATATGTCTACTTCTAGATCCGGACAGCAGCAAAACCCCGTCTCTTCACATATACCCATGAGGAACGACAAGCTCTGACACAAAGTGGAATTTTCAGGCACTATCAAGACCAATCATACTACTTCACAGGAAAGTTACGTCTAATTCTTGAGTCTACCCCTCCTCGATCCACAACTCATCTCAGCCGAGTCAAATATGCATTCATTGGCTATAAGCTGCGAGCCGAGATTGGCTGGAACTACGCCATCTAGAGCACTGTGCAAATTTAGGCAAATGATCATGTACCATGTCAGTCTCTATTAAAATTGGATTCCGTACGGAGAAAAAGCTACTAGTGAGTTTCTGTACTCCCTGTAGGTGGAAGGAGATAAATAGGTGACATTAGTATCGGAACCAATGGCTTGCCATGCATCCATCTCCCTTACATGGTACAGAAAGAGAAAAAGCACATGTATATTGTGTACTCCGTACATTGGGATTACTTGATCTCTATATTACCTCCTTCCTGCAGTCCGTTTCTCACTGGGCGCGTTTCTCACTGCGGGATTATCACACAATGGATTCCCTAATGGCGAATCCGCTGTGGTCCAACATTGCCCATGAGCTGACACTTTACCTATCTTTTACTGTGCCAACCGCCTTTCTCATCATAACAACACAAAGGTCATCCTATGTTCGACGGGCTTGGGCACCATGCCTTCTTTACATCCCGTACCTATTCTCTCTTCGGGTACCCTCTCTGTCCACGAGTCAATTCCTGAAAGGTGTGACAGCGGGCCAGACAACTGTGGCTGCTCTGCAATGCCTCAATCTTCTCCTGATCACGAAGCTGGACCAAACTGATCTGCTACGGGCAAATTTGTACAGTCCGTCTGCAGGTCTGCTTTCTCGCCTTTCTCGTACTTGGGCATTACTGCTCAACTTCCGCGGAATCGGCACGACTTGGGAGGTCAGGAATATACCCCAGCACGCAGCTTATGTCCAACCAAACGGCAGGAATCAACCGATGAGCCGGAAGCGATATGTCTTGCGGGAAAGTGTCATCATCGTATGGCAATACCTGCTCCTTGATCTCATCTATGAGTCAACCAAGAACACGTCCCCCGAGGACTTGATGCGCCTCTTCGGCCCCGGCTTGGAATTCAAGTATCTCGACGCAACGTTTGAGCAGTGGATGGGGCGCCTCTCTGTGGGGGTCTTCTCCTGGCTTGTGCCTTCCCGCGTCTGTCTTAGCCTTTCTTCCCGCATTTACTTCCTCATCTTGGTGGTCTTGGGCATTTCTTCGCCAGAGTCTTGTCGACCGGGCTTCGGGAGATTGCGGGATGCATGCACCATGCGTGGAGTCTGGGGGTAAGCGAACTCTTCTGACAGTTTGGCAGAGCAATTTAGACACTCATATTCATTCACTAACACCATCACAGCAAGTTCTGGCATCAATTCTTTCGTTGGCCACTTACCTCTGTTGGCAACTATATCGCAAGAGACGTCCTCGGGCTTCTCCGTCCCTCGCTCTTGGAACGCTATACCAACATCTTCTTCACATTTTTCACATCCGGCGTATTGCACCTTGCCTGCGATGCTATTCTAGGCGTCCCGCTGTCTTCGTCAGGCGCCATGCAGTTCTTCTGCTCGTTTCCGCTTGCTATCATGATCGAGGATGGGGTTCAGGAGGTTTGGCGGAGAGCAATGGGCCAGGAAAAGGACGATGATCGCGTAGTACTGCTCTGGCAGAGGCTCGTGGGATATCTTTGGGTGGGTGTCTGGATGTGTGTCACATCTCCATGGTACTTGTACCCGGCTGCGCGGCAACAGGTGGAGAAGAACTGGATGGTGCCGGTCAGTGTTGTAGAGGAAATTGGCCTGGGAACTGCCCAAAAGATTCTGTTGGGTTATGGCTTGTTCGTATACTGGGCGATTGATGGAGAGATTTAAAGTGATGTGGTGGTGTGTTGAGATCGTTGGTAGGATATATATTTTGTTCTACTGAACCTTCTTAGAGCGAAAATATCAATTAAGTGGTGGTAGTAGTGGTGGAATCATGGCGTTATCTATCACTAGTTTACTTAGGATTAATATAAAAAGGTACTTTAAGAGTGTTATAGTAAGGTCATGGGTCATGTGATAGGAGTGTAAAATACTATAGGGACACTATAATAATTTACACGGGCTAGTTGTGAAAAGTGACCAGCGGGAGACATACCCGAAGTAATTTAGCTAAAAGTGTGCCGCTAGCAAAAAAGTGTGCCCATAGTCCTGCTCTCTGAATAAGTAGGGAGGAACAATAAAAGAGCGACTTCTCCCTAATAGGACCAAGCATGAAAGTTGAAAAGCCACCTAATTTCAGTCCCAGAGGACCTCGATATCTCTGGCCTTGGTCACTTCCTTGATGTCATCAATCAAAAGATCCGCTCGAGTGAAGCGAGTGATACCTTCCTTCTCGAATCCCGCAAATACCATCCCAAGAATAAGTCTCTGGAGTTCCCCTCTTGCTGCTTCTCTCTTGCAGCCAACCATTGCCCCGGAGTCCCCTGGCGTAGAGAAAAGCTTTCCTCCAACGCCAGAAATGGAATATTCAAGGGTAGTGACAGTGGTAACAACCCCGTCTTCCATATTTGTGGCGATATTGGCAACCCGAAGCGCATGGTAAACTCCAATTGATTTACCAGAGCGATATCCGTTCATGAAGACCTTTTGTCCGTGTAGGTCTATGCTTTGTAAAGTCGCATGCATGGCGAATCTCTCGGGGATGAAACTGGGTTTCTCGTCGAAAAACTAGAAGAATAGTTAGCGGACAGCAATCAAACGGACTAAGCAAATTAGCAGAAGGGAGGGAAAGGATAATATGATTAGAGTCACATACCTCGTTGGATGGCCGGCGAGCAGGACTCAAGTTGACAAGGGCCCAGTCAAGATGGGTAGGATAATCCACACTATCGTTTTCAAAGTCATAGTTCTTCTGCTTGAAGCCAGAACCAGCAAAAACGGGTCCAAGCAGTTGACGGCAACCTTTGAAACAATCATGGAGGGCCTGGATATCCACCTTTTGCTGTTTGACATCAGCCTTGGTCTTTTCATAGCGCCGGCGTTGGGGGCTACTAAGCACTTCGAGTGCCTCGTCAAGCTCAAGTTGTTGAAAGCTCCGATAGTCCTGCCAACGCTCAGTGTCTTGAATGTCCTCTTCCATCTTTGATACTTGTTCTCTGTAAGCAAGTCGAGTTGGGTGGTCAACGAGAAGGAGGCGGTCAATATCGTTGTTGGCACGGTTTGGTGTGATACCATCTTTGTTCCAGTTCTTGATTACTAGGTGGCAAAGTCAATATCGACAGGGCTCGAGATATAGACAAGAGTTACTTACCTCCTTTATCCCTATGGGAGAGATCGGCCAAAGGGGGGACCACCATATGCCAGCAAGTCAAAGCAAAGGTCTCCCACTGATCAGAGGATGGGTGTTTGAGTTTCACGAAACACCCTAAAGTGCCACTGCCGTCATGGTTTTGAGATGAAGCGATAGACTGGGTTGCCATGGTCCGGCCATCATTCTTCCGAAATCCTTCGAGAAGACCAGTGCTGATCCCTTCGCAGCGCCGCGGCGCCTGATACACCGGCCTATCCATAACAATCTCCACAGCAACCATCTGGAGGCGCCGCGTCTTCAGAATGGAAACGACCTTCTCCCGAGCTTCGGTCCAGTCCTGATTGCGATCGACCAGAATTAACACGGTTGGTGCACAATCCAGGTGCTCGGAGCTTCTGCCGCGCCGGAAGCATCCAATAGATCGAACTGAAGTTAGGTCCAATCGACCTAAAAGCTCCTTCAATAGAGGCTCCCATTGCTGGAAGATTTTGTCTTCTTGGAGAACAGGAAAAGTCTTCATGGGCGTGAAAGCGATGGGGTCGGCAATCTCTACCGAGCAAGAAGCAAGACCATTGCTAACCAAGAGACCTCGTAGCTCTCTTGCGCATCGGAGCCAAGTGTTATCGACCGTTTCTCTGTTTGCCGGGATCCAAAGAGTCAGACAGGGCTGTGGCTCGGGGTCGATCATAGACCGCCGACCGAGGAAGGAAAACCGGATACCAATATCATCTTGGTTGAGATGATACTTGTCGATGACGCTGAGGATTTTCTTCGAAAGTTCTCGTCCTTCATCATATTCGATACAGGTCAGTCGGAACTTGGGGTGGTCTCTCGGCACGACTACGCTGGTCGTGGGAATAGAGCATAGGTAAGGGCCTCCGACCCTTAAATCCTCATTGTGGAGGTTATCTTCGGTCAGTTGGCCTTCGTCGTCACTGCTGCCACGAGATCGTCGCTTCCGTCCATCCTGGCCGATCTTCCCGTCCTCGTCATTGAAACCTCGACTTCGGCGCTTACTGTCATGCCTCTCGAGGGACTCTCTATCTGGTTGATCACCACGCACTCGGACGACCAGAGGAGATGCGTATGAGAGTTCGTGTTTAGAACCACGTGAAGCAGATCGGGCCAGTGTAGGTAGCGTTGCCATATTTGAAGCAAAAGTTTGAGATGGCGAAAAAGGTTGTGAAGATAGTTGTGAAGAGCGCTTTGAAGATAGTGGAAGGATGTTCGGTGCTCGAAAATGATGCTCCAAGCCAAAGTTTAAAATGGTAAACAGAGTTGCGAGGAGAGCTGTGAGGAGAGTAGTCAAGAGAGTTGTCAAGAGGGTAGAAAGATGCTCGGTGCTTTAAAAAAATGCTTCAAGCAAAGGTTTGAGCAGATAAAGAGTTTAGAATGCTCAGTCCGTGAAAATAATGATTCAAAGAAGGGTTGAGCTGGCGAGGAGGGTGCAATATGAAAAGGGAAAAGAAAGTGAGAGAGGAGTGAGAGAAAAGTGAGATAGGAGTGTGAGAAAAGTGAGAGAGGAGTGAGAGAGGAGTGAGAGAGTGAGAAAAGATTGAGATTGATTGTCACAGTCTATGGCCGTTCCAGAATGGGATGCGGATGTCCTCCATACATAAGTTGTTCTAATAGCCTCAGTATTACCGCATTTTAACCCTTTTAGAATTATTACCTTGACCATGGCACTGGTATGAACTAAATGATGACGATCTTCGTGGCCATCAGCATTCAAAGATTCTCTGAAACATGAGCCACCTAGTATATTCCACCTTGTTACGAAATATGTACTTGCTAATGAGCACCGACTCCTAGTATATATTGTCGGATATCTCAGGTACCCATACGATATCAGATCAACTTATTGGCATAGAAGGATATGGAACCAGGATATGTTTGGCAAAAAACAGCATGGAAACAAATTGGCAAGCAAAGGACATGGGGATCAAGAATTCAGCAGCTTAAATAGGATTACCAACTTCCTACGAAAGTACCATACGAATCAAGTCATCACCACATACATTGAAAGCATATCTTATGACTTGAATCAAGTTGGGTAACAAGAAAGCCTAGCTTAACGCAGGAAATGCTTGAGCAAGCCGTGCAGCATGGTCGTCATTTCTTTATAAGCATGCTGTCGTTTTGACATCAAAATCCTCGAAGATCTTTTTCGCCGAGCCGACGGCGATTTGGTCTTTTCCTTGAACCAGTTGTCCTCACCCTTCATCAATAAATCCTTTCAATGGCATTCCAATCAAGTGACCATTTTTCAAATCAGGTTGATTCTTCGGATCATGTAGCTCGGTCTGCACGGCAGGAGGATAAATCTCTAGCACCTTGACATGGCCAGGGCCCTCCTCCAACCGGGTGCGAAGGGCCAGGATAAAGCGTTGAAGGTCACCCTTGGATGCGTCGTCATTAGGGCAGCGTAACATGGGCACAATAGCCATTTGCGAGGTTGTAAAGGCAAGAGCAGTCGACTTCTTCTGGGCCTGAAGGTGTGGGAGAAAGGCCTTGGTGAGGTGGACAGGCACAGTGTAGTTCGTTACAAGTTCTTGGTCAAATATATTCAACTCCACAGTCTCGGGCTTAGAGAAGTTGAAGAGACGCTGGATCCCAGAGTTAACGAAGATGCAATCGATTTCAGGATTCTCGGCAAGAACTTCAGCGGCAAATTATGGAATCTGTATCCAATGAGCGCTTGTCTTCACCTACACGCCGGATCTTTCTCCAGCCGCCAAGTATTTCTTACCTCGTCCAGCTTGGTCACATCAAAACTCTTGCTTGTTACTTCAGCATTGCCATGCTGTCTAATGAACTCTTCCAGGTTCTCTTTGCGTCGACCGGAGATCACTAGGGGAATGTCGGATACCACTACTCTTTCAGCAAGGGCTTTACCATCATCCGAGGTGGCACCGATGATGAGAACTCTGTTGTAATCGAAGGACATGGTGATGATATGGAATACAATCGGAAGGAATAAGAAGTTAGTATTTGGAAAAACAAATGGTATTGGAGATCGAAGATTGATCATTATTCAACTTGCACTGATTACCAGACGCTTTATTAAATCGCGCCAAAGCATACGAGCAGAGCCATAATCTCAAGTTATGACATCTATTGAACTTCAGTCGGGAAGGTTCGGCAAGGTCTTGGCTTACGGTTTGGTTTCCGCTTTCAATTGCGGACAATTATATAATCTGGCACCTGTTCCAAGGTTCTATATATCTATAGAGCTTGAAGGACAATATAGTCAGACCATAAGTATGAAGTATGAAATCAATAGCCAAGATTGGTTAGTTTGCTTATGTCTGTAGCGTGAAATATCCATTATATGCAGTGTAAGACGCAAAAAACTCACGTCATATTTAGGACGGGTACCTGTCAGACATATGCTGAATTGCAAATCATGCGTGGCTTAGCCGGTCCTACTAAAGTCAACATAATATACAATCAAAACTAATTCTTATGGGTTTGACAGGATTGATATATTTCACGTGGAGCACCTTCTTTTGTTATCACAGTCTGTCTGAACTTGGCGTCTCTCCTCATTACTTGTCACTATCCTTGAATTTCCGTTTAGAGTATAGGATTTGCTTCCTCTCTTTCCTTTGTATTTAGCTACAAAAAAAGAAAAGAGCAAAAAAGAAATCTCAGGTTTGGTTTTTAGGAATAGCCGAACGCGGGGGTCGAACCCGCAGCCTTAAGATTAAGAGTCTTACGCTCTACCGATTGAGCTAGCCCGGCTGGGCTGTTGAAAGAGGCTGCAATATAGTGTTACATAAGCCTAAGACAAAGACGGGCTGACATAATGCTAGCGCGTCGAGCGGCGAATCCTCTGGAACCGAAATTGTAAGGTGGAAGGTGGCTTCATCTACGAATCTGGGCATTTCCTCGATTGGATACTATCATCGCCTCCCTGCTTCATATGAGTCTTTAATTTTCTGGTTGTTTGACTCTGACCGCGGCCACTAGATTGCCCATCATGTGCGATACCAGAACCTCCCCCCGATTCTTTGCTGCAGCTAACAGTATACAGGGCAAAGCTCGTGGACGACCATCAGATCCATACTGCCTCGCTGCATAACCCGATCCCTTGGCAATTGCATACATACGTCTGGCCTTTCCTCATCATCTGGCCCGTGTTCTTCGCCTTTTACCTTTCCCCCGAGCGCTATGATACCTACATTCAGGGACAGGAATGGACCTTCGTGTTCGCGGGGTCTATCGTCACTATCCAGTCGCTCTTTTGGCTGATGACCAAGTGGAACATCGATATCAACACCCTCTTTACTACTACTCGATCCAAGTCCATCGACACTGCCCGGCTTATCAAAGTGGTTCCGATCACCAATGCCGGCTCTGCCGAGATCTGCAACTTGATTAGAGAGTACACCGGCCCGAAGAAGACTTTGTCGTTCCTCTTCCAGAAACGCCGCTTCCTTTTTTACCCCGAGACTCGCACCTTCGCGCCCCTTTCTTACGCCCTTGACGCCGAACCGAAGCCGGCCCTTAAGACTTTCCAGCTGAACGAGGGCTTCACGTCGAAGGCCGAGATTGACCGCATCCAAAATCACTATGGCGATAACACCTTCGATATCCCCGTTCCCGGTTTCCTTGAGCTCTTCCAGGAGCACGCTGTCGCGCCGTTCTTCGTATTCCAGATTTTCTGTGTTGGATTGTGGATGCTGGATGAATACTGGTACTACTCGCTCTTCACGCTCTTCATGCTCGTCATGTTTGAGAGCACCGTTGTGTGGCAGCGTCAGAGGACCTTGAGCGAGTTCCGTGGAATGAGCATCAAGCCTTACGATGTCTGGGTATATCGTGAACGGAAATGGCAGGAGATCACCAGTGACAAGCTTCTTCCCGGCGATCTCATGTCGGTGAACCGCACCAAGGAGGACAGCGGTGTTGCCTGTGATATTCTTCTGGTTGAAGGCAGTGTCATTGTCAACGAGGCTATGCTTTCAGGCGAGAGCACACCTCTTCTGAAAGACTCTGTCCAGCTCCGTCCCGGCAATGACTTGATTGAACCGGATGGATTGGATAAGCTCTCGTTTGTGCACGGAGGTACCAAGGTCCTCCAGGTTACTCACCCTAATCTGACTGGCGACGCGGGTTTGAAGAACTTGGCCAGCAACGTTACCATGCCCCCGGACAACGGTGCCTTGGGTGTGGTTGTTAAGACTGGATTCGAAACCAGCCAGGGTAGCCTCGTCCGGACCATGATCTACTCGACTGAACGTGTCTCTGCCAACAATGTTGAAGCTCTGTTGTTCATTCTCTTCCTCCTGATTTTCGCAATTGCCGCTTCGTGGTACGTGTGGAAGGAGGGTGTGATCCAGGACCGCAAACGCTCCAAGCTTCTGCTCGACTGTGTCCTCATCATCACCAGTGTTGTTCCTCCCGAATTGCCTATGGAACTGAGCTTGGCCGTCAACACTAGTCTTGCTGCTTTGAGCAAGTATGCCATTTTCTGCACTGAGCCTTTCCGTATCCCCTTCGCTGGTCGTGTTGACATCGCTTGCTTTGACAAGACCGGTACCCTGACTGGAGAGGACCTTGTCGTTGATGGTATTGCTGGACTCACTTTAGGTGAGGCTGGTTCGAAGGTTGAAGCCGATGGTGCTCACACCGAATTGGCCAATTCCTCTGCTGCTGGACCCAACACCACTCTCGTTCTCGCCAGTGCCCACGCCTTGGTGAAGCTGGATGAGGGTGAGGTTGTCGGTGACCCCATGGAAAAGGCTACTCTGGAATGGCTTGGATGGACACTGGGCAAGAACGATACTTTGTCCTCCAAGGGCAACGCTCCCGTTGTCTCTGGTCGCAACGTCGAGTCTGTTCAAATCAAGAGAAGATTCCAGTTTTCCTCGGCCCTGAAGCGCCAGAGTACTATCGCGACCGTTACGACTAATGATCGCAAGGCTTCAAAGAAGATCAAGTCTACCTTTGTTGGTGTCAAGGGTGCCCCCGAGACCATCAATACTATGCTGGTCAACACCCCTCCCAACTACGAGGAAACCTACAAGCACTTCACCCGCAACGGTGCTCGTGTGCTTGCTCTTGCCTACAAGCACCTTTCAACTGAGACCGAGCTTTCCCAGAGCCGCGTGAACAACTATGTCCGTGAAGAGATTGAATCCGATCTGATTTTCGCCGGTTTCCTTGTCCTGCAGTGCCCGCTGAAGGATGATGCTATCAAGTCTGTCCAAATGCTGAATGAAAGCAGCCACCGTGTTGTCATGATCACTGGTGATAACCCGTTGACCGCTGTCCATGTTGCACGCAAGGTTGAGATTGTTGACCGTGAGGTTCTCATTCTTGATGCCCCTGAACATGACAACTCTGGAACCAAGATTGTCTGGCGTACCATCGACGATAAGCTCAATCTTGAAGTCGACCCCACTAAGCCCCTCGACCCGGAAATATTGAAGACTAAGGATATTTGTATCACTGGATATGCTTTGGCAAAGTTCAAGGGCCAGAAGGCTCTCCCTGATCTGCTCCGCCACACCTGGGTTTATGCTCGTGTGTCTCCCAAGCAGAAGGAAGAGATTCTTCTTGGTCTCAAGGATGCTGGATACACCACTCTGATGTGCGGTGATGGCACCAACGATGTTGGCGCCCTGAAGCAGGCCCACGTCGGTGTCGCGCTCCTGAACGGCTCGCAAGAGGATCTCACCAAGATCGCTGAACACTACCGGAACACCAAGATGAAGGAGCTGTACGAGAAGCAGGTCGGTATGATGCAACGATTCAATCAGCCCGCCCCTCCAGTCCCTGTTCTGATCGCTCACCTGTATCCCCCCGGTCCTACCAACCCACACTACGAGAAAGCCATGGAACGGGAGTCGCAGCGCAAGGGTGCCGCGATCACCGCTCCCGGCGCAACTCCCGAAGCTATCCCAACTATCACATCTCCTGGTGCACAGGCCCTGCAACAATCGAACTTGACCCCTCAGCAGCAGAAGAAGCAGCAGGCTCAGGCTGCCGCAGCTGGCCTTGCAGACAAGCTTACATCTTCTATGATGGAACAGGAGCTGGATGACAGCGAGCCCCCCACTATCAAGCTGGGTGATGCATCCGTCGCTGCTCCCTTCACTAGCAAGTTGGCCAACGTTATTGCTATCCCGAATATTATCCGTCAAGGTCGTTGCACCCTGGTTGCGACTATTCAGATGTACAAGATTCTTGCTTTGAACTGCTTGATCAGTGCCTACAGTCTGAGTGTCATCTACCTGGATGGTATTAAGTTTGGTGATGGACAGGTCACCATCAGCGGTATGCTGATGAGTGTCTGCTTCCTTTCTATTTCCCGCGCCAAGGTATGTCGTACTTCTCCATGTTGACAAAATGATTTGCTAATGTTTGAATGTGTGAAGTCTGTCGAGGGTCTGTCTAAGGAGCGCCCGCAGCCCAACATCTTCAACGTCTACATCATTGGATCTGTTCTTGGACAGTTTGCCATTCACATTGCGACTCTGATCTACCTCTCCAACTATGTCTATAAGCACGAGCCGTACGTTATGGGAACCCCACTCCAATTTGTCTCACCTCATGGCTAACACAATCAACAGGAGAGGTTCCGATATTGATCTCGAGGGCGAGTTTGAGCCTTCCCTCCTGAACAGTGCCATCTACCTCCTCCAGCTGATTCAACAAATCTCGACCTTCTCGATCAACTACCAAGGCCGTCCCTTCCGCGAGTCGATCCGCGAGAACAAGGGCATGTATTGGGGTCTCATCGCCGCATCAGGTGTTGCATTCTCCTGCGCCACTGAATTCATTCCCGAGCTGAATGAGAAGTTGCGCCTCGTTCCCTTCACCAACGACTTCAAGATGACTCTGACCGTGCTGATGATCTTCGACTACGGTGGCTGCTGGTTGATTGAGAACATTCTCAAGCACCTGTTCAGCGACTTCCGTCCTAAGGACATCGCCATTCGTCGTCCCGACCAGCTTAAGCGCGAGGCGGAGCGTAAGTTGCAAGAGCAAGTTGACGCTGAGGCTCAGAAGGAGCTGCAAAGAAAGGTCTAGTTTGGTGGTTTGAAGTTTTGTATCTGTATACATAGAGAGGAGGTTGTTGGATTTTAGAAATGTGCATGTGGTGCATGACATTTAATACATGTTTTTTCTTTCTTTTATTGAAACAATATTACAACAAAAAATGTTTTTATTCCTTTTGGTTGAATGTTTACTGGTTCTCCCTACTCTGAAGTACTTGTCCAAGAATTTGGCTGAATATTATTACCCGCCCTGACCAAACTGCTTGCGAGTCACTATTACTCTGCATCTTTTATCACCATTAGCGTGTTTGACATATCACCACTAGCCAAAATCACAGTACTCCCTACTCCGTAGCAGATGTATCCTCGATGTTTATTGGTGTACTCCGTAGCAAGACTAAGTTCTACGCGCGGTGGTTACAAACACAGCGCCAACGACAGAGGTAAAAGTTGGCCAGCGTCAGACCCCAGATAGAAGTGGAGACCTGATGATAGGTGGCTTCAGAGAGGGCTGCCAGAGAGGAGTTTCAGGTGACGCTCTAGCAGGACCCAATGAGTGCGTAGAGACAACAATAGAGAGGAGACACCTTTGTAGATTGCTAAAGATGTAGGGGAAAGGGCGCCTGCGGCGGTAAGCTGATGTTTCAGTTTACAGCCCTGTCAGCCTCAAAGTTATGAGGGGCTTATACTGATTCTCTTCTCTACCTGCTCGACAAGTTTGGTTAACAAATAGCATAGATATCTTACCCTCGAGAGGGAGCTAGAAATAGAGCGTGGGCCCCTTGGGTCTCGTGGCCGATGCGGGTGTCACCCAAGATCTCAAGCTCAACATAGGGTTTTGGCAGTTGGTGCCTATACCGCTGCGTAGTACAGCCTTAGCGTTTCGAGATAGCTCTTATATTAAAACTATCCTAGGTTAATTACTACGAATTAAATAGGATTCTCAACGAAAGATAAGTGAATGTCAAAAAGCCCCATATCTTTATAGTATAAGCATGAATTATATAACATGAATCAAACTCAAGATTCATTCAACCCTTCAGGAACATAGCATTTCATAGAATACCAATTCTGTATATCATACTCATTCCGATTTCGACATTCCGGACTGTAGTAGCCCATAGAACGATGCTTGGTTTCATCACAATATATATACTCCCATACAGTGCAGATACCACCCTTCACTAGCCAGGATGCAGGTGTGTCGACGTGGCCGGCATTACAACCAGTGCTTGAGGCGCCGTTGTCATAAAACCATCTGCAGGAAAACCCCGTATCTGATTCACTGCTTAGACTTCCGTTCGGTCTTAGGCATTTGTAGTCCTTCTTGTAGCCCAAATTATGTCCTTGGAGTTGGATGTAGTCGCCCTTGCAGTCCTTCTTGCTGTACATTATCATTGTCCATGGCTTAACATATCCCGGTTTGCTGGTGGCAGCGCTTTCTTTGTTTTGAGCTGAGTTGGCTGACTTCGTCGCCGACGTGGTTTTGCTGGTGGAAGTAGGCTTGGTGGTTGTGGTGGTTGACGTAGCTTTGGTTGCACTGGTTGATGTCGTCTTCTTGGTGGATGAGGACTCACTGCTAGCCACAAGTTTCTGAATAGCCACAAGTTTCTGGATAGCTTTAGCTGTGTCAGTAGCTGTGGCAGTCTTTTTCGATGTGGTCTCTTCAGTGCGATTGGTGCCGCTGGCATGAGCCGCAGAAGTACAAAAGTCCGAAGTGCTTCCACAATAACCAAACGAAGAGCACTATGCAACTATTAGATTTTGAAGAGAAATATTTTCAAACTCTCAACTCACACATTCATTAGCCGCACACGGATTCAAAGACCCCAGGTCAGACCACTTGTTAGGGCGTCCTGTTCCAGGCACCCGGGGGCCACAAACAGCATTTGAAAGCGTAGCTGGCATCACAGGATCTCCGGAACTGAGGCAGATGTAAGTACCCTGCACTAAATATCCACATCCACGCCATTCCCAGCTTTGAGCATTGTAATTTTCGATATCAGCCAAGGCGAGAGAGTGTGCTTGAGCAATCGAGGTACAAGTTTCGCCAGCCTGGACAACATATTTGTAACAAAGTCCGTCGCTACCTGCTTGAGGTGCAACCCCCACAGCTGCACCTGATGTTGCTGTCGGACTGACCAAAAGGACGCCGATGAGAGCAACGAAGTTGCCAAGGCGGAAGCACCACATCATATAGAGGACTGTTTGAGAGCGTAGTTGCTTTGCTTGTTCTTTTTCCCAAGGAAGCAGGTTCCATCTTTATCTGTTCAAAGAGGGAAAATAATGTGCCCGACTGCCAAGGACCAAGGATAGATGCATGAATGAATGTGACATTGCCGTGGATGGCCGAGAGCTCTGTGAAAGAACTTAGATACTATGCTAGGGTCATTAGTGTAATATTGAACCAAATTGTAGAAAGGCGCTGCATCCGAATGTAGACACCCCGAATGCTTTCTTTGTCTTCTCGCTGCTCACTGCATGCCCTTCCAGGTTGTTCCATGAAAGCTTTGTCTAATCCCCAAAAATGGAAGGACTCGAGGGTATGAAGGTATACAGCTTTTAACTGTAAATGCTCCACCTGAGCAGGCACTTTCAATCCGAGGAAGTCTAGGAATAGAAAGCTCTCTATAAACTAGCAAACAGAAGTGGTCACCTGACTTCTGACACCCCCTTAAATAATAGCAAAAAAAACTTGTTTATTTCATTTTCAGGGAATGTTGGACATCGACTCATTTCTTTGTAAATGCATAGGCCCAGATGGTTCGAAGAATTATCTGGGCCTATGCATTATACCTTAATTCACATTTCTTGCAAGCCAAGTACTAGGCTATTCATGTTACTCGGCCATAAGCAGCTCATTTAGAGCGACTGTGCTAGAATTTAAAATAAAGCAGATACATCAATCCCACAATCTGCAATCAGAATCAAATCCCTGATAAATTACAGTTCAAGTATTGATTGTACTCTGCTTGGCACATTTGCGTAGGATTGTGATAATAACATTCTTCAATACAGGGTAATTACACAGAATACCAACGGTCCGAAATCGGACACAAAAGCCCGGTGTACATTTCAGCACGCTGGTGTAGTCACGTGTACTGATCCACGGCTCCCGACCCACCAAGTATGGATCTCGGCCCGAACCTCAATGGAACCGCACTCGTGGTTCGGGTTCCAATATCTTATGTACCTAGACCCTGATGTCCCTCAAATAGGACAAGCACAGAGATATGGCTACTTACTCCTCGTGATTTACATAAATTCTGTAGAAAGAGATTGAGCTTGGCTGCTAGCTAGGAGAGAGGGAGAATGAGAAAGGAAGATCAACCCAGGTAGGGAGCAAAGGCTATCCGCCTTAGACAGAAGCCTGCCTCAAAAAATCGCTTGGGGCCCGGCTATCAGAGGCTCAGAACTGGCATGTAGCCGATGATCTGTAAAAGCACTCACTGAATATACATTGAAGCCAAGTGCGGTTGGGCAGGCGCTTTGGGGGCCTCAGAGATGTTTCGGCTAAATCAGGTCCGGCATTGGATACAGCAATCATATTTCTCCGCTCAGTTCTGGAGATTTCTCGAATGATATCATTGATGGAAGCTTTTATGGCTTAAGTTGTTGGCCCCCGATCGGCGATGCCTCTGGCAACTAGACAGCGCATGTTCTATGATAATCGTAATTTATTACTGCACTAGGATAATGCTAAGAGTATGTACCAGCCCTGGAAGGATGGATAGGGTCACTATAATATGACGTAATGCAAAATAGGGTGAAAATAAAGTGGTAAACGCGGCTCTGTACTGCACTAGGTGCTTTCTCCGAAGGTGAACGGGCGCAGGCGTAGTATATGTGGATATCTCAAGCTTCAGGAGTTATTGCCTCCAATAATAACTAAAAGCCTTGGCTGATCGCTCACATCTTACCCCAGCTAATCATAGTGCTCACAAAATCGCCTCCCGCCCCCAAGTGGCTTAGCGAGATCGCCCACATCTTACCCCAGATAATCATAGTAGTCACGAAATAGCCCCATTTCCCACCTCCTCACCCTCCAAAAAAGGTCTGAAGGATCGATACTTGGGGTCTGCCTACATCGTTTGCATTCGAGATGGAAAGTGGTATCCATTCCGACAGCCCATTGAGCGCTACTGAATTTGGTTATCAATATTCAACCAAAGGTATATAACTGCGCATCTTCCTCCGTCAGCTGTTAGGATATTATCTCCATCAAAGCTTTTGTCCAGAAAAGTTCCCATTCAATATGAAGTCATCCTGGCTATATCCCCTCACCACAATGGCCTACTGTGCCATTGTTGCTGCGAATCCTTTGCCCGCGGACGAACTCTCGAACAGTGTTACTGAAATTATTTCCCGTGAGCCAGAGCTCCACATGCTAGAAAAACGCTCTCCTGTTATTCTTGGATTAGGAGTCTACGCCTTTATTGAAGCTGCTGGGGCTGCTGGTGGGCTCACCTTGGGTACACTGTCGAAGGTTCTTACCAACGTTTTCAAGCCAAAAGAGGCCCCATGGGAAAACAGCGATGCATACTGCACAATTTACATACAGACTCAGGGAGGTGGGCACTGTCACATGGAAGTCGAGCCTGGCTTTGCAGGTCAAGGTCAGACTAAGCAAGTGCACGATGACTGGGACTGCGCCTGGAACGACTTGAACAGTGATCCTCCAATGGCGACCTTCAATGATCCTGGAATTGGTGAGTTCCGTGTTCAATTTGCTGCGACAGACAAAGCTACACACGAGGGCTCTCCGAAATGCGTCTCGGAAGGGCTTTGCTCTCCTCGGCTTGAATTCCAGAGAAATAAGTGGGTCTACCTTTCTCCCTCACTTCAGCCTGGAAACGTTTACTGACATTTGCTTTCAGGTTCTTCATAAGAATTGACAGCTGGGAGAGCCAGGGAGATACCACCGAAGGGGAATATGGTGGCGACTATGGTGGTGTCTGTTATACCTATGTTGAAGATCAATTCACGACCGGTGGTAATAAACTTGCAACCAAGTAAGTTACTCATACTCGGAATTCTAGGCGAGAACAGAAAAATTAACTTTCGCTTGTCAGATGTGCTGTGCCATGCGAAAACCAGAACGTCATACCCGACTCAACCCCCCTTGAGATCTGTCCGAGGTGTTTTGAAATTATTGGCCACTATGTAGTAGGAACCAAATGAAGAAGAGGGAGGGAGTTTAATTGGATCTCCAAACTTGGGCATTGTATGAGGATTGTGTGATTGTGTTGGATTGAAGCCTCGCACTAGTCATGTATTCGACACTGTGTTTCATCGCTTGGCAAGAATACAACATGAAAGCAGTCCCATTATTTCAAATGATCGCAATGTCACTCCATTCCAAGTATGCTTGAAGCAGTGATTCGATGTCACTATGGTGTACCAGCTCAGTATCAAGAGGGCGTACAAAAGAAAAAGAATTGTTGAGTGCCATCCCGGTAGTCTCAGAACATTCCCAAAGAGAATCATGTTTCGTAAGTTTTGCGTCTAAGATCGTCCTGACAGCCTGCGCATGCTATCTTGTCACATCCGGGGCACTGCAACGCAAAACGCCTAGTTTCTATCATGCAGCAGCTACATCTGAAACGACCCTCGACACGACCCCACCAGGCTCTATGATTGCAAATTGTCGTATTAGGGGGTTCTGGTCTCCGTTGTTGAGCCTGTGTCCGGTATTCTCTCCTCTGCTCTGCCATTTGCTTTACCAGCTCTTCATAGTCCCTCCGGTCTTTCTCTCTCTTCTCTGTAATCTTCTTCTCGATTGAAATGGCTTGTTGACGGTATGCCCTAGCAAATACTTCGTAGGCTTGAATCTTCTCCAGTCGCCGACTTTTCTCGGTCTCTTTGATTCGCCGAGTCGCGAGTTTCCCCCGATAAATACGATCACGCTCTTCTCTCTCTTGTTCAAGTCTGGATTCTCCTCCTGGGAGAAACGACGTCAAGTAGCCCCAAATGGTCTGCCCGGATGCTTTATCTTGCTCCATTGACCGAGCATCATTTTCTAAACTGGTTATTTCTGCGCGGAGTTTCATCAAGCTCGCATGTGCCTCCTTTAGGCGGAGCTCGTGGTCCCTGATGTCCTTTTCGCACCGGTGTAGCATTGATTGTAATTCCTGTATTGACTTCTGTTCTCCATCTTTATCCGGTGTCTTCCTGCTAGTTTGACTTGTTGAATATTGGGCACTTGTGGACGTAGAGGCTTGATATTTGGCATCGTAGGTTTGGCGAGTACTCGGATCAATAAGTATCGAGTATGCTTCATGAAGCTATTCGAAAATTAGCTAATATCAAATCGAGGAACCTTGATGTGGCTCACGAGCTGGAATTCGGCTACCGCGTTCTTTGCTGTATTTTTATCAGGGTGTCTAGCCAGGGCTAAACGCTTCCAACTTGACTTGATGCTTTTTATATCTGCGTTTGGTGAAACCTGGAGAATCTCATAATAATCGGGTGGCTTTGAAATAGAGGTCATTTCTTAGTTATCCCAAGAGGAGGCAAATCGACTCTCGGGACGGGACGTGCCTTGGAAGTGGATTTGGGGCCCAAAGTGGCCCAAAGTCACGGGTCACAACCTTGTTAGATTTCGGGCCCTATAGCCGCTCTTGGAGTCCAGTTTTGACTTGTTTGCCTTACTGCAAAAAAATTCGTTACATGCCCCGTCAACACATAATGCCGAACCTCGCCAATCAACCTTGGCAGAGAATGAACCCCTGGAAGCGCCGGGCTCCGTACAGTAAAGCAACTGCAACATACAGAGTAGAGAAACTGGTACATTACAAATTCTCAAGTTTGCTTTCTTGGCTTTGTTTGTTTACGTTTGCATGGAACCTTCTGATTTTAGGCCCTGTATCTTTCTTACCTATATCATCACGAGTATTAGTTTTATTACATGCCATTTTACAAAATGTATCGTTTTAACATATCATGTGATTAGGGTTTTGAAACAGCATTCATCTTTAATATGAACGGCGACCTCGGGCAACGTTAAGTTAACTAGTTAACATGCTAGTGGGAGCCGGATAAACTAGGCGTCGAGGCAACGAGGTAGATGATGTGTCTTAACATAAATCCACGGCTGAGGCTGATGTGGCTGATGTGGGTGAGCGGATTAATCACAATTCTCAACAGATGGAACCTTGGAAGGAGAAAAGAAACAAGCTAGGTCAATGGACTGATAACTCTTTTTTTTTTAACTCACATTCCATATTTCTTTGCTTTTGAGATAAACATGAGGTATTGCCAATAGATAAAATGATAGCGTGAAAAGAATATACACTTATTTGTAAAGTTGTTACTGCTGTGCTTGGTCACTTCTAAGCTGGCTACTCGACTCTTAAATAGAAATGAGCAGTTAGGGATATATCGTGGTGGAGACACTTGCTGGCTACCAGGTCTACGGGTTTAGGGCATAACCTGTCAAACGGGTTGTGGAGCCCTCGGGGCGTATTCCAAGATCGCACGGGATCGTTAGGAAGTATCGCTTCAACAAAGCCATTGCTCAATCCCGATAACCCTGTACTTCTTTGTTATTTGAATGGTGGCTCCGATGCAGAGTACTCTCGCCCCCTATACCCCGTATGGAGTACATCCGAAGACTCATATTGACTAATCACATGAGATCCCTCGTTTTCATGCACGCGGATCATTACGAGTTCTAGCGTCTTAGATAGGTTATAACTAGACCCCCTGACCCTAAAGAGCCTTCTCTAAAGAACAACCTTGATTTTTTGAAAAATCTGATTTTATATAAAGTTGTCCGTCCCAAACTGCCGGGTTATGCATCTTCAGACCTGTGGAGCTGTGTCATTATTTTGTTATTCCTTTTCATATACCACAGGACCGCCAAAATGCCTAGCGAGACTGCTACAGGTGACTTTGGTCCAGCACCCCCTGGGCTAGATCTGACAGAGAATCAGACAGGCAACTTGTTGGGAGCAGTTATTCCTGTAGCGGTGCTCGCGACCACTGCAGTTGTATTGCGAGTAGTCGCGCCAATGAAGACCAAAGAGGTCAGAAAATTAGCTATAGATGACTACCTCATCATTGCAGCTCTTTTCTTCTCTTGGGGAACAGCAATATCTTGCTTCATAAGTGAGTCAAAGGAGGCGTGACATGGTCAATAGGCACAGCACTTACATCAGACTGTCTAGGCATTCCGTATGGCAACGGCTATCATTTGCAATCCGTGACAAAAGCAGAGTTTAATACTGTTTGGAAAGTAAGAGAAATACCGAGCAAGGTGTCTGGGATAGACGTTGACCGAATATTTAGATCCTTTTCGCCTATGTCATGATTTACGCTACAGCCGTCACCTGCACCAAAGCCTCGATCGTCTTATTTTACGGCCGCATCTTCAACTTTCGTTGGTCACTGGGCATCTGCATGTTTTTGGTCCTTGGGTATTGGATCACCATTATCGTCACGGTTGCGGTGGCCTGTCGACCACTGCCATATTTCTGGCTAGTCTACACGGATCCAACAGCCATTGGTGTATGCATTGATGTGCCCACATTCTTTTTCGCCAATGGAATCGGTGCTATGTTGATTGATGTGATAATACTGTGTATGCCGTTGCCAACAATTTACAAGTTGCAGATGCAATTGTCGCAGAAGGTAGCAGTCGTGGGTATCTTGCTCTTAGGAAGTTTGTATGTGCCTCTGCCCCCTAGCCTCCTATGAGATTGAGCATGGCTAATTGATTTCAGTGTTTGCGTCGCAAGTATTTGCCGGATCATCACGCTTCAGGACAACACCCACGGAACAGACGCGACATGGACTATCGCGCCTGTATTTATCTGGTCATCCGTGGAACCGTTTGTTGGGATCATCTGCGCATGCCTCCCTACGTTTGGGCCTTTCTTTCGTCGGTGGTGGTCTAAAGTTCGGACGCGCTCATCAAATGGTCGCAGTACCGATCCAAACGCTGAACTTTCATCCGAGACAACGACATGGCTCCGAAAACCCCGAGTAAAAAAGCCAGCCAAGGACTCATTATTCAGTATCAACGACTTTGGCTGTGTAGATGAGGTCCAATTGATGAATGATATCAATGCCACTCGGTCGCTGGGGGACGAGGCTGCGAGTGACCACCAGGACGTCGAGCGAGGCTGTATCACAGTCCAACAAGATGTGGAAGTGACATGGGCTAAGTACAAAACTGGCAAAAAAGCCGACTTGGCCTTTAAGTATCACAAAGGGCCCTGAAGAGTCCCTCAGCTTTGTTGCAAATATCTTGTATTTTCGGTTGGAGACTAAAATAGACGCCACATGTGGCAATATAGAATTGAGATAATAGGTAAATTTCTTGGAAATAGGGAAGCATATGTGTTAGCATATGAGGATACGAGGATACGGGAATACTCCGCGGATCCTTAGAATGCTGACTGTATTTAATAAATTCTGCAGCTTCGAAAATTGATTTGATAGGGCGCTATGTGCCGTTTGTGACCTGTCATACCAATTAGCAGAGTAATAATTGTGGAGCAAGCCAGTAAAGGGATTAGTTGACAGGGATAGTTGGCAGGGGAGGTGCATGCCGAGCACTTGGAAGGGCCCGGGGCCCTTCCAAGAGGACTTTTGAGCCGGACGTAGCCCGCTTGCCGGTGCGGAGACAAAGTCCCTGGAGAATTTACTTGACAGTCAAATGTACTTCACACGCTATAACTAAACCCATAGCGTAAGATCTAAGCCATTTCTATACCGAAGAAAAGTTAATGCCGGTAGACCCCCCTCGCTTACTTCGTTCCCTTCTATCGTAATTCGTTCCGTATAGCATTATAAAAAAGAATCACCAATTCACTGTCTCATCCCAAACCCCTCAATATGTCTCTTCCCACTTCCAATGTGCTGCAAAACGGTTCCGACTCTCTTCAAACACCTGCTACACGCGTTGCTAACGGCGAAACCCCTCCCAACTGGATCCCTTGCGCTGATCAACCTGCCTATGCGCGACGAAAACTAAGGATAATCTGTATCGGCGCCGGCTACTCGGGTTTGACACTGGCTCACAAGATTGATCATGAGTTGAAGCTCGGCGATTTCGTGGAATTGAAAATCTACGAGAAGAATCCTCAGGTCGGTGGAACATGGTTCGAAAACACCTATCCCGGTGTCGCTTGGTGAGTAATCTGCACGTCTAAATATGACCGGCTGATCTGACATATTTCAGTGATATTCCGGCTCGTAAGTTCTTTCAGCGCCTCTTTTGGCAACTAAAATTGACATCCACTTAGATGCATACACGTTTTCATTCGAGCCTAATCCAAACTGGTCTCACTTCTATGCACCCGGTCATGAGATTGAGGAATATATTCAACGAGCGACAAGGAAATGGAATTTGGATAAAGATATTCAGTTCAACACTCGTGCTACTGAGGCTGTGTGGGATGATGAGTTAGGAAAGTGGAAAGTGGTGGTGGAACAAGCTGGCACAATCATGCATGACGAGGCTGACATTTTGGTCAATGCTTCCGGATTTTTGAAGTGAGAATCATATTTATCCTTCAACAGTTGGTTTCTCTTATTAACGGTGATCTTCCGACTAGCAAAACCAACTGGCCTGATATTGAGGGACTATCGAATTTCAAGGGCAAATTGCTTCACACTTCGACCTGGTGAGCAAACGTCCCACAAACTCCCAAACAATAATTATTAACGAGTTTATCCTCAGGGATAACACCTATGACTGGTCGAATAAACGTGTTGCAGTCATTGGAAATGGCTCCTCGGGAATTCAATGCGTGACTGCAATGCAGCCGAAGGTCGCCCAGCTTGTCAATTTTGTGCGCAATCCCACCTGGCTTTCAGTCAACTTTTGTGCGGATAAGACCAAAGATGGGAATAATTTCCCCTATACAGAAGAGGAGAAAACACACTTTGCGGAAGACACCGAGGCTCATTTCAGGTATCGAAGAGAGTTAGAAGCCAGGCAAGTTCAACCCCCAATTAAGAAGTCACTAAAGCTAAGTCAAATTTGAGTAAAGTGTCAATGGGTTCTTTTATGGAATGTATAAAGGTCACCCGATGCAATTGGGATTGGAACAGATTTCCCGCCAGCAGATGGAGGAGCAAATGAAAGGTTACCCTGACCGAGAACTTGTGTCGAAATTGCTTTCTCTCGAGTTCAGTCCTGGCTGCCGTCGCTTGACACCAGGAAGTGGATATCTGGAAGCATTTTCCAACGACAATGCAATTCTCACTTTCGACCCTATTGAGCGTATCACAGAACTCGGTATCAAAACGGTCACAGGTGATGAGCAGCAATTTGACATGATAGTCTGTGCCACAGGATTTGACACGACCTTTATTCCACCTTGGAAGATGGTTGGTCGTCATGGAGCCACATTGGAAGAGCGATGGAAATATAACCCTGAGGCGTTCTTTGCGGTCCAAGTGGACACAATGCCGAACTATTTTATCTTCAATGGACCGAATTGCCCTGTATCCCATGGCTCTCTTCTGACGCAGGTCTCTTGGACATGCGATTACATTCTCCGTTGGGCCAAGAAAATTTCTACAGAGGATATCAAGTGAGTCATTATAGTCTTGATGGGTCTGGCGTTTGACTAACATATTTCTCACAGGTCAATTGATGTCAAAAAAGAAGCCATGGAAGACTACAATGTTTACTGTCAGGAGTTCCTCAAGCGTATGGTCTGGGCGGATAACTGTAAGAGCTGGTACAAGAACGGAAAAAGTTCAGGCCATGTCACCGGGGTATATCCAGGCTCGGTTTTACACTTCAAAGATTGTCTGGAAAATATTGGAGGGGAGCACTTCAATATTGAGTACCGCTCCAAGAACCGATTCCGATTCCTAGGCAACGGTGAAAGTGTGCATGATCAGCATGGAGCAGGTGACTTGGCGTGGTACATGGGCGATGTGAAAGCATCTATACCGCTACCTGTTCGAACCCCTGGGGTCCTTGGTTATATCTACAGTATAGTGAAGGGGTATATAAATTGGTAACCTGGCATGTCAACGTTAACATATTTTTACTATTTCCTTGGTTCACTTTGACATTTCAACAGATAAATATAAGAACCATTAGGAATGATGCGTGACCGAATTGCCATCTTGCCAGCCCTAATTGATAGACTAAGGAGGTACGGGGGTTGAGATCCTTGGAGCAACGTTGGCATCGGTGTCTCAATTGATTGCGAAGAAGAGAAACCTCATTCAAACTTCATAGAATAGTTAATCAACAAGTGCATTAAATTTGCTACAATCTACCATTTTGATCCATATAGCAGAGTAGGGTAATGGACATATCCAACTCGAGTTGCAGTGTATGGTTTTATAGATCTCGGTCGATTCCCCGACATCGCACCACTATGATCTCATCGCTTCTCAACATTCTTGAATTTTTTCTTCTTTCAATTCAATTTAACAGCAATATGGCAAAACTTACTCTCCAGTCAAAGCATCGACTGCAGTCAGGACATGAGATCCCAGTTTTGGGATATGGGGTTAGTTATCCCGCAAATGCGTATGTGCACTTCAAGAGCAGAGCTGACACTATATGACTGACAATAGGTGTATATGATGTACGTTTGAGTTAATTCCTTACCACGAACGTCCTAACCATTACTAGCCCCTCATCCGCGACCGAGAAGGCCACTCTCGAAGCCCTGAGCGTTGGATTCCGTCATGTACGTCCACCTAGAAAGATGGCAAGACCACACTAACCAAGAGACCCTAGGTCGACTCAGCGATCATGTACCGCAACGAGAAGCCCTGCGGAAAGGCAATTCTAAATTCCGGACTAGATCGATCGCAGATCTTCTTTACGACCAAGATCCCGCCGGAAGCAATGGGCTACGAGTCTACCAAGCGGGCTATTACTTCCAGTCTACGAGAAGCGGGACAGGAATACTTTGACCTGTAAGCCCACCCCTTCCGTATGGAAATGGATACAATCTAACCGGTGAACCCAAAAGTATTCTAATCCATGCTCCCTACGGCGGTAAAAAAGCCCGTCTGGGTTCCTGGGATGCACTAGTCGAAGCCCAGAAAGCAGGAAAAGTGAAATCCATCGGTGTATCCAATTACGGTATTCACCACCTCGAAGAACTGGAGGCTTATATCCAGGGTGGTGGGGGTGGTCAGATCGATGTTGGTCAGTATGAGCTGCATCCGTGGCTGGATCATTCGGATATCGTGGAGTGGTTGCAGAAGAGGAAGATTGTTGTTGAGGCGTACTCGCCTCTTGCGCATGGGAGTCGGTTGACGGAGCCCGTGTTGCTGTCTATCGGGAAGAAGTATGGGAAGACGCCGGCGCAGGTGATGATTCGGTGGAGTTTGCAGATGGTATGTGGTATCGATTTGGATGAAAGTAAAGGATATCGTAATCAGGATGCTAATGGTCTGTTAGGGATTTGTGCCTCTGCCCAAGTCTACTACGCCGAAGCGCATTCGCGAAAATGCCGATGTCTTTGACTTTGAGTTGGTGACTGAGGATATCAAGCTGCTTGATACAGGGGAGTATTCGCCCACGGACTGGGATCCGACTGTTGATGAGGATTGAAGTAGATGGTTGATTAGATAGAGGAGGAGGAATCCGGAGGAACGTTGGATTTGTCAGGCGTAGGCCGGGGAGGGGCCGCGGGGTGAAATTGCGACTTTCAACTTTCTAATTTTCTTCCTTTAGATCTCTATACCTCTTTATATCTAAAGATCTCATTTATTTCATTCCATTCTTCCATCATGAAGTTGATTCTATCCAGTTCGTAAGTGTTATTCTCGATGCGCCTCGATCAAGTCACTCATCCCTCACAGGAATATTATGCAAGCTGGACGTCAATCCGTCATTCGCCAGCCTCTGACACAGAAATCAAACGTTGAGCTAATCAACTCTCTCCGATCGAACTTCCTTGCCTCGCAACAAATCGAAACGCCCCCGACCAACGGCACCGCAAATGGCCAAGCCGTGTCGCATCCGCCCTCATGGACCCTACAGACCGAAGACGCCCTCTATATCCCCGCGATTGACTTCTCACACCCCGGCCTGTCAGAGGAGCGCGACCAATACGATATCACAGTGAAGCTATTCTACCTACCGGGAATCCCGGTATCAAGGCGGTGCGCACACACCAGAGAGGCAATTGATCTGGTATTGAAGGAACTACACGTCAAATCTATCGATCTACTGATCGTCTCGTTCCCGGGGATCCTGTTCGATGCGGACGATGACAGCGAAGAAGAAGATAACGAGATGAGCAATGGTGAACTGGACGACTTCGACAGCTTGGTGCAGACATGGCAGGTGCTGGAGTCGCTGCACGAGCAGGGCGTGATCGCCCAGCTGGGCGTCGCGGAGTTCGGCAGCGAACGTTTGGCCCGCTTCCTGCCGCATACCAAGGTCAAGCCCTCGGTCGATCAAATCAATCTTAAGGATTGCTGTGTCGTTCCTAAACATTTGATTCTCTATGCGAAACAAGAGCAGATTCAACTCCTCACCCATAACGATTGCCATGATATTCTTCCTGTCGGCACAACGCGGGAACTGCTAGGTCCCGCAGAGAAGAGTGGTGCGGGGATCTTGGCTTCGTCTCCCGATGCCAACGACGGTATCCAGGGAGATATCGAGCCGCAGTGGGTGGTTAAGTACACGGCAGTCGTCAAGGATCGCGGAGTAGTTGAGAACAAGGGGTATTTCGCGTCGGCTGATGTCGGCTCGTGTCTCAAGGACCGGTCATGAATGCTTCTTTTTTTTCTTCGCGTCATCAATAAGGATATCTGTCGTGACAAAGCGTGGCGTTTCTTTTTTGCTTTAAATTCGATCATAGCTGGTATGGGCGGGTTGCATCCATCTCCAAAATCAAATGAGACTGGCTTAACCAAGCATGCTCCTCTTCCGCCCTCTCAAGCGCACATCCTCAAGCCTCTTTAGCGCAGAAAGTGCCCCCTTGTAGCTATCCCGGTAACCCATAATCAGCTCCTCGAACAGAGGCTCCGAACGCGGATGCGTGCTCCCAATTGCCCGCTCCAACACATACAAATCCACCGCTCGGTCCTCATCCTGATTGCTCTGCGATGCAAGACCGAAATCAATCAACACAACATCCCCCTCCATAGAAGGCGACCCAGTGCTTTCAACAGCATCCGCAAACGGTCGCAGCATGAGGTTACTCGTCGTCAAGTCTCCATGCACCACACCAGCCTTGTGTAGAACACCGATAGCAGCGCCCATTTTCCTCAGCAAGCCGCGCACACGCGCCTCTTCGTTTTCGATCTGCAACTGATCCAGTGATCCGTTCTGCTTCATCCATGCTTCCCACTGCTCGAGAACTACCCGAATCACCGGCCCGTCAATCCACTCCATCATTAGCCAGGCGCCACCCCACCCGCCTTCTTCGCCGCCGTGTCCCTCCCAGTCCAGGGCTAGGAGGGCGGGAACGCTCACGCCCTCCCGTACGAGTTTAGCGAGGCATCGTGCTTCTGATGTTATCCGTTGACGGGTTAGTCGGCGGTCGAGAATTGGGTGACGGTAGGGTTTTGATGGGCGGATCTTGAGCGCGGCGGGGATGGAGGGGTTGAGGGAGGTGGTTTTGTAGAGGTGGGCTTCGGCGCCTTGGGTGAGAAGGGTTGGTGTTGGGGTGGTATTGTTAAAGGGAGAGGGAAGAGCTGGGGGTTTATATTCTTCCATTGTGAGTGAGTTGGAGAGTAGAAGCGGAGGAAAGGGATGAAGAAGAGGAAAAAGTTCTGGTGGGGCGGATCTCGGAGTATACCAATTTGGGCTTGGATGTTTACAGTTGGATACATACAGTTTAATATGTAAATGCTCTACCTAGGTATATTGATAGATTAAATAATTTTGAAATCTCATGTGGACGCGTGAGCTCACAACTATATATATAAATATATATACCTTTCATCTCTCCCATGTAGCATTTAACATTACATCAAATCAGATGAATATCAGGGCGCACATTAGCCAACCGACAAGTACCCTGATACATTCTCTCAAGAATCGACCCCATAAGTTCTAGATCAGTAGACTCCGCCGACCAATGCCTCAATGTGCGAATCGAGAGTCTCACCAAAGGAGCCCAATTTGGCGGGATACGCACTTGCCATGTACCGGGATCCCTTGCTGCTTCGACCTGATATAAGACAGCCCCAAGAATATGCACAGCACAGGCGAAGCTGGCACGCACCACGTTCCAAATCCACTCGTGTCGGAATTGATACCAGTAGCTGGGGATCAGTATGATGCAGTTATCAATGGCCTTTTGCGCCAGATCGAACACTTCTACCCAGACTTGGTGGTTGTTCTTGATGAATGTTGGCATCCCCTTGTAGTGCATCGCAAGGTAGAACGCTGGTCGGTAGATCCTCTCCAGTGCCATGTGATATCTGCCGCGGAAGAAGAACCTTAGGTCTGGGTTGTCTTGTGCGGACTGGATCCCGGCTATCGAGATTTGGTACCTTTTGAATGAGTTAGCAGTCTGTGTCGAGAGACCTTTCATGTTCGGGGACTTCGGGGGCTTGTACCATGATGTTACAACATTCTCAGCTGACAGTGTTTTTCTTAGGAGATGGGGAATATCTTTGGTCCAGCCCTTCTCCCCTTGACGCCACATATCAGACACGATTTCATTAGTGGTCCGGCGGTTACAGATAGACCCGATGTAGAATTTCCAGCCTCTCTCTTCTTCCGTGCCATCCAGTTCAAAACCTGGTCTGATAGCGAAATCTTGGTCTTCATCCATATGGTCATATGAGGAAGAAGAATTCCTGCTAGGGAATTTAGGGAATGGATCTGAATAGCCCAAGCTTTCAAGCCCACTGTTCCAGAGAGGGAGTTCACTTTGCATCTCACTGTCGACAATACTTAGTTTGTGATCATATAAAATCCCGATGAAAAGAAAACTTACTGTTCTGCCTGGATACAGGACCAGTATAGTCTCGACTCTAGGTTATGATAGTTGTCATCGGCGGTCCACCGTTCTCTACACAGCGACCGCAAACGAACTTCTAATCTGCAAGATGCCTGCTGGTAACAGAACCAAGCCTGTAGAGGTCGTATGGCATGTCTGTGGTAACTTCCAGCAAGAAGAAAGCACTGAATGTCTGTCGGGGACGTGTGCAAGAAGCCAAATCTCTGCTTTGCAGCGTGGAAATATGTCTCAGCCAAATCGAGGTTGGCGTCTGACATGGGTGGTGCTTGAAGTCCATCAAGATTCGCTGGCATGTCCTCTGCCAGCGGAACAAACTTGGATGATGTGCATGAAGCTAAAGCGCACGCTAACAGCTATACGGGAGATAATTTAGTCCAAGTGGAACTTCCAAAAAGGAGCTGACATACCACTTGACACGAAGGGCCATCCCATCCAAGACCCTGGACGGTGACCTCCTTGGCATAGCGGTCTAGATTGTCTAGGTCGACTATCGGGTTTCTTCGGTGGCATAGCAGGAAGTACTTCCTGCAAAGCCTAGGAATCTCATCGACAAAGTTCCCGATCCCCACCTGCCGGGGTGACTGCATACTACGGGGCTGAGTATCCAGTGAGTCGAGGAGGAAGGATCGAATATGCTTTTCGGCTTCGGTGATGACCTTGCTGAAAATAGGCCATCGGAGCATGTTCTCTCCGGAGCTAGCCATGTAAAGGATTCGGGGATCGTGATCGGTTCCCCGGTCATCGATACTAGCAGTGCTGCTGCTTGGTGGATTAGTCCCTGACAACGATTCAGCCAGGGGGCTAGTGTTCTGCACGGCTAACTCAAAGAATCCCTCTTTGAGGGAGCTAAGAGACCGATTCGAAGAGGTGGAGCCTTCGGATGTTTTGATGTCCTCTAGCAAGCCGGCGATATGATTCAGCCGTTGGAGCACTTCTTGGTTCGACGGGTTCACAGGGTCAAACCCGAGTCTAAGAATAAATGTGTCAATGCTTAGCATCTCCTTTGATGTTGTTATCTTACTGGTTCTGCTGTGGCGAGGTTTCGGGATAGTTGCACTCCACCCCCTGCACGGCGCAGTAGCTACAGATCGGCCTGGTATTGTCACATCTTGTTTTGCGTAGCCGACAGGTCTGACAGGCTGTCGGGGCTCGGGTTCGGATCTCACGCTTCCTAGCGACTCTTTGGTTGCCAGACTCCATAGTCATCCCAAGTGTAAACCGGGGTGTTTTTTCGGGGAGGCCGGGGAGATAGTTGAGGGGGAGATGTAAAAGATCAAGTGCGACCCACGGATATTCAGTGGCTAGAAAAGCAATATCTCGAGGATCCTTCACTGCCCAGTGGGAAACAAAGAAACATTCGACCCACCGAGGGCTTACAGATGTGGCGTGGCCGTAAAAGGCAACGGGGAACAAAGAACTGTCGAGGCGATGTGATGGCCAAAGGCTAACACCCATGGCTGCCTCAGGGGTTTCACGATACTGATTGGAGGATGATGCACTCCCTGGTCACTCCGGACATGGGTTTCTCTTGGGTGATTTGCTGTCTTTGTTTTTTTTAAAGGGAATAAAGAGCTCCCCGAGCCTTTCTCTAGCCCTAAAGGGCCCTTGAATCCCGTATCTCTTGGATTTCTCTTTTCGGCTGGGTGCATGGTTAAAAAAAAAAAGGAATTTGTTGTTGTCCCCGGGAATCTTTGGTATTTCAATACCTGTAGGTAGGCTGGAATCCGAGACATTCCGGCCGTTGAGGGATGCGAACTTGTGTAAAAAAAAGGTTGATTTGAATATAACCTGAGAAGCTTGTCCTTCGATTTTTCTACAGTCGTGTTGGAAATTAGCTTCACGTCTGTACATACCCCAAGTTTTTGCTTTTTAGTAGACTTGTGGTAGGTCTGACCTTGGGGTTGTTGAGGACACGGAGTGTACGAAGAGTACGCTTTTCTTAATATAGCCCTAACAATCCATACAATTAATAGGTCAAAAGGACAAATTAAAAGAAACTATTGATCATATCGTCAATGAAATTCACCCGCTAGAAGAATTAGTCTCCCTAAGTACATGTACAAGCCTTGTCCAGGCCAAATTCTTAACGCCGAAATTAATGCACAGTGTCACAGAGTCACAGAGAGCTTCATCGGACCTTCCTCTTAGGTCTCCTGGTCAAAGGCACTTCACAATGTTCAGTCCAAGCATCTTCAAAGACCGTCTTTCGTGGACCAATCTGGCCTTGATAGAAGTTCAGTTTACGCACAACCTCCATAGCACCTGTACCCAGTGACACCGTCTTGCCCATGATGATACATTCCGATACACCCTCAATGAGATCGGTGCGACCGAGACCACCGGCATCGAAAAGGTGATCCGCAGTCTTCTCGAACGAAGCAAGCTGAAGCACCGAGTCACGCATCTTAGCGAGACCGAAACGCGTAATACCGAGCACTTCACCCTTGTAGGTCATCACGTCGGCTAGAAGCTGCATGTGACGAGGATCAATGTCCATGTCCTTCATGACTTCGCTGATTTCGACGACAATCGTGCTTCGAGCGGCTTCAATACCCAGAACCTCTCGCGCCTCCATAATGTTGTTGGTCCTGGTGCGGAGACCATCCACACCCATCGTAGTCATACACTCCCTCAATCCGTAGCCTTCCACAAGCAAAGTGTTCGTGGTCGAGGTCTCGTCCGTTCGGATGATAGCTCGGGTGGCACGTGGGTGACCCAGGATTTGGATGTTAGGTAGGATACGCTTCAAATGCTTCAAGCGGAGGAAGGGATCGATGCTCGTGGCGGCAATCTCCGTCTTAGAAAGAGATGCCTTGGTGGCTGGATCAAGATCCATGTGGACCTTGATGGAGGCTTGCTTGCACGAGAATTTGAGATCGCCTCCCTTGAAGCGCTTGTTGGTCTTGATCGCTTCAACGATCTGTGGCGTCGTGATCTCCAGCGCCAAATCCTCGATGGTTTTCCAGTTCAGAACAACCTTCAAGTAGGCATCATCGGGGGACCAAACCTCCGTGATAGAGTGGATCACATCACAAAGGAACGTCTTTTCAATGCGTCCTTTCACAATGCGAGCAGCAATGGTACTTTCTTTGTTGACCAATTCGCAAGCCACAACGGGAGTACTGATCTCCCTTGAGGCGTTGATGATTTCCTTGATACGAGGTACACCCTGCGTGATACTCATTCCGGCGACACCAGCGAAATGGAAAGTTTTCAGGGTCATTTGCGTTCCGGGCTCACCAATGGACTGGGCACCAACGGCACCCACAGCATGGCCAGGCTCAACCTGGGCCCTCTTGTATTTCAGAAGACAAGCAGTGATGAAAGCCCTCAACGTGGTATCCGTCAGTTTGCCTGTATGGTCCAAGCCCTTACGACTCCGCTGGTCGGACGGGTCAATATCGCCACCTCGAGAGATCAATTTGTCGGCTCTCTTTTGCACGTATTCTTGAATTGAATCAAGGAAGTCACGGGCACTCTCGAACTGATCGATACCATAATCACTGCGGTCCATGTACGCCAGATCATTGCCGAGCAAGTCCTTGCGGTTTAACTTCGCACGTTCCTTTGAAAGCATCTGTTCGCAGACTTCCATCATTTCAATCGGCAACAAGCTTCGCTCGTCATTGTTGTATGTAGTAGATTCGGAGTGAATAAAGGTTCGGTCGAAGTGGACAGGTTTGGCTTTACCCTCCATATCCACAGGGTCCAACTTATCGTCACCATACTGGAACTGGACGATGGCAGCAGACGAGTTACGAACCGTGTCATCGTACATCGATGACAAATCTTCGAGTGACTTCATCAGACGACGAGACATGTAACCAGTCTCGGCGGTCTTGACAGCTGTATCGACCAGACCTTCACGACCGGACATAGCGTGGAAAATGAACTCTGGGGGCTCCAGCCCAGAGAAGAAACTGTTGCGAACGAAACCCTTCGATGGAGGCTGTCGTGCGTTCTTGGGGAAATGCGGTAGGGTACGATCCTGGAAACCATCCTGTACACGCTGACCACCGATAATTTGTTGACCAACAAGGGCAACCATCTGGGACACGTTGATACTAGAACCCTTGGATCCAGAAGTGGCCATGATCAGGGGAGAGTTGTACTTGCTCAGTTGCATGATACACTCGTCACCAGCTTGTTGACGGACCTTACTGAGAATACCAGAGATCTGGTTCTCCATGGTTTGCAATTCGTCACACCCAGGATACTTCTCCAGAGTGCCCGCCTTGTACTTAGCAATGACTTCGTCACACTGCGAGTACGCGGCCTCAACAAGATCATTTTTGGACTGAACGAGCCCTGCGCTGGGGTAGACATCTCCGATACCAATTGAGAAGCCGATGTTGGTGAACCATCGGGCGGACAGTTTTGACAGACGGTTCATGCCCTCGGCTGCTGCCGGTGGGCCGAAATCTCTGAGCATAATGTAGAAAACGTTGTCTTTCTTTCCAGATCCAATCGTAGACTTATCCATCACACCACACATGACCTCCGAGTTGCGGATAACCAACCAGCCATCATTGGGGTCCAAGTCCTTGGGACGGCCATCCTTGGGCATTTTAAACTCACGGCATGCGGCGTCCAAATTAACCAAAACGGGGTCGGATGAGTTAGGGTGCATAAGAATGTTGAAGACTTGTTTACCAGTCCACATCATCTGGGGCTTCAAGACTGATGGTGGTGGGAGATCGAATCTCGTTTCAGGGCCAAGCATGTAGAGACAGATCTGTGTGAAGGAGGCACGATCGTAGAAGTTGTCTTTGCTGCTCAACACGTAGGCGGCACTGATGAAATCCTGAATGGCAGAGATGATGGGCTCTCCGTTTTTGGGTGTGGCCAAGTTGTTCTTAACGCCCATTAGCTCCATTGCTTCTGCTCGGGCTTCTTCGGTCTGTGGCACGTGAAGATTCATCTCATCTCCGTCGAAATCGGCGTTGTAAGGGTTGCAGACACACTCGTTCAGTCGGAAAGTTCTATGGGGTCGGATTTTGGCAAAATGAGATAGAATACTGAGCTTGTGGAGGGAAGGCTGTCGATTGAAGAGCACAATGTCACCGTCTTCGAGATGACGCTCAACCAGATCGCCTTCTTGCAGCTGATCAGCCATCCGCTGAGTGTTACTGTACTTCAACATTTGTCTGAATCCGGTTCCTTTCTTGACGATCAAGTTCGCTCCGGGCCATTTGTTGCTACCATTGCAAATCCGTTGCTGCAGTTTCTCCTTGTTGTATCTGGTCACTAGTTCGGGATAAGTCATGTTCTTTGCCACCAGCTCCGGAACAGCGACCTCATCAACTCGCAAATTGGGATCGGGTGAAATGACAGTTCGCCCGGAGAAATCCACACGTTTTCCTGACAGATTTCCACGGAAACGACCTTGCTTTCCCTTCAAACGTTGGACGAAGCCTCGGATTGGTTTTCCGAGATCAGCTTTGTTAAGTCCAGGCACATCACTGTTGATGTAGACAGCAATTTGAAGCTGCATGTAGTCCCAGCACTCCATGATTGTCTGAACTGGGGCGCCCTTAAGCAGAGCATTCTTGAGATTGATATTGCTCTGCACAATGTCACCCAGCTTGGCGGTCAAGTCATCTTCTGTAGATGCACCATCTTGTCCCACTGAAGGTCTAATACAAACCGGTGGAGCTGGGATAAATTGCCATAGGAACATCTCCGGACGAGCCTCCTTTGGATTCATGCCAATCAATTCACAGTCAGAGTCGGACATTTTCTTGAATAGCTTAAGAACGCGAAGAGGGTTCATGTCATCCTGCGCCTTTTTGAAGTGTTTTTCGACCTCTGGGTTTGCGCCTCTTGCCTCGAGGAAAGAGTTATCAAAGACATCCTTGCTGATCGGCGTTTGCTTTTTGACGGAAACCGAGACATTAAATGCACGGAATTTGTCGTGGGTAATCTTCAGAGCGCTTGTTCCGGTCTTCTTCACGACACCATTGATCGCTCCGCAGTATGTGCATTCACGGGTTTTCCGACACCGTTCATTGATGCGCTTTGCGATCTGCGTCCGGCGTAAGTTATCAAGGCCCGGTCGGCGCATATCGCGAAGGAAGGTACGGCGCTCCGCCTCGGGGAGCAGAATGTTCGAACATTCTTTGCAAATTTCCTGAAGGATCGAAATGACGCGCTTGAAGTAACCGACGTGGAAAGATGGGAGAACCAGTCTCACATGGCCGAAATGACCGTTGCAGTCTTTGAGGTTGTTTCCACATGTTGCGCAAGAGTCGGTTTTATTCGAGATACCCATGCGCTGGTCGAGAGGTCCATTCGCAACAACCGTTCGGGTCTGATCCAAGTCGAAAAACTTTCGGTCAGAGACTTCCACTACTGCTTGGCCGACAATGTCATCGTTGGTTCTGGAAACATAAGTCTTTATTAGCGATCAGGTCTGCGACAAACGCTTGTGACAAGCACATGTGAGTGAACTGCGTACAGGACACCAAATTTCAATTCCTTGATGACTTTGGGAACGCTGTCAATAACCTGGGCCTTGCCCAGGTCTACCTGCGCACCCTCTGGAGGCTGCATGGCCGTGGTCAAATACGGAGCATGGCAGGGTGACTCAAGGCGATGCGATCGGCATAAGCGGACTTCAGCCGCCAGTAACAAGATTTCAGGCTCGTAGAAGAATTAACTCCGGTATTATTTTGGTAGATCGACGATCAAAAGCCACAGAACTTGCGTGAGGCTGTTTAGACACAATGAAGTGAATTGAGAATGAGCAGAGGAAGAAGTTGTATGGCGGGGTTTGACATGAACTTTTTTTCTGCCGGTCAAGCTCTCACCGCCGGCTTGGCCTGCAGGTTTGTATAAAAATGTCTCTATACAAAAAAAAGACCTCGGGATATCTCAAAAAAATAATGTTATACAGTGTATTTGGTTGCTAATTTACACGCTCATTTCGACAAGAATGCCTGGAAAGCTTTGTGCTCAATCACCACATTTCCAACTGCTCGCAACCTTTTGCGGCCTTCTTTCTGCTTTTCAAGCAGCTTTCGTCGTCGACTTACATCACTAGCATGCAATTTTGCCAGAACATCTTTTCGGTAAGGCTTGATAGTCTCACGAGCGATGATTTTCTTACCGACAGCAGCCTGGATGACAATCTCGAAAAGCTGTCGGTCAACATGCTCCTTGAACTTGGTTACCCAAATTCTGCCTTGTCGGTTTACCTGGCTCGAGTGCATAATCCGCGTTACAGCATCCACTGGCTCTTTGTTGACCAAGAGTTGTAGCCTGACAATGTTGCCAGATCGCCATGCAGATTCTTCGTAGTCCAAACTGGCATAGCCTTTGGTACCTCCTTTCAATTTTCCAAAGAAATCGTCAACCAAATGGGCGAGAGGCAGCTCGTACTTCATGATGACCTGAGTCGCTGTGAAGTATTCAATGCTTAGTTGCTCACCACGGTTGGCCTCGCAGAGCTCAATCACCTTTCCCAAATATTCTTCCGGGAAGGTCAGAGTGGTCAAAACATACGGCTCTTGGACCTCGGCAACTTTGAGTCGCACACTATCATCATCGGGGAATTTGGCGGGATTGGTGACGATTTCTTCAGTGCCATCTTTCCATACGACTTTGACTGGGACTGATGGTGGTGTAATGATGATACTGGCGCCGTGCTCCTGTCGTAGGCGGTCTTCAAATACGGAGCAGTGAAGGGTTCCCAAGAAGCCCATACGGAAACCGGCGCCTAAAGCCTCGGAAGACTCTTTCTGTACTGTGATGCTTCGATCATTCAAGACCAGCTGGTTGATGCTGTCCTCCAGGTGCTCGAAGAGATCCGCATTCACGGGGTATACAGCCACAAAGACCATCGATTTGGGCTCTTCGAATCCAGGCAAAGGCTCGACGATCTTTTCAAACCCGACTTTTGTGAAGGTATCACCAATCTTTGCCTCCTTACTCCGCTTCATGCCTGGGTTGAAGTAGATGTACCCAACTTGGCCTGCACGGAGAGAACTTTGCGCGGTCTCGGTCGGATACATGATGCCGACTTCACCGACGAAATATTTGAGACCGGTAACGAACGATATAAGCTGCTGACCTGCACGCACCTCCCCGTCGAAAACACGGACCAACAGGATCACGCCCTTGTAGGAGTCGTACCAAGAATCCACGAGGAGCATACGAAGTGGTTTAGTGGAATCGCCGATAGGTCTAGCATACAGTTAGCAAAATAACAGCATTTTGGGAAGCCACTGGTTAAACCTACGCAGGGATCTTGTCCACCACTGTCGGTAGCACAGCCGGAACATTCAATCCAGTCTTTGCCGAGACCATCACCGCGTTTTCTGTATCAATCTCGAACGTGTTTCTTATCTGCTCCAGAGCCCGCTCTGGATCCGATGAGGGGAGATCAACCTTGTTAAGAATGGGAATCAACTCGAGGCCTTGCGCAAAAGCCAAGTAGAAATTGGCGACTGTCTGCGCCTGAACGCCCTGGCTGGCATCAACCAAGAGGATTGCTCCACCGCAGCTGGCATAACTTCGCGACACCTCGGCACGGAAGTCCACATGGCCAGGTGTATCGACCAAATGTAACAAATAATCCTCGCCTTTATGGTTGTAGATCATGGTACATGTCTGTGCCTTGACCGTAATTCCTCGCTCTCGCTCGACATCAAGTTTGTCCAAAACTTGCTTGTTCGTGCCCGGTTGAATTGTGCCCGTCAATTCGAGTAATCGGTCGGAAAGCGTGCTCTTGCCGTGGTCAACGTGCGCAACGATGCAGAAATTGCGAAAGCGTTCGATTGGGATCGCAGCAATTCTCTTCTCGAGGGTTACGTCCAGTTTTAGATGCGTGTTTTTCTGACGTGCATAGTAAATTGTGGTAGTAGAGAAACCCCTTTCGTACCTATACGAAGAAAAGACAGTTGGTGGTCGGAGGCTCGCGGCCTGGCATCTCGGCGCTGCGCTCAGCCATCGGCCTAACTGCAGACATCCTCGCATTGGGAATTCTGCGGTGGCATAGGAGGGGCTGATTGTATGCGTCGAGTCGAAGTATATCCGCGGGGCAATTAGCGCTTCAGTGCTGGTTAGTCTCGTCACGATTTGCGGAGGAAAAACGGACGCGCGGGCGGTGACTTTTTATTGCTGCGGCGACCACTCGACATAAACAAAGCTCTACCTTTCCTTCAACTAAGTCTTCATCTACAAGCTCGTCATGCCGGAACCCAAGGAAAAGTCAAAGGTGCATAAGCTGTCAATCAAAGGTTCATACCCATCGTCTACTTCTGTAGTTGTGGCTGTACAAAGCTTACAAGATAACAGGATCGGCCAAGCTTGTCTCCGAATTCGTGAGTTGCCCTTTTGGTTGGGCCGATGATACCTCAGTACTGACAGGCGCAGTTTGAATACTCGATTAATTCAATCCTGTAAGTTGCTATCATACTCGGTCCAAAACACTGGCTGATCGCATTGGGTGTTCAGCTTCCAACGAGGAGTGTATCCTCCCGAGGATTTCACAACGTAAGTATACCTTCTCAACTGTGTCCACTACAGTACAGCAAGTTAATTGGGAATAGGATTAAAAAATATGGCCTCAATATGCTGGGTTCGTGAACCATCTTCTCAATCGACTTCAACAACCCTAACCTCATAGCAGTTTCGGCCGACGACCAGGTCAAAGCCTACATCAAGAAGATCATGTCCCAGTTGAAGGAATGGATGCAGGGAGGAAAGATCTCAAAGCTTGTGGTAGTTATCACTAGCAAGGAGACCGGTGAACATGTGGAGAGGTGGCAATTCGACGTATGCATTCGACACTCTCTCATCTGAGTCCGTGGCTAACTATAAGGGGATGAAATAGGTCGAAATTTTCAGCAAGCAATCCAAAAGCAAGAGCTCACAGAAAGCCGGCGACAAAGAGAACAGTGCATCGGGGTAAGTCTGTTCAGTTGAGGTTATCTTGATCATCCCACTAATCCAACATCTTTGTGTCTTAAAGAGAGGCAAAAGCCTCCGAGCCCATTGAGAAGACAGAAAAGCAAATCCAGGAGGAGATCCAAGCCATCTTCCGCCAAATTACCGCCTCTGTCACCTTCCTCCCCGTCCTTGATGGCGACTGCACCTTCAATGTACTTGTCTATGCCGACGCCGATTCAGACGTGCCCGTGGAATGGGGTGACAGCGATGCCAAGGAAATCAAGAATGCAGAGAAGGTCCAGTTAAGGAGCTTCAGCACAAACAATCACCGAGTTGGGACTCTGGTCAGCTATCGGCTGGCAGATTAATCTCTCGGTGACACATTATGATCAAATACGAAGGATACTATGGATTGGCGTTTCAGGAAAGGATCAAGGACTTCTTCCACTTATCATATCAGAAGTGTTGATATCAATCAAAATCAATGCCCCCTGGTATAAGACCAAGGCAAGCTCTCTCGCTTCGGGAACCACTTATTGCAATGATCACCCCCATCATAGCGGATTAGATCCAACACTACATCTTCCAGTCCCAACCCAGAGAACACATCGTTTTCCGTTTCAGAGGACCAGCCTCGTCTCGCCCTTTTTCCAACCAGATCCGGGTTCACTCCGTAAAGGTCTTCTCTCCAGAGCCCAATCCCATTCATAGTCTCGCCTCGAGTCAGTTTTTCTGGCGGTGTGACTTCCGCTGGTGGATTGATGCCTATGACAGCAATCTTGTGCGTATAGTCTTCTATTTCCGGGCCGATGGGGACGAGGCCCACAGCTGGAAAATGACACTGCATGAATCGAGCGCGTTTAAACTCGTGCGTCACGACTGTGACTCTCTGTGGATAAACGCCCGTGTATACCCGGAACTGTATTAAAGAAAACAATAGGTTTTGATATGAATCTGTGGCGTTGGTTTCTGCGATGACTCTTGATGAGTCAATTGTAGAGATAGTGGACATGCCTTGGAAGTAGTTGTTATCTCTGGCTAGATTCTGGATATTGCTACACATGAGCTTTCTGAGTGATCGGTTGTAGAGAATTCAGGGGCCTTACAAGGTAAGATTGACCTTCACTAAGCTCGGTTCTAGGCTTCTTGGTAGCCCCTCTATGCGATAAATCAATAAATGAAATCGAAAAGGATATGATGGAACAGCTCTTACCCTGAGAACACAAGCAAGCTATGAGAATCTGCTGCTAGAGCATTCAATCCGGCTTTGACATGATCGATGAATGTTGGTGTTTCTCCCTTTTGGAAGGGCTCAATCAGCCTGTTCGGTGAATCAGGTGCTTTCTTCCATATAAAGAGCCTATCCTGATCCCACTAACCACTCGTTCTCTGGGGCTCCAAGATGTGAACCTCCGGTGTAAATGGCATGGCAGCAGACAACAATGAGGTGTTTGCATGTAGCAAAAACTGCATATGGCTTGGAGGTCATATTGGTGGGTTTTGGTAGATCAAGGAATTGCTTGGGGTTTACCACAGTTCAAGATAGTAAATTATGGACGTTGGTGAACTGCTGTGTAAGAGAAGGGCGGTAAAGGATGTTGACTTCCCACAACTCTTTGGACATCAATCTTCACATCCCATCAGTGGGCAGATTCCAATTCTATTATCCTGAGCCTCCTCCGGTGGATTTCCTTTTTCTCTAAATATGCATTCTTCCATTCCAGGTTGTGTGGTATGAGGCCCCAAGCCACCAGCACTGTGTCTTCCTCTGTTGTTAAATCTAGCCAAGCAAGTAAATCCTGCCGAGTTTCGGGCTTCTTTCTTTTGATGGGAGTAGATTCCAAGTCAGATAGGCCTGCCGGTCTGATCCATTGTTGAGCAATCTGCTTTTCATTGCCTACAAACACGGTTGTGGGTTTCTGTTCCTCCAACTCAGGCCAATCCATATACTCTTCGGGGTAGGTAGATATGGTGGCCTTGAGTTTCGAGCTAACCCAGCAGCTATAACCCTGCGCTTCATTTTCACCACGGGGCCAGTGAATTCGAATGGATTCCCATATTCGAGAATCTTCACAGCCAACTCTGTGGGCCGTGAGAACTGTAGAAATGAGAATCACTACCACTGAGATAATTTGCGTGTACAAGGCTGACATTCCGATACTTATGACATGCACCGCAAAAGAGGCCCAGCCTATCCATTGGCACGCCCGATAAACGTATGGGTTCGGTGGTTGGGGATTGACTGCAAATGCGAATTTCGGCAGATATGCGGGGACTGAAAGAGTGATGACCTTCGAGTCCTCTGTCAACACAATCACCTTGGCAATTTTGTTTGGGTCTTGAGGCTCGATGGGTATTTTGATTCCCTCGATGGTCTGTCCACCCTGATGAAGGCTCTCCAGTCTGTTCATTGCCTCGTCGTACTTCGCTCTCTTAGCCGGGTAAGCCTCGGCTGCTTCTTGTGCTTTCCGGATGTTCGCATTGATGCCGGCCTGATTTTGTGCTACCATTATAAATCGTACCGCCACTGAAATAGCCATGGCTATCACATTGGCAAATCCCCACCAGTCCGCCCCCAACACAGTCAGGGCGATGAGCATCCCGTGCACCGGCAACCCAACAAGCAGGAAGCCGACGATTAATTCTTTCCATCTGCGCGGCTGCTCCATGACCTGCCATTTGACAATACTCCGGACCTGGTTGAAGTCCTGTGTCTGGAGCCACCGCGAAAACCAGCCGGCAAGCTCGGTAGTCGTGATCCCCGCTGATATATTGTAGAGAACGAATCCGGGTTTCTTCGTCGTAAATCGGTTTCCAGCCACCACAAAAGCACCTAATAACGGCAAGTATTTGAGGTATAGGCTTGGCACGAGTCGCCCGATACTGCGGTCCATCTCCTCTGCTCCGAGGAGCGTAACAAGGCCGAGGGCATCGATTTGCAGTCCCGTTCCACGGGCCCAAGAGTTGAGACTCTTACTCCATGGATACATAGGAGTAACAGTTATGAACTATTATCGTATGATGGCTCAAAAAATGACATCCTGCCCATGCATTCATATGGTTATCATTCTTAGGGTTAAGGTTGCGGCCCCCGGATGTCTGTCACACTACTTCGTATAATTGCGGCTGAAGGGAAAACAGAGATAACAGGTCACATATAACTTGACAACTAAATTATTTCAAATCAGCAGATCAGCAGGGGTTGAATACGAGGTCGGGGGGTCAAAACTCTACAACATGCGGCTCAAGTTAGAAAATAAGTTGTCCGTGTGCTTTATCATCCTTCGGGCTCCACGGATATGCAACTATCTTTGCACTGGCAAGTCAGCTTCAGCGTTAACTTTAGTTCAAAACTTGCCAAGAATCACATACGGGATAGTCGGTATAAATGCCGTCTACCCGGGTGAAGCTATCGATACAGTTTGCCCAGGTGACATATACGCCTTCTTCCCCAGGGGGCTGCATACGTCGCTCTGCATTATGTTGTATTGTAGGCGCATTTCATTCAGGGCTGCATTGATGCACCTCCAATCAAATTCAATGTGTTTATCAATTTTCTGATATTTCCCATCAGAAATTTCAAAGTGATCTACAGTGGAAATGAAGTGCGGAATTCCATAAGCGTGGCTTCGTATTCCAGTAAAGAGAATAGTCTTTTTCCAGAACGGCCAAACTATGTACTGTGATAAACTATTTGGCTGTCACAGACGCCATTCCCCTTGGTTTTTCCCTGAACAGGTCCTCATACATAACAGTCAATGGACCTTCCAACAACACTCTTTGCTTCTTGAGTGACCTGATGCGCAAGCTCATCCCCTCCGAGAATTCCTTTCCCCTCTGATTTCAAGTCACAATTGCCAAAAATGGCTCATTTTCTGCTCGGACGTAAGAAGCCGACTGATATGGAGAAAGCAAAGGAAAATCTCATAAAACGATATGATGGCGATAACCATCGATCATCAGGAATGCGATTCCAGCGGCCTTCTGCTGCCAGCTTGGAAACAATCGAGAATCGCATGCAGGAGCTGAATGATGGCCATGGGTACGGCAAGAAAACGTATCTGAATCCTGATGGAGATGGAAGTCACGAAAAATATATCGATCTGGATACATACTACAGCACAAACAAAGGATATCCACGTCGACTTGTCGTGCAGGCGGCTTCAAAAATAATCCATGATAAGACTGATCATCGCCATCGTCCCTGGGGGCGACGCCGCATTCGTGGGAGAGTCCCATTCGTCATCACCCTGGCCGAACTTTGCTTGAACCCATTTGGTTTTTACCGTTTCGATAGTGTTCGAGTCGACAAATACGAGGAAGAGGATGAGAAGCAGCAAAATTCGGTGTTGAAAATCACCAAACAAATCCCGTACTGGATCCTGTCGGCTCTGCTCACTTTGTCAATATCAATCCCGCACTGGATCACATCAATTCTGCTCACCTTGACACTATCTTGGATCATTCCACTTGTCCTCTCTTTGGATATTTGTACCGCCCCGTGGGATGATGACGGCTCAGCTGATCGCTACGACAAGTATGAGAATGTTTACTGGCGCTGGCCGAAACACGCAATCAATGTGCTGGATCAGTCCCCCAATAATGATCGACCGCAGTCAAATATTGACAGTCTTACGATTCCTCGCCGCTTGGTGGTGAAAGACCAAATTACCAACCAGTGGGCTCCCAAGGAGACCGACCTCATTCGTGATAAAAAGACCGGCATGCTACAACCCTATATTTTCTTAAGTTTTTCTCGGGCCAATTATTTTCCCAAATCAGACGAAGAATTACGAAAGATGTTCTATAAAGTGGCTGAACGCATGCTTCACCACGAGAACAACGACAGAGACCCGCTGGACCCTCCGCTGGAAGCATTCTGGCTGGACCTCGATTGCGTTTCGGGCGATCAGAATATACCAGCCAATGATGTCCAATCACCATGCACTCGAGATGTCAACACGATTAGCGATGCGGTACGCTGTGCGAAGCGAGTATATATAGTCCTCCCCACTGAAATTCCGCGTGACAAAGAGATATGGGGAGAACGGATGTGGACATTTCCGGAAGTCCTCCTCGCTTCGGATAAACTCCGATACTGCTTCACCCATTCTACTTCTATGGCTCCGTTCACGCCGCATGAAGTCACATTGACCGACATGTATAATAGCTTCTGGCCTGGGCCGACGCCCTCCAGCCCTCGTTTGAATGGTGAAACGAAACACGAAGACGCCATAGGCCACCTCATCAAGCATTATACCAATAGTGTACAGCTGAGCGAGCTGCAATTGTTCACTTTTGCTGTTCAAGCCATGGCGACACAGGCAACTGGCATCAACATCAAGGGGTACACGACCAAGGATATGGCCTACGCTGCGATGGGGCTTTTCTCATATCGACTTACCCCCAATGATTCCGATACCGCCTTTCAGGCCATTGCGCGACTATCCCTCGTGAACGATAGCAATCAATTGCTTGAGCGTCTCCTCTGTCTGTCGCCGAAACCAGGAAAGTCCCCCGTGGGGAGGCCACCTGGATCGGATCCAGCTGGCAGTGAGACGATTCTTCACAACATCGCAGATGAAGATCAATACGGTACTCACCTTTGGGACATCAAGCCGCTCATTGATGTGGTTGGCGTTGGCGACGATTTACATGAGCCCACGGTCATCGTAGATCGCTGCCGGGGCATCCCCATCCGATGGAAGGACTTCCCGAGATTGAGGTATACCAAAGACCTCAGTGGGACGAGTGCTAGCATCTCAAATGCAGTCGTGTATCGCAGTAAAGCGTTCATGCTGAGTGGCTTTTCTCTCTTCGCGTCTGCGATTGCGCTTTCGCTTGCACTCATTGATTTCAAAGGGAACGAAACTGAGGCGACAAGAAATGTTTTGGAGGTTCTCGAGACCAGAGTTATTGCTTATTACCTAATTGCTATTGCTCTGTACTTCGGAGTCGCCTTGGTTATCTCCTGGTTCAGTCCTTGGGCGGTACGAAAGCTCTGCAGCGATAGCGTCGAGGGATGCTCCAGCCATCTTGTCGGATTCGAAGGCACGATGGAATTGCATGAACTTGAGAAAATCATCTACGGTAATTTCAATAATCGCCTATCGTATACGGCCTCGTCGACTGTCTTCTCTAAGAACCTCCGTCACTATGAGCTCCGAATGAGCACAGAACGCGATGAGGGCTATTGGGAGAAAGAATTTAAAGACCTGGGACTTCCCAACAGGCACCGCCTCTTCACTCTCGTGGACACGGGCAATATGACTGTGTCGGTGATTTCCGCCGAGCGACCACCTGTCGTAGCCTTGATGTGCGGGCGGGAAGGCGGCATGCTCCGGGTATTGTTGTGCAGCTGGCGCTTTGAAAAGAACTGTCTGTATCGTGAAAGTGTTATCCGCATGCGCAGCTCCATTGAAGACCAGGCTACACAAAACGACTGGTTGAAAATCAGCTTGGCGAGCCAGGGCGATGCCAACCGTACCGGGGTGGAACACCTCAAGGCAGAAGCCGAAACGAGGCAGACAGCTACCTTTAACCCTTCTCCTCCTCGTCCGCGGAAGGACTGAGGCCTTGTTTCTTCCTCTTCGCCTTTGGCCATGAACGCCCGAGGCATGTTAAAATGGCTACATTTGACCGGCACCGATTTATTATCTCCCAACATTCATGTATTGATCTACTTCTTGCACCCTAATCTTCAATCAAAATATATATAAACATACAGTGTACTAGCATCTTGTATATAACATCTCGAATATCACTTCAAGCCAACTGGAAGTTCAAATTATCCAAGTTTTACATCGTCGACCTTAAGATTATAGAGGCCGCATAAAGCATAACCGACCGACCATTCTTGTACACTAGAAGTTGAGCTTGATCTAATTACTCAATTGTTGACAGTCAACTACAAGATACATCAAAGCGAGGCTGTGGTTAAAGCAACCACGCCAACAGGCACGTCGACCCCCTCCAAGATAGTCGGATCTTCCTGGAACTCATCACTCTCAACAAACTCCTTCAAAACAGAATACACACTCCGCTCGATAACCACCGCCGAAGGGTCTGCAACATCCGTCGCACTCATAACCCGGGAAAGGTAATGCAGGGTACACACCAACGCATTCACATCCTGTATACGGCCAAGTAGAGCAGGGATATACGTCGGCTGAACAGCAGGCTCGCTCCTCCGGCCGTCCAAATTGAGAACGTTTGCCAGAGTTTCCCTAACCGGATCCTCCAACGCACGCCACGCATCCTCATACAAGAGTGCCTTTTCCTGCGTAGTCACATTCCCCATACAAAACAACCGCATCAACGCCCGGTCCTCTGGATTCTCCTCCACGTGAAATACTCGCACATCCTTGTCACGGAGGAACTCTGCACGTCGAATCAATATCAAGTCATACCCACTGCGGATGGTAAGAGTGCCCCCAATGACACCCTCGCATACATCATAGACATTGCGATAGGAGTCAAAGATAGGCTGGATGAGTTTCTTCGCACAAGTCCAGTCCATGTGTCCCGCAGCACCGGCGATGTCGAGCAGCTGCTCCATGAAACGGAGTTGGAAGCTGCGGTCGTGGCCTTCCATGCGGGGTAGACCGGACAGACAGGCCGGTACGTTTTCCGCCTGTGCCAGTTGACCAAAATTGAAGGTCGCGCCGAGCTCAATCGCCCGGATCACATCGTCTCTATATTGGTCTGGAAGCTTGTCCAGCGATGGGACTAGGCCGGCCTTACAGGCCGCGAGGAGAATGGCGTCGTGGTTGAGAGTGGACACGTCCACACCAGTCTTTTCGTAGCAGCCGGATGCTAGCTGTGGATCTTTTCCTAGATCATTGATGATTATTGAGGTGATCAAGGTAAAGAGTGCATTTGCATCGGTGATGATTTGCGTGTAGAATTCGCGGGTCCAGTCAAACGAGGTTCTCGTTAGTTGAAATGAGGATGTCTGTGAACCGATGAAGGTCTCATATTGACCCGTATGAATCCAGCGGAGTGCGAGAAACCCTACCAGTGTGCGATTCACTTCATCGTAGTCTTCGTTGTATAAAATGTAAGACGGAGATGGAGTGCTAGGAGGGGTCAAGGGACCGTCTCGGATGGAGTATGCCCATCGCAGATGGTCAATTTCGTCCGGAAACTCGTTATACACGAGGCGAATCAGCTCCTCGCCCGAACGGGCGAAGAGAGAATCCGGATCACCACAAGCTTCTCGTAGGGACTGAGATGAATCCATTGTAGGATGTTTCCTAGTTCCGATTTAAGCCGCCTAGGGGTTTTATGAGAATCAGCCTTGGGGAGACCTCTATCATTGGTCCGAAGTTTACGCTACCATTAAAAAGGGATGAAAGATATCACTGCGCTGAAGATAATTCTTGGCTGTGAAAAATAAAGATATCCTAATTGTACATTTTTGTCATCGCCCTCAATCCATGCGCCATAATATTAGCCATGTATGGTATGGGACCCGCTAAATGCATCCGCGAAGCGAAAACAAAGGCGAGATAGAAAGAAAAAGGAAAACGCCTGAGCCCAAGGGGGGCATGCAAAGGATTCTGAAAACTCAGACGAATCAATATGTGCTGACCTCCCAGACCATGAAAAGCAACCGTGCGATTAACGCCAACCAGAGAATTCCGGTCGTAAAATGCATATCCATGACCCAATACAAGATAGAGAAGAAATCATGAAGGTATTAATGCAAAGATAGGAGAAAGGGAGATTGTACCAATGTAGAGAATAGCAGTACAAGGGTATCAGTCGTAAAGGAACCATGTGGCGATAAATGTGGCGTATGATTTAGAGAGGATCGTGGCGGAAAGTGCAGTTGTCGCCTTTGCGACACTTGCCCTCAGCCCAGAATCTGCAAGCAACGAGTCCCACCTTATACTGTTTCAAAAGTTAGCTAATTGTTTAACATAAAATGCCGAACCCGCAGTGTACTTACAGGCTTAGCCTCGCTGGCGCCAACTCTGGTCCGTTTCGAGCGGCTCCATGAATCGGAGTTGGACTGGTCGTCATAATAACCGCCCTCGCGGCCTCGCTTGCGCTCTGGGTCTTCATAGTCATAGCCTTGCTGTTGGAATGGGAGAGCACCAGGTTGTTGGTTCTGCCCACCGAATTGTGCGAACATGGCGCCGAGGTTGGGTGCCATCGCTGATTGCGATTGCTGAGGCTGGGAGTATGCAGGCGGCCCCTGCATTTGTTTCATGACATTCAAGATCGTGTTGAAGTCAAGGCCTTGGGGCTGAGAAGTGGGTACTGATGGAGGGACCTGGGGTTGAGGTTGTTGCTGACGGAACATGTTGATGGTCCTCTCAAGATCCGGCATGACTCCAGGTTGGGTTGCCTGTGGCGGTGGGATTGGCTGCGCCTGTCCAGGCACACCCTGGATGATCTTGAGCAAATTGGAGATATCAAATCCACTATCCCCGGGGGTAGGTTGCTGCGGTTGCTGGGTTGGTTGGGGAACCGCAGGCTTGGGGTTAATATAGGAGTAGTAACGTTCCTGGCGGACCTGCAGTGTCTTTGTTAGCATCAAGTTTTACTACTATTAGAAGTATAACATACCTTGACCATGTCGGGCAACTCTCCAAACGGCAATACCTCGGTGACAATCTCGTCGGGATCAGGAGTCGGTGGCTCCTTGGGTGTGTCAGGCATGTCGGCAGGAGAAGTATAGAATACCATGAGGGTAGTAGATTCCCGGTGCTCCTGGGCCTCCCTCTCGGGACTTGTTGGCAGCTGGGGCCCACCGCGTTTGATGAAACTGCCGTCTTTTGATTCCTCGAAATCGAAATCGATCACTGTGATGGTCAGTAAGAATTTGAGGTATAGTCGGGGAAATAACCTACTCGAAAGAATGTAACCATCTTGGAATACGGTCTCACGGATCCCACCAAGATCCTCTTCTTCTAGTTCGTCCATATCTTTATGAAGCTTAAGAACGCTACCTTCACCTTTAACGTCTCCTCGTGAACGTAATGACCCATCGCCGGGATCTAATTCTTCATCGGGATCATGGGTGAATAGTCGAACTTCGGTAAGAGCATCATCCGGCTTCCAGGTCACGCGAAGTTTACGGCGCTCTTCTTTACGCAATCTCTTTGTGCGCTCAGCTTCAGTCTCCGGGGGCTGGTCTTCGGCCGGCTTGGGGGTTGGTGCCTGCTTTGGCTTGTTCAAGTCGGCCATAATGTCACCAAAGGAGAAAGATGGCTTGGGGGCTGGTGTCTTCTCCTTTTCGGCAGCAGCACTATTTGAAGTGTTAATACAGATGAATCTCAGAGACACTCTCTTCGTGGGTACATACGTTGGCTTTGCTGCAGCGGCGGCGGCGGCCCTATCCGCATTTGTGGTCCCGGGCCTCTTTGACGCTGAGCTTAAAGTGCCAAAGAGACTTGTCGGCTTGGGAGCCACGATATTGGGTTTAGGGCGCAGAACTGCGGCGCCAGGTGGCTTACTTTGTGCTCCCTTGGCCTGTCCATTGCCTGTAGATGCAAGTTTATTCACATCCTTCAAGTTGTTGGGAACTGCCATTCGTTTTGCGCCAGGTTGCAGATTGTTATCCGCCTCACGGGGTCGCTTCACTCCAGCGTCTCCCTTAGGCTGATCTGCTGAAGGAGCTCTTGTATTCGACTCCTCTTTAGCGGGCATTTCACTCTCCTGCTTACGCTTCGTAGAGGCCGCAGCATTATCTAGTATCTTCTGTGTGAGATCCCTAACCTGCTGGCCACCTTTTTTGAGAAACTTGGGCAGCAATTTGGAAAGATTGGTCTTCTGCATCATGTCTTCTGTCAAAGATGAGAAACGCGAGAAGAGCTTATTCCATGTTAGTCAATTTATTCGACACAAAAAAACAAGGTCAAACTTACCGTTAGCAAATTAATAGTCAGAGTCCCAGCAAAATCTGCTGCCTGGAAACGGTCGACCAAGAAGGAATATAGAGCTGCCACAACCATAGGGTGCTCTCCCAGCCTACATGAAATTAACAATCAGTCATTTGAGCTCAATTATGTCAAAGTTTCAAGTTTTTTGCCACAAAAAGCTGCAAGTTTGAGCCAATTTCTAGATAGGAGTGTTTCCCCCTCAATGAGGCTCACAGTAGCTTCCTAGGGGGATATCTGAGACTCAATATGATTGGGACCCTTTTGCTCCATCTAGTATTCTTGTGTGTGCCCAGGACACGCATCTATAATCAAGCCTTGCCACCGGCTAATAGAGCGATGGCCCTTTATTCTAGCCCGTGACAGTGCTGTCATATCCAATGCTCCCAAGAATATTTATAGGTGTTCTCAAATAGCTTCAGGGTTTGGGTAACCATCACAGCCAGATAGAAGGGAGGGAAGATATAGGAGGTGGGAGGGGAGGGGGATACATACTTCTCAACAATATTGGGATGACCCATTTCCAGTGTTGTGGTCGCAATTTTATCCATAGTGCGACGTTGCGAAATGACCCTTTCCTTGAGTTTGATTGCTTTCTGGTTATCGTCTTGGTTTTCAGCTAGTTTCATAGCCTGAACTTGTTCCTTCCACGCATCTCTCAATGATTTGACAAGGTCTTTGTAGGCTACCAGCGCATTCTTGACCTTCTCGGGACCAGGCCATTTGTTCCTTGGTGACCACACAGCTTGGAGGGTATCATACTGTGCTGCAGCCTCGGGCTCAGTCGGGCGGATCGGAGGAATAGGAGACGGCTCATCAGGTGCTTCAATCTCAAGATCAGACTCATCCGAACTTTCACTTTCCGAGTTAGAGGCAGTTCTCGTCTGGCCTTGTGCAGAAGAATTCTGCGCTTGCTGACTGTTATAAGCTCCCTTCTTATTGGTAATTACAACTTGCGGTACTGGTAGTCCTATAAATGTCAGCATTAATCGCAATGTAATGGATTTCAACTGGTCTGGGCATACCTCTAGACGGAAGCACTGGGTTGCCAGTTGGTGTCATTTGTGACTGAACTGAAAGATCATGCTGGTAGTAATTGAATAGCCTGGCCCTTCAGAAAATCAGCCAATGAAGTTTGAACAAGCATAAGCCAAAGGCATAACTTACTGTTCACTCCCTTGTCGTTGAAAGTCTGCAGGGATTCCCTGAAGGAAGTTGCTTGCCAACGAAGACTGCTGTTGATTAAATGCCTGCGGGGTGGAATTTAGGAACTGAGGGTTAATGGTGACATTTGGGTCTGAATCAGAATAATCGTTGGTCAAATCAATTGTGTTTTGCTGCCTATCGTTAGAACCACGGTCACCATGGAGGGAATTTTGGGTAGACTTACGAGCATCTCTGAGGAGTAGCCTTGAGGTAAAGGGTATGGAGAAATTGATGACTGGGGTTGTTGTTGTGGCCGTTGCTGTATTCTCTGTTGCGTAGTTGTTTCGGGAAAAGTGTCTGGTACTGAAATGTGGGGGTGTTGAGGATGGAAGTAATTTTGCTGGTAGGGAAATGATGGAAATGCCGGAGATTCAGAGGCACTCAGGGGACGAGAGTCAAAGGGCATCTGTCCTTGCTGGAAATGAGGATTCTGTGAATGTATCTGATACTGGGGCGAGGCTCCATATCCTCGCTGTGGTGGCTGTTGCAGAGGGTTTGTTTGCTGCCAAGGCTGGTGCACTGATGAGTAGATGCCATGGTTTGCCTCCGGTCGTGGGGCTATCTCTCTCTGTTGTTGTTGAAAAACAGGATGGTCCCATCCAATACCAAGGGGTGTTTGTTGCGATGCAGAATCGTGCTGCTGTTGGTGGTGTTGGGGTTGAGACGGCTGCTGAAGCTGCTGCTCGGGATCGGGGTAGGCGGGATCAAGCGTACTCCAGTAATCTGAAGGCAGTGAGGAATTCCCATGAGGTAACCCCTGCATAGGGTTTTGAGCTGATTGCTCCATGGTGAGCCTCAGTCGAAGCTTCTCTAAGCTACTATGAAACCTCACGTAATCACGTGCACGCACCTGCCTGGGTAGGGCTAGTGTTTATTTGGTGCTCACCGCCTTTTGTTTTTGAGGAAAGATAGTGGGTCGGAAATTCGGGAGGGTAAATAATTTTTCCGGTGAGGACGTGAGATTATTGGTTGGCTATCTCACGACGCGGCAGAACAGGGGCCTGTAGAGCTGCTGGTCTGAAGAATTGATAAGGATTAGACAATTCACATGTTTGATACGCCTAGAATGGACTTCAAAAGTTGCAGTATGAGTACCGTCGTACCTTATGCGAGAGAAAACAGAGACTGCTTTTGGCTTTGACTCAGGATTAAAGTGGTGTTTGCCTCAGGCATCAACCCGGTTCCCCAGTACTGCGAGTGACGGCGTTGCCTTTGGCCTTGCAGCTTAATGACGAAGGCTCCGCAGTTGCGAATACAACGTAGAAGTATTAAGATGGCCCTGATTTTCAACACCGGTGCCTCTCTCCTTGTGTCCTTGACTTTGTATCTCCTTCTTTCTCTCTTCTTGGGCTGATCCTGTTGTCCCTGTAGGGCTTTGCGCTCTCCTTTCTCGTTCTTATGTTTTGTCCCAAAAGAAAGTCCTTGTGGAATCAGAGAAGGAAAAAAGCTCTCATACGAAGGGCCACTCTAGCGTCACAGCCATTCGCTTTACGGAAAAAAAGAAGGGATTGGGGAAATGTGTTGAGGGAGGGTTAGAGTAGATGACTTGGGTTGAAGAAGAGAGTAAAAGGGACAAAAGCTGCTGGCAAGGCGGTTAACCGATGATACGATGGCATACCACAATGGACCGTAATTGTTGTATTTAAGGTCTTTCATTGGCCTACCGCCATGTAAATTACAGCCCCTGTGTTACATGGCAGAATCCCATCCATATGATCCCCAGTGTTTGCAGTGTTTGGAAAGTTATGTCAGCCTAGCTCAGCGCCCGGATCCATGCCAGGTGGAGCGATAGCAAGATCCCCGGTGTCAACAGTGCAAGGTACATCTGATCCATTCTAAGAGTTGCGCATATATCTCAGCTACCTTCCTGTGCAGCTCCATATGTTGCCAAATTTGGGTTGAAACAGAGCATCATCTCCAATCTCACACGCTGCCAGTTATTGCCATGGCGCAACCTATGTCCCTCCGGGACCGACAGGTCGGTAAGTGACGCAAGCTGGATTCTTGCGACAAATTGACCTCTTACTGATCTATGACTTCTAGCATCAATTCAAAAGCTATTGAACTTGAATCATGATTCACAACCTGTTGAAGACAACACCATCGATCAGTCCGGGTCCGGCGGTCTTATCTCGCACTCCACTCCGATCTTGAATGAAGATGGTGACCCAATCTGGAAAGTCTTGGTGTTCGACAAAATGGGCCGGGATGTCATCAGCAGTGTTCTGAGGGTCAATGACCTCCGGGCATGGGGCATAACTATTCATCTGTATGGTCGCCGCCTTCTCCCCCCTAGGTCCCATCGCTGACGAAGACTCCTAGAAACCTTCATTCACAAAGATACCCTATCCCAGATGTCCCGGTTGTATATTTCGTGGAACCAACCCCCGATAATATCCAAGCGATCGCTCACGACCTTTCCCACGGGCTCTACTCCCCAGCCTACGTGAACTTCCTATCCTCCGTCCCGCGGCCACTGCTCGAGGATTTCGCTTCTCAGATAGTTACTTCCGGCGCATCTGAGCATATTGCGCAGGTTTTCGATCAATACCTCAACTTTATTGTGGCAGAGCCGGATCTTTTCAGTTTAGGGCTTGGAAATGATGCGTACTACAAGATCAACAGCCCAAAGACGACTGATGAAGACCTGGATGGGATTGTTGACAACGTGGTTAGCGGCTTGTTTAGTGTGAGCGTGACAATGGGTAAGTATCATATCCTACCTTGAATGATCGAACGAAGATTTGACTGGCTGGGCAGGTACTATTCCAATCATACGGTGCCCCAAGGGTGGTGCGGCAGAGTTGATAGCAACAAAACTGGATCGAAAACTGCGAGACCACATCCTCAATTCCAAAGACAACCTATTCTCAGGCAACCAGAACGCTTTGCCGGGAGTGCCATCGGCACGGCCGGTATTGATCATCATGGACCGAAACGTTGACCTAGTCCCAATGCTTTCCCACTCGTGGACATATCAATCTTTGGTCCAGGATGTTCTTGAAATGCGCTTGAATCGAATCACTTTGGATGCAGGTGCAGGTGATGCAGACTCGGCTAAGAGCTCCAAAAAGTCGTATGACTTGAACAGTACCGACTTCTTCTGGCAACGCAACGCTGGGGCCCCATTCCCCCAAGTGGCTGAGGATATCGATGCTGAGCTTACACGGTACAAGGATGATGCGAATGAGATTACAAAGAAGACGGGGGCGTCTTCAATTGAAGATCTACAGAATGATACCAGTGCCTCCGCGCAACATCTCAAGGCCGCTATCACACTACTCCCTGAGTTGCGGGAACGCAAGGCTGTTCTTGACATGCATATGAACATTGCCACCGCACTGCTCAAGGGTATTAAGGATCGGCAGTTGGACAACTTCTTCGAGCTAGAAGAGACCATCACCAAACAATCAAAGTCACAGATCTTGGAACTAATCAATGATCCTTCTAAAGGAAATGAACCACTGGATAAGCTGCGCTTGTTCGTGATCTGGTTCCTCAGCACTGAAACTGAGCTCAGCCGCTCCGAAATGACTCAGTTCGAAGAGGCCCTGACCCAAGCCGGCGTGCCCGATATTTCCTCTCTTGCATATGTCCGCCAAGTGCGCGAGATCACTCGTATGACCATGATGACAACATCCGCTCCAGAGCAACAGTCCTCCGATCTATTCCGCGGGTTCTCCTCCCTTTCTAATCGTCTGACGGATCGCATTACCTCGGGCGCTTTAGGTGCCAACTTCGACTCGCTCATTTCAGGGGTAAAGAATTTCCTACCAGCGAACAAGGATCTTACCGTGACCAAGATCACCGAGTCGATCATGGACCCGGCTGCAGCTTCAAGCTCTGCTATTGCGAAGACAGAAAATTACCTCTACTTTGACCCAAGGAGCGCCAACGCACGTGGCGCCATGCCTCCGGCATCTGCATCACGGAACCAGCAGATGCCTGGTGGAATTGGTAGCGCAGGCCCTGGCACCGGTGCCAGTTTCGGACAGCGTCGTCAAGCTTTCAGCGAAGCTATTGTCTTTACAGTTGGTGGTGGAAGCATGGATGAGTATGGCAACTTGCAGGAATGGGTTCGCCGAACAAATGGCCAAGCGGGCGCCGAGGGCGCGCCAGCTCAACGTGCGACACCCGGACACCGCCGAAGAGTTGTCTATGGAAGCACAGACCTGATGAACGCCACTGAATTCCTGTCAGATTCATTGGTGCCTCTCGGTCGGGATAGCTAAATGTAATTGTCGCTAGGTATCGACATCAACATAGAGCCAACCTGAGGGTTGTAAAACATGGTATAATTGAATCGCTCTGGTGTGCCTATGGTGTCTAATGACTATTCTGATAGTAATCAAGTCTATTGACTACCTGGGTAGCGTTTTCCCTCTTTGCTCTGGCATTAAATACCCAATCCCACCAATAATTATGTCTATTTGAAGCACGACCTCGGCCCCAGGGGATATATCGAACTCCACCTAGTCAAGGTCTCAGGGTCTCGATCAACTACAATGATATTGGTAGAACGAAATAAACAGAACAATCTCGAGTTGAGTTGATTCCACATCATTCTAGAAATCACAGAAACTCCAGATATTGGCACTTGTGGGGGTTCAATGTAATCATCGGCCCAATTTTATGGTCAATATCTACTTCTATGGGGGGTTGAACTATACACCAACATCATCCCGCCTTCAGGGGCAACAGTCTGGAACCGAATGCCCCAGAAAATCTGATCAATCAGAATTGCTCCCAAAGATGTTCGACTTGGGATTTAGCTTCTTTTCCCATTCAGCCTCATTGCCTCACTTGGCGAATTCTCCATGGTGGCCCGAGTGATGTCAGGGCAGTATCATCGTCCTGAGATTCAACGCCACGACAACGATATAAGAATAGGCCGAGCTGGTGCTTATGACTGAACGAACAATCAAACAAAAAATACACAAACAACTATCTTCTCTATCTTGAAACACATCTTCAAGATGACCAACTACGGAGACACCTGGTCCACGACCTACGATACCTACGATACCACAGGGTCAGCCTACAACCCCGCGGGCTCAACCTATAATACCCTGGGTTCAACTTACAGCCCCACGGGCTATGGCACCTACGGTGCAACCGACTATGGCGCAGGCGCAGTGGGCTACGGTTCGAACGCAACTGCGACAACTTACGATACCGACACCGGCCGCGGCACCACAACGTATGATCCCCAGACCGGTGCTTACGACCAACATCTTGATTACAGCACTCCCACCGGTCGACGACACCACCGTGAGCGAGTCAACTCGGCCGGCACCTATCGGCACCGCGACGTCGACCGCTTTGATGACGGTTCTACTCGCGTCCACAAGGAATACGACAATCCAAACACTGGTACCAGCTACCACCGTGACTATGAGCGCTAAATGCCCTCGTATTTTGACAATTCGCATTGGGTTTGGACCCAGGCTTGTATATAAAGCGGCATGAGACCACGAACCTACGAATCACGGAAACAAACGCAAAAACAGATGAAAAGGGCAAAATTGGGTTTTATGGCCACCAAAAAAAGATGAAAAGTAAAAACACAAAAAAAAGTCCTAATTTGTTTGTTTTTTAGCGACTGTTTAGCTGTGCGTCTGCTTGGCTCTGTTAGTCTGGTTTCATTGGGGGCGAAGGTATGGCTTCAATTCAAATCAGGCGAAATGCGAAACAAATTGGGCAACGCTCTTTATCTTTTTCTTTGTTCTTTTGTACATTGTAAGATTGTAAGTGTACTACCGAGGTATATACTGCTATAGACAAAAAAAACAAACTGGATAGGCTTAGATTTGGCATGATTAAACGGAGATACCTAATAGTTGATTCCATATAATACATGTCTGAAGCTATATGAAATAAAAATAGAAATATCACAAATATCCAAATCTATATCAAATCTCAAATATCATACATATCTCATAGACGTAACTTGTCTTGGCAAAGATGCCTCAGGCGATCCCAGGACAAGGCTGACTCCACATCATTGGCACTTCCCTCCAACTCCCAACTTTATTCTGTACAGCCAACGAATGTTGTGCTGAAACAGCTTCTACTTCAGCTTCTCATGCCCCCGTGATCATGTCGCGGAGGACGCTGGGTGGAGGTCGTGTTCTGGGCAACCCGAGTGCGCTCTCATCAGCTCCGTCCCCGCAGCCGAAGCGGGTGCTCTCGCCGACCGCCAGCAGCGTTTCCCTTAATTCACAGGCATCCGCATCACAGCTCTCGACAGAAACTCAGGATCTCACTTCGCGCATTTCAATAGAGAATGGCGATACTTCGATATCTGCCGCCCCGGCTGCTCCGGGGGCAAAGCTCTCCTGTCCGATCTGCAGTGAGGAGATGGTATGATTGTTCCCATTCCCTATTTGTTTCTTGTCAAATGAGACGATGCTGACTGTGTCTAGATGACTTTGCTGCAGCTGAATAGGTACCGATCCATCCTTCCCCCTCATGGCCGCCTTAACGTATGATTAACGACTTGACGCAGACATCTCGACGACATCCATCAGAACCTGGAAGATATCCGACAAGATGAAGTCAAAGACTGGTTTAAGATCCAAATGGAAAAGGCAAGGAAATTTCAGCCTCTGGCGGTCCTAAACCAGAAGCTGAAAGGCCTGGATGTGTTCGAATCAAACGAGAACCAGGGCGCGCCTCTCCCCAGCCGCCCATTAGCACCCACGGGCATTCCCGAAGCTCCAAAACTACTAGACCCCGAAGATCTGATCACAAAAGAACACTGGCAAACAAGTTGTATATACGACGAGTGCCTAGAACCATCATGCGGGAAACGATTGAATGCCACCAACGGCTGCGTGAACTGTCGGAGTTGCGGGAAACTGTTTTGTGAAGAACACACAATGTACCAAATGAAGCTCTCGCGGGCGGCACATCATGAACCGGTGCGAGGAATATGGGCTCGAGTATGCGAAACCTGCTACAAGTCAAGGGAGGGGTACAATGATAATAGTGGTAAGAACATCGACTTTCCGGTTGTGAACAAAACTAAACAAGCAACAGGAGCCACGAGAAACCGGATGGAGGTATTCAAGTCAATAAGGAAACAGACTGTCGATAAGGAATTTTTGGAGATTTCCCGACTTGAGAAACGATTGACCCGTCTCACTCAGATGTTGGCTAGTCTGCCACCAGATCAAATACACCCCAGTGCAACAAAACTCTGGTCTCTTGCGTGGCAGAATGATCAGCGTAAGGAAATAGAGCAAACGATTGTCAGCTGGCAAGATGATGCCAGTGTGTCCCGATGTCCGTTTTGCCAGCAGGACTTTTCGGGCTATACGTTTCGCAGGCACCACTGCAGAACTTGCGGAAAAGTCGTCTGCGGTGATCCTAGTACCGAGTGCTCTAGTGAGGTTGCGCTGAGCATTTCTCCCGGTGAGTTCCAAAATGCCCATCCTTCGTGACTTGGGTCTAATTTCTAACAGTCTCGACAGCCACCTCTGAAAAGACTAATAGCGATAACCTTGTCAACATTGATGTGAGGCTGTGCAAGGAATGTAAAGCGACGCTGTTTGATCGACGCGACTTTAAAGCAGACATGACGCGAAAGCCACCGGAGATTAGGGCCTATGAAAACTTGATCCAGTTTGAGAGAGGCATCCGCCTTCATTTGCCTAGATTCCAAAAACTTTTGGCAGCTTTACAGTATGTTTCTCGTTTGCGGTGTTCCCTTCTGTCGCTAACGGCATTGTTTTAGGGATCCAAGGCGACCCCCATCATCGGCCCAGATCGCAGATGCATCCAAGGTGCGCAAGCGACTCATTGATTCTTTTGCGCAGTATGATATTGCAGCTCGACGTATCCGTGACATGCCGACCCAGTCCCCTACACAACAAAAGCTGCAGAAGGCTATATATCAGCAAGCCAGCAACTTCCTTCACCTCCACATGTTACCTTTGAAATCCCTCCCCAAAATCCTCAAGCATACAACCCCCGCGTCAGAGAGAATACCCAGCCGGACAAGCTCCCCGAGTACTCCGGTCAATGGCTCCACGACAAGTCTCCGGCCTCCAGAGCCTGCCCTTGCATCTATCAAGTACAACAGCGTTGCCGCGAGCGGTAGCAATACCAGCCTAGCCAGCGACACTAGTAGTGCCGTCTCAGCTCTGGAGGCAGAAGAAAAGTCCCTCCGAGACCGGCTGATCGTGCTAGAAGAGCAAAAGTTCTTTGTGTCCGAGATGATCGCCGATGCCAACCGGCGACGCAAATTCGATGAAGTGAGCAGCCTAGCGATGAACGTCGAGGATCTAAGCCGTGAGATCGATCGCGTCAGTGGCATTCTCGCGGGTCTCGATTTCGAAGGTGTTTACACGGGGAATTTGCACCCAAGCTCTTAACTTGAGTTTTAATTGCTAGGATGGGAATATTTGTTTTTTCGTTTACACGCGCTGCCTGCAAATCTTCCTCGCGTGTTTTGGTCACCCGTCTACTATTGCTTGCGCCTTTCTTCTAATCTTGATATTACGGCTGGCGTTCGAGCAATTGCTTTACGATGATGTGTGCATAGCATCGGGCGTTGGTTCTTTCTAGGATATATACAATCAATGGCTTTGCTATATATATATTTCGGTTATTCATTCGTATTTTGGATGGGTTTGAAATTGCTTATATATCCACTATGGAGATCATATATCCGTGCTGGAGAATCCCACTCGAATAAAAGGCCTACGAGCAGGAGTCGTGGATATTTCTCGCACTCTCAACAACAACAAGTACACAAAATGAGAATGCACAAAACACTTCCCACAAAGTATAGCACATGCCCACCCACCCACAGGCACCCACACACAAGAACAAGTACTCCATCTCTCGCACCTTTTGCAAAGGCTCGGAAACCTGCCATAGTGAAGGCTGAAGAGGAATCGGTATCGAAACGGTGCTAAAGTAAGATCGAACTAGCGATATAGAGAGGGAAAATGAGAGGTAATTGAGGTGATGCACGTAAGATCTACGCGCTGGTTGGTGAGCAATGGATAGATCAATGGGTATGTCAATAACAGAGATAAATACGACTGCCATGGAGCAATTTATCTAGTACATGTAGCTTGATGAAGAGACAAAGAAACAAAGACCATCAAGTGGCAAAGACAGATAGTCCGACAAACTATAACCAATGCCTCACCTAGGCAGCCCTAGAGTGAAATATGTCTCTTGATGTGTCAGGGCCAAGGAACAAAGAGTATTGTTCTCTATTGTAGTTATTATTAACCATTGATTAACAACGAAATTGTGCTTATACACCTCCCACATGATTTGTGCATTGAATTAAAAATTAATTAAAGAGCAAAAAAGAAATCTCAGGTTTGGTTTTTAGGAATAGCCGAACGCGGGGGTCGAACCCGCAGCCTTAAGATTAAGAGTCTTACGCTCTACCGATTGAGCTAGCCCGGCTGGGCTGTTGTGGAGAGCAGCCATAAAGTGCATTATGAAGGAAAATTAAAGAAATGCCGATCATTATAGTATGGAAACTATGCGATAGACCTGCATGGTGGCGCTCTTGGCGCATATATAGTCTCAAAAGCATATTTACATGTTTCTCATATACTGTACAATATACTTATAGTTACTATGCTTACTGTAGTTACTTAACAGTTTTGAATGTGTTAGGGAAACCACAGTGGGGAATATATATTTACGCACTTATCTCAAGTATATCTTATGTCTTCTTCCTCTTTTTCCCTTTCTCTCTTCAACTCCCCTCCACATTAGAACCGCGGATAACTTTTGTGTGAAATCCTTTGGACTAAAAACTATATTCCGGTTATCTCAACTATATGCCCGATGAGTCACTGACACTACGGATTCCTCAGCCAGGGAGGTCCGTCGCCAGCTTGGTAACGACTGCAGGTGGGATTATCAACCCCCCCCATCTAGAGTCACCTATGCTAACATGAACAAGAGAAAGCCTAGCATGGGGTGGTTCACAATCTGGACTCAATCTCCCGAGGAAGCTCATATATGATGATGTCACGAAAGCCACGTAAGTGTTACTTGGATCTTTCGGTCGGATCCGTACCGACCATGATGAGCTGATTATTCCCAGGGTGGAATGGCTTGCCGGGGACAAGCCAAACGTCTGACATAAAATTGCCCAGCCGCTAGACAGCGCCGATTGGACCCGGTAATCGACACGGAACTGCCCGAAGACGGCTTTGCTGCAGCTTTCTAATGCCAACGAATCGAATTTTCGGGAATGACGAAAAGACATCAATGAAAAATGAGTCTCACTGGCTTCTTCTGGTGCTCAAGCCACGTCGAAAGGAGGAGTTGACACTCGTGTGGGTCCCAAGTTTGATCATGGTCTTGGTGAATCGAAAACGCGAAGCGAGTCCGATGTCACGAGCCGTTTGATAAGAATGCATTCCAGGAAGTGAAGAGAGGAAGCGGCGTCTGCTTAATTTGAAGACGTTCTAGACACCGACAATGATGGAAATATTGATGCTACCGAGCATGAAGAAATCGAGCGAGCACGCGATATCGAGAACTAGGAGACGGCCAAAACCTGGGAACAGTCTGCAGACAAGTCGCAAATAAGCGATGAGAATCGTCATCCGATGGCTCACTTGGGTTTGCCATCAGAAAAAGTGGAATGTTCGGGGCATGGAACAGTCACAGGTCTTTATGGTCGCCCTTCACTCCCCCGAAAAATACCATCAGTATTTTGATCAACACATCAGCCAGCCTAAGGCGATTTCTAAGACCGGCTGGTCTTGATAACCTCCGATGAATTTTTCCAGAGGCTCTAGATGCCAATATACTCATCGCGGGTTTTCTGGCTGTTCTTTTTGAAAAATTTGAAACACATGCAGGATGTGTACGGCGAGGTATGGCCGTTAGAACTACGAGGAGGTCTAAGTGCAATAACCCACAATGTATGGCTATCACTTCACCCCGAAATAACCCAACGGAAGAATATCACTTGGTGGATGGGCAGTTCGCTTTCTGAGCTCGCATGCTATCATGCCGATGACATTTGTTCGAGTTGCTACTCTTCCCTGTGAACCCATGCCCAACTACCAGACGAAGTATTTGTTGAGCTTCGCTATGCTGCAAGATACTATCAACGGTGGAGCAACAATGACCGAATGCTCGAGCGTGAGATCAGGTGTGACAAATTCGAAAATCCTACCACTATCATCTTTATGGTGTCACACCCACCACATCAATTATGGCTTCTTCCTCGCTCGTCTATTACAGCTCAACTGCTCATTCACACCAATCTCTTTTCCACCACAATAATCTGAACTGGACACGCTCAACCACATTTCATCACGTTATGGCCCCCACATCATTGAGGCTGACAGGGTACGTGTGGGCCATCGAGATGGGTTTCATCCAGCAACCAGGCCAAGTACTTGGGGCAGTCTTAGAGGCCCAGTCGCGTAACCTCTACTTCGGTGATTTTATGTGCCAAGGTAGCCGGTACGCCAAAAACTTTCACATGGAGGGCCTACAAGATGTTGCTGGCACGAGTATTAAGCCCGTGGGTGAACTAAAGGTACCTTGGGTACCAGAACATGACATTCAGAAAGCCGCCAGACACACGAACGAGCTCAAGCGCGAAATAACGCAGCGACTTCGCGATATGCAATGTCTGGGCTGTCATTATGGGTTCCTGAGTACCTACAACCAGACCATTCTCCTCAAATCTCTGAGTCCTGGTGGGTCATGGGAAGTGTGGTATTCCCGTCCCATCTTCTTGGCTACGTCTTATACGCTGATCAACCCTATCTAGCCCACTCAGGCCACAGCTCTCAATGAAGCAATGCATGTTATACTTATGTAGTCTGGAAATTCAAGCGAATTCTGTAACCAACCCGACTGTGTCCATTCTTTTCTATTATCTTTACTGGGGAAATGGTGATGGTATGTCTGCGTATGAGCATCGGAACCTTTGGAATCTTAGAAGGTTTACGATCATTAAAATGTCCGCGCCAAATTTCGTATCTAGAATATTCTGCTCTCCATGAGTTGGCAAAGTAAACACCAAGGCAAGTACCCTCATAAGCTTTTGCTTCCTATATTTGACCGTGTCTTCTTATAGAATCATACCTAAAATGTCAATGTCACCGAAATCATACCCTGGCACTGCCAATTTCATTCTGGCACGCTTCCTGGAAGAGCTCGAACTACCCGATTCCAGTATATATACTGAGCCCCCAAAGCAAAAAGGGAAAAGGCCCGCCCAACAAGATGCCAGCCATCGTCCGGTCAAGGTCCTGACACAGGCTGTGCCTCTACGTATGGCGATAATGTCTTGCAAATTTGCAGACCCGCTACGTCCATCAACCACGACAGTCCCTCCGGGCTCACATCCTCCACTTTTATCAGCCCCCAAACCACAAAAGTCATTCCAACCCAACCAAAATGGGAAGCGCGTTCACATTCAATTTCAGAAGGAGTTGTGGTTTTTGCGAGTCTCTAGGTCTAGGCCGGAACTGACTAATAAGAAGGAGAAGTTGGGCTTCGACGTGGATCTATGTATCACAGTGCATAACTGTGACTGGGGCTTCGCGTAGAAGGTAATGAATGCAACGTGTTGATCACTAGATCGTAGCAGAAGACAAGGCTCCTGTTTATGGCCCAGGGAGGCTATGTTCTTGTTTTATGTTTGGTATTGACCTTTATTGACAGCACAAAATTGACCTACGTGATTTTCTTGGTTAATGTAGCATAATCATTTATTTAATAGGCAGTTCCAGTCACATGGATCGATATAATATATGGAAAAGTAGTAGTTTTGTAGATATTGTGTTGCGGTTGATTGTTGCCTGGTGTCTTAGGTGTCAATGGCCCTGATATCATAACATTCCAAATGATTCTTGAATTAGAGACTGTGCCGCACCTCACCAGATACATCTAAATGGAGAATGAGATAACGTGGGATATATGCCAAGGATGCAATCACCGTTACTACCGTTACCAATGACGTCTATGCGATAAGGGAAATGGGCAAGGATAGAACAATAGGCCAAAATCATTCAGTCTCAGCTCGTTTCAGCTCGCATTTGCACTGACACAGGGGTATTTCGGCCTTCCGTCGGCTATACTACTTAACGTGTAGCGTAAGCCCTGTGGGCCCGGTGTGCCAACGGGGTGAAAAACCCGGGGGGCCCGAGAGCCGGCGCGGGGCAGGAGTTGCAGTATGTACTCCATAGAAAAAAAGAAAATATTAAGATCTAGATCTATTATAGCCTATCTAACTATTCAGCCACTTACGATGTCTGATCCTCCGAAACATAAAACGTTTTTTGCACATTCACCCCCTGGAAGAATGTGCCGCCATTTGTCGGATTCAGATCTTCTTGGCTACTCGTCCGGCTAGCGTCAGATCCATTCGAGGTATGGATCGTCGTAATCACCGTAGGCTGGTCTTCCCGGTCTAGGTCGGGTCGCCAGTATTGTGGGTTGGACGTGCTGGAGCGTACTCCGTTCACACTTGAGAGCGGCATGCTGCCGCCGGTGCGTTTTGTTTTGCTCTTGCTTCCGCCCATCGAGCTGGGGTCGCGGAACCAGCGGAATAAGGGTCGGAGGGTGACTAGACTGCCTGCGGCGATTCCGAGGCCGGCTTCGACATTGGACCAGATTGAGATGTTGGCGGTTGCGTCTGTTGGCGTTGGTATTAGTTGTTGCTTATTGATTGTATCGGGTGCATATAAGAATAGAAACTCACATAGGAAGTCGACGTCCTTGTAATCGTGCAAGAAGGGAATGCGAATAATGACTGCTGCGCTTGCACTATATCCCAATAAGTCAGTGCCAAGTCTCATTCCAGGGTGTCAAAGGGTAGACGTACATGCATCCCATTCCTAGAATGCCTGCCAAGGCAGACTTGGTCCTTAGGTTCATTTGCAAGTTCCACACTAGGGCAATAGGTAAAAGACCCAGGGTGAGATCACAGAGTGTAGCAGTGATACTGTAGACATAGGCTATGGCAATGATATTGTCGAGCTCCATGCAGGTACCGGTAATCACAACTTTAGGGTTCGTATAGACGCGAACTCGTTGCCAGAAGAATTCAACCGGTTGGCATTGCAGTGTCAACATGAACCAGAAGACAAGACCGACAGTACAGGTGACGCCAATGACAGCCCATAATACGAGTTTATGGGCCTTGGAAACCGTCAACCGGAGGAGGGCGGATGCGATGGAGAGCTTGGCCAGCGCGCAGGTCCAGACATAGCTAGTTTGGCCGAGCCACCACCACTTTTGGGATTGTTAACATGTGATTCTCATCTCGTAAGTGAAGGGAGTCGAAGGTCAACATACAAACATAGCCGTTTCCATCGTACCCCTCTCAATGAGTGTATCGAGTTTTTGTCCGATTCCATACAATGCGCCAGTGATACCGCATAGAGCGAACAGGATGTTCATTAACTGTAAATCAATCAGTCCTGACCGCGATTTTGCATGAAACCTATACATACCATTGCGCATACCATAAAGGTATCATCCCAGCCAAAGGCCTTGACAAGTCGGAGCCGCACGAAGCATCGTAGACACACGGCAATAAAGGAAATTCCAAGAAAGATAGTAGTAACGATGAAGATTGACTGGCTGCGACCTTCGAGGGGCAACATATTGACCCGAAGAATGAATATACGGTCACCAAGTCATGACCTGTATAGTTTCCCCTATAAAGTATACAAGGATGTCCGAAGGAGCAACAAGAATAAGATATATTAAAGAGAGAGAAATGTTATAATAAGTAAAAATCCACTACCGCAGATCAAGCATTACAATTACGAGCATCAGTGGCGAGAACTTACCAAGGGGGACTAATAGGGACTAATGTGGTGGTGTTCTCCGTGTTTTGCAGTTTTCCGTAAATAAAAAGGACCAAAAAAGCAAAATAGGCAAAAAGAAAATAGCCAGACGCCATCAAAAAGCTCTAATGATCCCCGAACCAACGGTCAATACATACGCTTGTTAAAATGGGGTTAGACGTCTCCAACAATGGGCTCTGTGGCAGGAATTAGGGCAAATATCTAACTTGAGAAGGTTTCACCTGTGGGGAGAATGCGAAACTCTGGAAGAAAAGGAAAAAAAATTGTCCTTTTCCCAATATTAACCATCGCTTCGAATGTTCCATTCTTCTGCATAGACGGAATTCAAACCCTGACATTTCCATGTGGAAAAACCTGCAGGGCATTCTGAATACGACCTTCGGTTTCAGATGCCACCGCTCAAGCCTCTCTCATCGGGTACTTTGTAAAAGTATATCCGAAGCACGCACAGGCCTCTTCATCCATGAATCGAGGTCCAGCCAAATAACCGACTCCACTGATTACCGCGAATCAAATTTAATCGGTGGAGTCGATGGCTTGAAAAGATGGAAGTCCGTGTGTACTACCACGATGCTACCGTGATGCTAGTGCCGGGACTATTCTAGAACGGGCAGCAGTTATGGACAATCCGCTTTGAAGTTTCCATGGAAGGAGAACTCCTGTCTATCCCAAACCCTGTTAACCCTGTTAACCTTGTTGCCAATTCTCAGTTGGGGCTAGGCGATTATTATCTTGGGTGTCATTGCCACGGAAAATATTGGCAATATTTGACAATCTACGGAGCACTTGCTTCTCGGAATTCGTTTTGATATCGAGATCTGATATGCAAACTGGGTCGAGGCTCTTAAGGGGAGAGAGCATTCGAAATAAATGCGATCTGCATTCTACGGTTGACCGCGGGTCGGGAAATTACCTAATAATTCTGTGACCTGGACAGCCCTGCCCACTTTCTCTAATAAATCTATTGTGTGTTAACCTATACGGAGTATCCCTTACAATATACGGAGTAAACTATTCCACTTATAGACTAACTTATACTCCCAAAATTAGGTATATTATCGGCACCATACTCTCGGGTCTTGGGCCTGTGCCGAAACACTATATCTTCAACTATGGTATAAGATGGGGCCCTCGTATTTTGAAGGGTCTAGCAGATCAAAGTCAAATTACTCCGTACAAAACAAAGTACTCCGTACTCCGTACCGACCTCGGTTTTACTTTCGGGGAACACCTGGGGCTGAGAGGCTGATCTCTGCCAAGTCTGGGTTCCCGAGGCCTCGGGTGTACCTGCTTTTACACATGGGAATACCTACTCCGGAATACGAGGGGCTATTGGACTTCATACTTTGCTGTGCCGTGTCCCTAATTCACTCTTATAGACTGATCATCTCCCTTCCATGTGACATCCCGTCTCCAAGGTTGCAACGATCTCTACCCCAAATACGCCCTCCAAATTTGGTGACCAAAACATTTTGTGAATTCGCTACATAATACAAACTCGCATGCTTGAAGCCAGATCGAATATTTACATATCAAGTCGCACGCGCATGTTTAATCAAGTAAGGCCTCCAGGGCAAACTTACTTCCACTGAGCAGCCTTGGTAGCCTGGAAAGTCTTCAGGATGGCGATCACCTTCTCCAAAGCAGCGACCTCCTTAGCCATCTCGGCGGCAACCTTGGCCTGATCCTGGCCCAACTTCGCATAGAAGTCCTTGCGGTATGGGGTGGCAGACATGGCAGCGCTGAAGATGGGCTTAACAAAGAAGGAGTGGTGGGGCTTGAGGGTGTTGCCGTAGGCACCACGGAAGGAGTCAGAGAGTTCCGAGGAGGAGTTGTCGATGTTGTGACGGAGGGCTTGGACGGTGAAGTCCAGGCCTCTGTTGGGAAGAACAATAATTAGTCAATTGTTCATGCAGATGTGTGCAAATAGAAGAGATGCCATTGCAACTAGTCTCTTCCGTCACGATGGAGCCATGTGGACATACCGGACCAGCCAGACCAGACCTTCAGTGGCGACGTGCTTGCCGGTCTTCAATTCGTTCAGGACAAGGGCCTGCAGGGTCTCAGACTCTGCGGGAGCTGCCTGTTGACGCTCACGGACTTTCTGGGGGAGGTTTAGCATGTGTTGACACCGGTGATGGAATGTATGGAACGGACCTTGATGTTGCCGAGCAAGTCATTCTTGACCGGGGTGAAAGCAGCAGAACCGAGGACATCTAGATGGGTCCTGCATTAGTTTGAGGTAGATCTATGCAGGGCAACAGCACCCACCAAAGAGAGTCACCAGAGACTCAGCGGCCTCGAGGAACTCGGTGGTCGAGATGCCATCCTCCGCACCGATAGGGACATCAGCGAAGGACTTGTTGATGGTATCAAACCATGTTCCGTCAGCGGGGATAGCAGCCATTTTTGTAGAGGAATTGAAGTAAGAAAATAGACAGTGGGAGAAAGAGAAAATAGCTTAATGAGCTTAATCAGGAGACCGTTGGATATTGTCAACTTCACCGCTGCTGCCACGCAAGCCAATGGCGGGGCACACGGGGGCATGGAGACGGTGCAAACAATGTAAACAGGACCAACACGGTGAAGTGTCAATATTTTGTTTGCGATGTTTGCAATGTTTGCATAAAGCTTGCAGCGACGTCATCGGATCATGTTACATCGAGATTCGCGATGAACTTTATTTGGAGTTCGTGCAAGTTCGTGCCTGGGCCATCTGCTTGCTCCTGCATATGTCTGGAGCATGCCCTTTTGGTCCACGAGGGTACTACGATAGTACATTGTCATGAGTTCTCCACCCGAGGCTAATGGGTCGCGACCAGAAACCGACCCACGCTCGTACCATGAACATTATCATGGCTTGCAGACTGGCTCATACACAGACCAACAGCTGGTATGTCTCTGTATATTGGGGGTTGGGATATAGAAACTGACCTGGTATTTCTTAACAGCGTCATGCTTCTGCCAACCATTTGCATATGACGAACCGGCGATTTTTTGTCGGTCCAATTCCAGAAGGCTGGCTGCAAGGTCATCGCAAGTCCTGGTATAAATCTCGACTGAGAGTCAGAAACTATACATCGCAGACCGTCTCGTTCTCTGCAGACCCCGTTGCGACCCATTACGGTGAACAGGGTGATCGGCTCGGCCCATCGTTACCCGATTTGGATGAAGAAGCCGCCCTCGCGCTCACCAACACAAGCACGGAGGCCGTCGAGACGCAAGATGATGAGGTGGAAACAGAGACACAAGAAGAAGAAACTGCAGCAGAGCCTGTGGGGGAACTCCAGACCCTAACCCACCCTGAAGCTGAGGCCAGCGGTGACGATCCCTTACCGGAAGAGGACACAGAGACAAGTGAACATAGCGGGAGAAATAACGAAGAAGGTAGCGGAGGGGATAGCGGAGACGACAGTGGAGAGGATACAGACAGCACCCCCAAAGCCAGGACAAGCGGGCAAGTCGACATATACGGCAATGATGTTTCTTCGTCTTCGTTTGTCACCGCCAGAGAAGAGGCTGCCAGCTCTACAGATACAGGACAATCAATAGCCACCATACGAGCTAGCAGATTGGAGCCCCCTGAGTTGCGACCACAGTCCCCGGGCTCACAAAACACAAATTTGACTGGTCATTATTCTCCCAACCCACTGACTCCCAATCCATCCACGGTTCCAAGCGAGGCCGATTCAGCAACACAGTTGCTTCGACGCGAGTACAAGGATAAAGGGAAGCAGAAAAGCAAAGCATCTGGCGTGTCTCGAGCAACGCTTCAACACCATGACCCACAAGATGAAGATGATGCTGGCGAAGATGCGCAAGTCCAACGGCGCCTCACTAAGAAGGTGGCAAAGTTCAACCTGGATGACAATATCAGACATAGGAAGCAAAAGATGCGCTCCAAGATTGCAAAGACCCAAGGTATTATCTCTGCCAATCGACCGCACCGGCGAAAAGTGCAAGATGGAGAGATTGTCAAAGCAGAGAAAATGTTGGTTTGCGTGGAGGAGACTCTGCAGACCACACTTCCCGCCGATTACACCGAGAATGACAGCCTGCGTATGGAAACACGGACGATGGACAAATGGAGGGAGTTTCTCGTGGTATGCCGCAAAATCTCTGCAGAACACACGCCATTTGCCATTCAGATGTACCGCACTCGTGTAATTCCTGATGTACAACGATCGAACAGCAAAACGCCTCCTTATTACGAAGTACGGCTCAGTCACAGAGATACCCATGTTAACCTCTATTCCCCACTCGACAAGACCATCGTTATTTGGCGTCCCTGCAAGCGCGGAACCAAAATATTTATCCTTCGTCCAAAGTCCGCGGCGCACTCTGCTGAATGGTTCACTTTCATTCGCCAAGTGCTTGGATGGCGGCGTCCCACCTCACTCCCTATTAACGTCCCTGATTTGGGGGTTTCCCTCACTTTCAAAAATCCTTTCGACCAGCTCGAGACAGAACTGAAAGCAGATAATTCCGATAGTGAGCACGCTGCAGCAGTCGATAACAAATATGCTGCTGCTACCATCATTCGAGTATGCATGGAGATGCTCGAAGGCCGTGCCGAGTGGGCCGAGGTCTTGAAAGCTTGGTCCAAGACCGAGAAGATGGGACTTGCTTGGAAGCGGTACGATCGACTTGAATGGATTTTTGGAGTCAACGAGGAAAAGATGCATGGGACCATGGCGATGCAATCATCTCACGAGCTTGAGTTACGTCCAAGACATCATTACGCTACTACAATTAGGCATCGGGGCATACAGGAGGAGCCTGCCCCGATCGAAGGATTTCTAGTCCGTCTCACATCCCAGAAGGGTGTGCATCAGCGGATGAACAAGATGTTTTTCAAACGGTTGTACTTCTTTACCCAAGATCATTATTTGTTTTTCTGTCGGCCAGCCAAGGCATTCCCCCCGCAACCGCCGAAATGTGCTCCCCCAGAAGACGGAAGTATACCAACTGCCCGTGAAATCTTGAAGCAAATGCCGCTCTCCTGGGATATCGATCCTTATCCACTTGAAAATGGCGAGATTACATGGCTTTCCAGCGGCAATCAGGAATTCGTGAAACGGCATGATGAAGAGGCTTATGCGCATGTGCAGAGGAATACACATAATATCAGCCAAGCAGATGGGTGTATCGATATGTGTCGGGTGCAAGAAGTCCGCCATGTCTATCGTGGCAGCTGCCCTGCCGACCCCAACATCGGGGAAGGACCTTCTGTAGACTTCCATCCCGAACCCAGAGACTCACGACAGGATGACGGAGCAACGCGAGAGTTCGATGACCATAGGACATTTGAAATGGTTCTCGATAATGGTCTTGTCATTCGACTCCAGGCATACGATGGTGCTACACGGGATGAGTGGATCAAACGACTCGATGCGCTTGTGAAGTATTGGCACACTCGCTGCGCAGATGATGCCGCGGAACTGAAGGCCGTACGGAAGCGCAATCTCAAGCTGTTGGATATCGACGAAGCTATGGAATCTGTTATTGGCCAGTTCGCAAAGAAATGGGAAGTGAAGAAAGCCGAGGCATCTCCATACTTGCACAACATGTGCTCCCTGTCTGGTTGTCGGACTATCAAGGTAGGTCCATCATAACATCATAACATCAGACAAATACATGCACAACTTACTGACATGAACAGATGTCCGGCCACCTCTTTCGCAAGCCCCGTCGCCACACCACTTTCCACCAATGTCATGTCATCCTCACAGCAGGCAAGCTGTTAATTTTCCGAAGCACACTGCGCAGCCGAACCGGCACCGAGATTCCACACATTCATCAAGAACTTGAAGCGACCATCGAGCTGGAAGACTGCTATATTTATTCTGGTTTGATTACCGAGAACGACTTGCTGTATGCCAATCAGACATTTGACAGTAATAACCCTGGTCTTCATGCTCTGCCACGGGTGTACCTCGATTCAGATGCCTTCACAAGTCGCGACGAGGACACCGCCATCACCTTCGTGGTCTGGCAACCCTTGAGTAAGAGCTACTTCCGAGCCCAGGAAATAGGGGAGGAAGGCAAAGCCAAACGATCCTTGCGTCATGTCTCTACGCTGGGTAAGCATGGCCGTACCATCGTGTTTAAAGCACGCAGTCGTGTGGAAAAGGACCGTTGGGTGATGAGTATTTCCTCGGAAATCGACCGTCTCCAGGAAGAGAAACATGAAGATATACGGCTTGTTTCTCTATAATTGCTGATTGCATTGCCTGCATTTGCATTTCTCGGCCATTCATGCTTCCTCTTCTATTGGTATACACCACTTTGCTTTCATCTTTTCTAAAATCCTCGGGAACATCTTCCTTCTACTCGCATACACATAGCACAGCATATTTTTACCAAAAATAGTAATACAATGATATCCAAAAGACGCTCTAAATATATGTGCAAGTCCAAGTCCACAACATCATCAGACACAGGAGAATCCAGCTCTATCAACAAATACAAAAGAACATGATATGCCAGACCCCATCTATAACCAGCCAATCAGTTCAACAAGGGCTGTTCGAGCTTAACAGCATTCTTCAAAACACGATCCCGCACGCTCTTTCCATACAATTTCGCACCCGCATCATCCGTCGACGCAGAATCTTTCTTCCCAGATTCCCAATCCGTCCACTTCAACCATCGCATCCGCGGCCCCAGCACCGCAAATACCTGCCCAGTAATTAAACTGAGACTAACAGGCCCATACGTATTACTATCCAGCGTCTTCCGCGGATCCTCCGCATCACCCTCCAACCAGACATGATTCCAAGGGACGATCTGTGTTTGTCGCAGACACGGCTCGCGAGTCGTGATCCGGTCACCGGGTAAACCGATAACGCGCTTAATAGCGATATGAGCCGGATTTGCAGGGGATCTATATATGTATTGTTAGCATTGGTTGCTACTGTACTCTCTATAAAAAGAAACAAGGTATAAGAAAATGAAACGCAGAAAAACTCACCGGAAAGTAACAATCATTCCTCGTTCTAGCTTCCGTTCCTTTTTAAACGGCGTTAAAGATCCCCACGGCCACATGTTGACCATCACTATATCGCTCTTCGTTTGTGTTGTCGCATACTCCTCGTTCAGGTATGGTGTCATTGACGGCCCGCGAACCCACATAACCTGCATTACGTGTTCTGGGAAGAATAGTGCGATCGGGAGTATGGGTGCTGCCCAGCGGAGAGTGCGACATGCTCGTCGGACTGGGTATGGGATGGCGGAGATGCGTTGGCGGATGTTTGTGATGAAATGTGAGATGAATGCGGATCTTTGTTTGGAGAGGGATGGGCCTTCGGGGATAGTGGGTTTTATGATTTCGGGCTTGGGCTCTTCGCGGATTTGGACTCGGAACCGTGAGTTGGGGGTCGGGGTTGGTGTCCCTCTTGGCCGTTGTGGTTTCGACATTTTTGGAGTTGAGGCGGAGGGAGGAAGGGAGGGGGGTCTGCGGGGGATTGATTGTATTGGAGATGGGGTGTTTAGCTCAGGTAGGCGAGTCTCATTGTGTAGCTTTGATTATTCAGAGGGAATTACCCTTGCAATTGGAGTTGAAGTGGTCTCAAGCTGGAATAACGATCAGATGCGATCTGATACGGAGTTTGCATTGTTTGCATCTGATTTACTAGTTCACCCATGGAGTGGGCTGACGCCGAGACAATTGTCTTTGTAGAAGATAGTACAAGAAAGAATAGAAGCTGCTTACAGACCTATCTCAACAATAAATATCGCTCTTACTGATGCCACAGCTCTACCGGCAAGTATGGGTACGAACTGGTCGGTATTTCATCCTCACCTTATCTCCTACCAGTACAGAGAAGGAAAGAAATTAAGACTTAGAACGGCATTAATCAACATTCGCTTTTAAGCAAAATAGTACAAAGGGAGAAAGAGTATGCTTCGTTGAAATCATGTGATGGCAGTCGTGAATCGTGTCGGGGGCATGTACCAACATGCCTCCACTCTGCGCATGCCGAGTGAGGCGCGCAACATTACTTTAGCATAGCGATTCAAGTGTCGCTGCTCTCAGCCAAGTCCTCCTCTGTGGGAGGGAAATACTGCCTACAATCGTTGTCAGCATCTGATCAAGTGTGAGAAATGGGACAAGCTTACGGAATGAATTCCTCATATGCGGTCACATCCTTTTGCTCAAAGTTGCAGAAGATGACACGCTCCAGCTTTCCAATACCAGGCCCGACGAGGAAATCTCGCACTTCTTTGATAGCATCTTCGGCGGCTTTTCGACTGGGATAGCCGTAGACTCCGGTGCTGATAGCGGCGAAGGCGATGCTCTTCATGTCGTTTTCGACTGCCAATTCCAGGCTGCGTCGGTAGCAGGATCGAAGAAGCGTGACTGGGTACTCTTCTTGTCTGTAGACTGGGCCGACTGTGTGGATCACACGCTTGCAAGGCAATTCGTAGGCGGAGGTGATCTTTGCGTCGCCAGTCTCACATCCTTCAAGATCGTAGCATTCTTCAACGAGCTTGGGACCTGCGGCTCGGTGGATTGCACCATCCACACCACCACCTCCGAGGAGAGACTCATTCGCAGCGTTCACAATGCAGTCCACTTGGAGCTTGGTGATGTCATTGCGGATGATGGAGATGGTGTTGTTGAGAGACTGGGATGGGGCAAATTTTGAGGACACAGGAATGAGATGCTTCGCGCGGTACAGAAGCGCCACGGTGGGTATATCAGCCAGGGACAGAATTGGTGACATTATGTAGGAAAAGCTAGGCGAGACTCCGTGAGGAAAGGAATGATATTTACTATGTTTTGGACTGGAAGCTCAAGTGGGGAAAGGCCAAGCTATGTGCACAGACCACAAAGTCACCTGACACGGTTATACATTGCAGTTGGAAGACTTTACCCTGTGAAGGAGAGAGACTTGATGGAGACAAGGGGTACGGAGTACTCCGTACATATACCCATACTATCGTAATCTGTTTCTAAATCAGCCCGTGATGAAGAGGGTAACATGCATCATATAATATATATCTATGAATAAATCTCGCACATGAGGCCAAGCACAAAAGAGGAAATAATACCAAGTTCAAATGTCTTATCTCCTATGGATGAGAGTATCATAAAAAATCCCCTGCCCATATATCTGATAGGTCCGATAAATACTGACTCGCGGTATATGATACGATACTCATCATGTCGATGTCTGTTCGTACTCGCACAATGAGTTCCGACTACGAATCATCCCGCTGCAATGTACTCCATACGGCAAGCTGCATTGCATTGCCGCCTGCACCCAGCCTAAAGAGATGGATGTGCCGCTCAACCCCTCGAGGGCCACTATCATTGGCTCTATAAGATCCGAGGCGGAAAAGGTACGGTCTGTATCTGCTTATAAAGGACTAGACCGCCAAGCCCGGGATTTGGCATCGTGGACAGAGGGGGCTACTGGATCAATACAAACCAATTGATTGGCGTAAGATCTCGGTGGCTTTTGGCACATGGTTGCCGTTTTCTCTGTGGATCTTGCCACACAATTTTGAGGTTTACGGTTCGTGCAAATCCCGACACTAACAAGAACTGGAGATGGAATCATACTGCCGTGATCCTCGCCTTGACTGCGTTGGGATTAGGTACCTTAGGGTCAAAGAGACACCCCCCTTTTAAAGATATCAAACTGAGAAAAAGGATTCGGTATCGGGGATCAAATTACGGTGTTCATAGGAAATCGAGAGTGGATGCTGGCCCACTATCCACCGTGCAGACCCTGTCAGAACCTGTCAGAACCTGTCAGAGCAGCCGTGAACCGCCGTGGACCGCCGTTTTCACGTCAGTTCCCCTTTCAACTGGTATGACATGGATCTGCGGGGACCCAGCCCATGTGTTTTTTCTTTTTTAGCGGTATATTTGACGATTGCCGATCCTTCGGTTCCAAGGCATTTTTCAGGGTGTGGGTTTTTTTTTTCCACTAGTTCATCCACTCTTTTGAACTAAAATTGGGCCAGGAAATGAGAAAAGAAAACTCTCTAGAAGGGCGAACCAGTTCTTCTCCATTTAGAGCCAGAAAAGTACAGGTGGATACGTATTCTGAGAGATCAAAGCGGGAAGATTTTGTACTTTTGGATTTTCTGGAAGTAAGAGCCGGAAAGGATGTGAATGACAAATACCTTGTCCATAAATAAAAACAGTACTCCGTACTCTGTATATCCTCACAGGAACCTGACAGCTGTCAGATTCAAAGTAATCCAATCATTGGAATAGCTCAGATATATAAAAAAAAACTCTATTCAGCGTCATTAGAGGGCTCTCATTCGTCCAAAGACAAAATTAATATGGAAATGGGCCAGGCTAATGCAGATGTCAAAAAGTCTTGTGCATAATGTCACTCTGCAGCTTATGGACCCTTGATTCGACTTTGGCTTTCTCGGTTAAAAGGATTTGGAATACTTAAAAAGTACTATTTTATCTGAGACGAAGATGACGGGGATATCAGAAATATCACATATCTCACATATATACGGAGTATCGGATACCCTATGTTCCGAGCTTGGAGCTTATATACCTTACTGTGACACGGGGAAAGGTATCATCCACTATGTCCAATAGAGAAACGTTTAAACCACGACCGAGATGTGACCGAACCCGATTAAAATTTGAGATCGGAAGGATTTCCGGTGCATAGGATAGACTACTGCATGTGCAACGTATTCCTGTACTTTGTTCCTCTGGAAATGGTCTCCACAGAATACGACGTAGATCAATCCTTTCGAACTAATTGATACAAAATATGCATATAGGCACGGCACATATGGAAGAATTCCAAATGTACCCCGAGAGATCCCCGAGAGCTTTCTTTCTACTCCGTAGTTACGCCAGTCTCTGTTTGGTATCCCGAGTAGGATATACAGAAGTACCTAAAAGGCATCAGAAATGGCGATCTGCTTAAAATAGATATCTTCGATACTTCCCGGACACAAAAAAAAGCGCTTACAAAGTATCAGGGCCTAGAAACAACGATACCCCACATGGTAGCAAATCTCCAGACACATTCAGCTTCTTTCCCTCAGCCGTCTCGACCCGCCAAAAAAAAAAAAAAATACCCAATTTTGCACGTGTACGGAGTACGTATATCATTGCTAGCAGCACAGACTGATCATAAAAAATCAAGTATAACGAGCACAATCTTGTCATAATGTGATATTCACGAGATGGAGCCATGGAAACCTGGAGGGATAGTCACTATCCACTTATATCCACCGGCGGATCTTAATTAATCCAAGCCGTTTTTTTCTCATTTCCTCGCGTGGCTGAGTATGGAGTAGATGGAGTGCAATCTCCCACAATCTCTCAAATCTCTCAACCCAATCTCCGTTCGTTCTCGGCTTCCGCCTATTTACCATGTGGATTAGACCTTCAAGGGTTAAGATATTTCTCTTATATGCAATCGTATACGGAGTACTCCATAGACTCGATATATAGAATACTCGGGTCTATTTTCCGTAGAAGATCGTCATGAAGCTACTATTTATGCACTTTGCACATCCGATATTTGTAAAGACGATTCAGGTTCGGGATTTGCGCAGATGCCGAACCTGCAGTATCAGTGGAGTCGAAGAGATTCCTTTTACCATGTGGAGTCAAGTCAAAACGGTCAACCCACTTGTAATCTCGTTAATCTCTCAGAACATTTTTGGCTAGCCCGTATTAGCTACTAAGGGGAAAAAAAGGGAACTTCTCAGAGAAACCCGAAATCCCCGCCGATCGAAGCGGTATGGGCTTGGTGGAGTCTGGGAACGGTCCGGCTTGTCCCCATTTTAATTTTAATTTTCTCTTAAGATTCCTTTCCAGTCTGTCGGGTATATATCCAAGCGAAATGAGTGAACTTATCTGGCTCAGGGGATATTTCATTTAGTGGCAAATAGGAAAATAAGAAATTGATTCTTAGAATGTTTGAGTTGACATAGCGTGTAAAGGGGGATATATTAATGTCAATCATTATAGTACAATAGTACACATAAGATATATTAGAGAATTCTGTCCAAAGTACAAAGTACACATTTTGGAATATAGATCTGAAACGTTTCGATGAGGAGTTCGGTCTATACAAAGTAAAACTAGACATCTTGCACATAAATTCCCGCGAATGTCACTCTTATCCTCTTCCGGCACAATACCAGAAATAACCCTTGCTAGTTCCAAAACCAAGGCCTGTCAATGTCGATGCCGTTCCTTTGCCTTGCATATCCCCGTTGCAGATTCGTCCTGATTTTGAGAAAAAAACGCCAGCCCATTTTTCTCCCTCTTCTAGACGGGATCGGACCCTCTCTTCCTTCTTGTCTTTTGGTCAACCTGCAGCTGTCAACTTACTATTTTGAGACTAGAGATCGGAGAGATTCCCGGGAGTATCCACTGGGCGAATTAAACAATCTCCTGAACCGCCACACTTTAGAATTTCGGGATGGTATATGGGTTTTTGGGTTTGACTAGGCCGGAGATTTGACTATGTACGGTGGTGAACCGTGCTAGAATATCTCGGTGAGGGGATGTCTTGGCTTCTTTTAGAAGATTCGTGGCTGAATCGATGAACCTGCAATCTTAGATTGGCAATTCCGTACTAGTATAGATGCGATAGTTTTTGAGGATGTAGTAGCGCCCCTTTTATGGATGTTGTACTAGTTTGACTTCATCATATGTTGTCTCGGAGAAAAAAGAAATGATAGTCAATGGTCGATGCGCACTAAAATTGGGATCGGATCCTAGCCTCTTACCAACTTGAGGGAATAACTTGTCGCTCCTGGAGATTTTATGATCTGTTTATCCACAAATTCCGAAAAGAATATAGCGTATTAAAACATTCCGGTGGATTTTGTCAGACTTGTGTCAGGGGAGAAACGGTTTTAACGGTTTGTCGATCAACCTACTTACACTGAGATCATGTCTCCAGTTGTCTCCAGTTATCTTTTGTGATTGTCATTTCTCTTTCAACGATCTTTACCTTTACTAGTAGTTGTATCGTTAAAAGTAAAAAAAATAAAAATAGCAGAGAAGGCCAAGACCAAAGATCGGCATCTTCTCCTGATAGCTTGATGTGGGCGTCAAAATCTCTTCGAGAAACTCATCTTATTGGCCATTATATGTCAATATCCGGTGAATTGACGGCCATCCAATACACAAATGGGGCTAGGGGGCGTTGTCAACACGTGAATATCTTCGATGCCGTCAGCCACTTTTCAGGGATTTTTCCTTCTCCACTAAACACCGGTTGAATCATGTATGTATTTGGATACTTTGGAGACCATGTCAACCATGTCATATTCCCTCAGTGGGACGAAGATCTGCAAAAAAAAAAAAAATCACTACCAAGACGTGGATCCTCTGCACTCCTAGTTGCCGTAAAAAGGCAACCAGATATTAAAAACTGGGTTTCCGTATTAAAAACAACCAGGTCAATTGCAGAAATGCTCTGATTCATCGCGACCGGGACCAGTTGCGATTCTGATAGTTCAGATCGCGGGGAAGTCCGGTGCCCCTGATATCCCAGGCACAGACATTTACATCGTATGATGTACAATCGATTTCGATTTCAGCCTCTATTCTATTGTGATCAGTCTCATCGTTATTCTTACTTGCGCCTTATTCCTCTACCCATTTTCGTGCAGGAAATCGCCCAATCGTAGAGAATCACTACTCGGCACATAGGAGTGACCTACCCTGCATGCACTAAATCTCCAGTGCGCACGGAATGTATCGGCAGAGTGGCTGAAATCCTAGGATCCGTCTGGCGCATTGGGCTCTTGCGTCGCAGCGACATGCAGCGACATGCATCGACATGCAGCCGACTACTGTGTAGATCGATTCCACGCACTTGATTTCGGACCCATCAACAAGTCTATTGTGCGATTATGCGCTTATGCGCATCTTCCGAGGGCAAACACCGCCTTGGCCAGTGCAGGTGTGAGAATCAAATATGTATCAGACTCGGGATTTGCTCTTGCTTATATGCAAAAGGATATCACAAATAACCTTGTAGACTGATCTGTGTATATCGTACATGGTATTCGGTACGGTCAAGTGCAGATCAACCTTGGATATTCCGAAGATCTTGAGGCGATTGCCTTTCACCGTTTTTGATTTGACTTTTTAGACCTCCGACCGTTGGACCATACGATGGTATATCGTACATCATTATGGGTCCCTAGTGTCTGTGCGCCGAAGTGTGTTCAGGGAGGCGAATGGGGCCATAGCTAGGTAACAGCTCTAGGATCAGGGATAAAGGCAATTTTCGATTTTCACTCCGTTGTGGAAAAATTGTCCCCTTAAATATGACGTTCGACGTGGGTCCAAATGCACTCAAAAATGGACTCTCCAAATATGAGACTGAGCTGAAGAATAAATTAGTGAATTGAAACGGAGTACGGAGTAGAGGCGGAAACTTCCAAGACACTATAGAAGCGCCGAACACTATCGGGGCCGGGCTTTAATCCGGGATTTTACGCAGGGCGCCTGGAAAGGCAACCGGCCTTTTCTCCTTCCCAGATTCACCTCCTTATAAGTTATACACTATTCTCATGTTATAAAGGGTTTAAAAAGAAGATGGAGTGTCCACGCGATCTCGCCAATAAACGTCCCGTTCGATCGCGATCTAAAGCTTAAGCAACGTGTGTTGCAATACCCTTGCGATCCGATCCTTTTCGGCGGGTACTCAAGGGGGTAGCGTGTTCCGATGAAGAAATTCTTTTTTTATTATTATTATTATTTTCGGCGCCCGATCTTGGCTTGAAACGGGCTCGGAGACGTAAATGTTTGGATATCTTAAAATGTAGATATATTAGAGTATAAGAGATATCTAAATATTCTGAGGGAAATACTGTGAATAAATAATAAAAATAAACAAAAATAAAAATAAAAATAAAAATAAAAATAAAGTCGAGTGAACCATGGAACGTTGTAATCTGGGCAGATCTGACGGTGTAACCTTTCTGTAGAAAAGAGCCCTGTGTACCCCAGAGATCTTTTTTTTTTGTAATACTTGGGGGTTACATGTTGACTTTGTATTTGAGTCATTTGTAACGGGATATACATAGGCTAAAGTAAATCTTCCGTTGCCTTCCGTTTGCCCTGAAGGACTATATACCTTACCCGTGGACCTGACATCATCTTAATAAGCGGTCTAATATAGAGAGGGTTGCAGTTCATAGCCCGAGGCTGACAGATGTTTACCCACTTTGAATCGGAGATCTCATGTGACATATACAGGTACATGATATTTGAAGTGAAATTATTATATCTTGCGCTATTTGTTATAATATATATTGTACTCCGTAATGGATTCTAGAATACTGGAACATCCCGAGGTCCCCTAGAATCACTAGCTTCTTTTCTTACTGGACCACTGCGTCGGTATTCAGCCGTCCCTTAGCACGTTGAGAATCGGCCGTTTCTCTCTCGATCGATCCTTCTGGGGTAGACTAATTTTTCTGTTCTTTTCTTTTCACCATTTGATATTTTACCAAATATGAGTGAGAATATATTGAATAGGTGGATATATAGAACAACATTTGAATATACAATGTTTCCAGTGCAAAAGTAATTACATCTATCTGGATATAAAGCCCGATAGGTATTCCCCCGTAATTTGTGTAAAACCAAGTCATGACGATCTGGCAATTTCCCAGTAATTTTCCCCCTGTTCGGATCTCGATCTATTTTATTTTATTTTTATTTTTTATTTAATTATTTTATTTTATATTATTTTGATAGGCAAAATAAATAAAAATAAAAAATAAAAAAAATTAAGTTCCTGTACTCCTCTCTAAGCTTCCCGTTTTCAATCTAAAGCCCGAAATGAAAGTAGCCTCGATCCCCTTTGATTTTCCCCTTCCCTTTTATATTTATCTCATTCCTTCATATTTGGATTGACATTCCCCATTTCCACGCTTTATATCCCTTGCGCGATCTTGAACTTTTTTTTTCTTTTCTTTTTCTGGATTTTATGCTTTTTCATTTTTGGAGGGGTTTCTTTTAATCTTCTCTATCTCTCTTCTCTTTTCCCATTGATTTTTACTTTGGGAGGAAAGCAGAAGAAAAAAAAAAAGAGGGAAGGTAACTGGTTGACTTCCCACGGGTGACTCGGGCTCCATCTAAACGCCACACCTTCGCCCCCCCGGGATCGTTGGATCTTGGAATCTGGGCCTCTCTTCCATCACCTTCGGCACGAACAGGTGGAACGCTTTTCCTTTTAAAGGCGTTCCGATCTTGAACCGATCTTGAACCTTTGTTTCTTTTTTTCATTATCGCATTTACCTCTTATCAACGTGATGGGGTCTTTGGAAGCCGCACCTAGGCACAGGTTGGTCTCGCGACCTCGCAGTCAGCTCCATAATGCTGAACCTTCAAACAGAGACCCTTTACCCGCGATAGGTTTCCTAGGCAAAGACGGATCGGGATACACCTCCAGACACCCTTCTAGCGCCAACTCTTCTCCAACTCCTCTGATGAGTCCCAACGCCATGTACGGACAATCGCTACCTTACTCCTACGCGTCGAATGCACCTCCAGGGTACATCTCGTCGCCGGAGGCACGTCGCGCCATCGAAGACGAGAAGGAAAAGCACACCCCAAGACAATCCCTCCCATCAATCCACGAGGCCCTCGGAAATGACAATCCTCTCCCATACCCTGCGTCCACCTCCGCTCCTCCACCACCATCTGCACACCCTGCGCCTTCACATCTCATCGGACGACCGAGCGCAGAAGGTCCAGCTGGCCCACCCAATCCCTTTTCAAATGGACCGACGGGACCCTTGATGCGGGAACCCGGTTTCCCTCATCAAGCTCAGTTGGATGCATCGCGCTCCAGTCTCACCTCCATCAACACAGATTCGCGCAACCCTTCACTACACTCCATCAGCACGGGCAAGTCCCCGACACAAAGCGCCAAAACGGGAATCACATCCGTTGGATCGCAAAATTCATCTGGGTATGAATACAGTGCGCCAACCTCCGCCGGTAGCGTGGCTTCGCCCAACGGTTACGGCCATTTCCCCCAAATTACTCCTTCCAACCACAGTCCGGCCACACGTACCCTCCCCCTTACGACAATCGTCCCTACATGGGCGCACCGCGGGTGGAAGAAGTCAAGGGTGGATTTGTGGGTCGACCAGGTCCTCCCCATAACGATTCTGTCAAGCGGCATCTGGATGTCTATGATGTGGAGACATCTTTGAATGAGGTATGGATTTTCCCTTCCCTTTTTTCTCCCCCAAATCGCTCGAGATCATTTTTATTGGACCAAATTGAGAAATGGCTTAATTCACCCGAAATTACATGTGGGCTGACATTGTGGAACAGATCGCCGAATTGAGTACGCGAACCCTAGACTTTTCACGGCACTACGCAGCTCGCGCACATCAGACCCAGAGATCTGGCCCGCTATTAGGATCCCTTCCCTCGCTAAATGAAGTGGAGGACATGCTTCACATGCAACGGCGGAACCAAGATGCCCTGATCCGGATACGTACAGCCGTGGTGAACCAAGAACAGGCCCTCGCCGAACAAATGGCTCAGCGAAAGGCGTTCAAGACCGAAGATGACCACATGGCGATGTACCAAGAAGAGTTCAAAGGCACGGGTGGGTTTGCAGGCGCAGACCCAAAGAAACGGCGTGGAGTAAGTTCTGGAATTTCCCCTTGACGTGTTCAACAGTGGTTGACACCTTGTCAACCCACACATGAACTTTGAGCTAACCATGTTTTACAGAAAGCGGCTCCTCCTGGACGTTGCCACAGCTGTAACCGAGCCGAAACACCAGAATGGCGTCGGGGCCCGGACGGTGCCCGGACGTTGTGTAACGCCTGCGGTCTACATTACGCCAAGCTCACTCGCAAGATGGGCGCTCACAAGGCGGCGAGCCTAGGTTCAAACCTGAAGCCCAAGTCGGTTCTTGACTCCGCCTCACCAACAAGTCATTAAGATTCTTTTTTTGTGGCGTTGAAAAAGGTGGGAAATAGAAGGCAACGGAGTTCGGGCCATTTTCTTTGGGAATTGCTATATTTCCTGGGCATCTTTTTTTTTTCATGTCTTCCCTTTGTGATCTTTTTTTCTTTCTTTTGTTTGGGATTCTTCCTCGGTGCTCTTATATAATACCCCCCAAACAGCTTCCAACTGGGAGAAAAACGGCTTTAGCATAGATATCCCCCTTTGATGATTCAATAGCCATTGGCCTGGTCTGAAACTGGTTTCTTTACTTTTCTGATTTTTTCCCCTTTTACCTGTTCCCCTTCATCTCAATCCCGTTATATGGTTTATACCCTGCATTTTTTTTGTTCCATGTTATGTTCGAGTATGTCCCTGATATGTGTGTACGATGTCTCAGCGTTACATTTATGGTTCATTTACGGTTCCTAGTCGATATATGATATTCGATCTTCAGATTTTATGACTTTCTTTTTCAATGTGGATGTGGATATCCCTGGAATATGGGTTGAATATCGAAATCTCAATTTCTTACCACATGTAGATTCGGCCGTAAATCCTCGGCACCGGTTCTAAAATTACATATGGCATGATCTCACGGAGTTTTCTGGATTAATGGGCGTTAAGCCACACGCATTGTGGCGATTAAAATTTTTTATGGCATGATCCCTTGGCTTTTTGAGGAACACCGATTCGCTATACAATATATATTGTACGTGCAGATTGACTAATCTAGTGGAAATTAATCTTAAATGAAAATTTGTCATTTAATTTAGATGGTTTCAGATCTTTGGATATTGGAGTTCCAACATGTCTCCGTAGAAATCCTCTAAATTTTTTTGCAATAGAAAAAAAAAAGGACTGCTAAATAGATCACCAAGTCAAAGTTTGTCAATTCAACTAGCGGGGTTGGAGTACGATTCGCTGCAAAGTATTTGTGTTCAGTTAATCAGATCCGATCTTAGAGGATCGGGATCGGACATGAGATCTCATTTAGATTACTTAGATTACTTAGATTATTTAGATTATTTAGATTATTTAGATTAAATACAGATTAAATACGGAGTATACCTCCATGGATCTTCCAATGCATATAAGCAATGTACTAGATACCATTAATGTAACATAATATAAATCTAATACTTGCCATCCTATAGCCTCTTTACCACAGACCGCCACATCCCATGTAAGGTATGTACGGAGTACTCCGTAGGTGGATAAAAAGCCGCGTCTCGAAATTTGTCATTGTCGATAAATAGTATAGTTTAGTGCTTAGTTCGTGAGTCCACATGGGGAATCCATGTTCGGAGGAATCCCATCTGCAAGTGGCTACTCTGGACTGGAGAGTTTCCATAGGCTGTTATCACTATACTCACTTAGGAGGTAGCCATCTTGATTATTTACTTTATGATTAATTTGAGGCTTTGTCTTTTGTTTACCTAGTTTAAGTGGGGGTTGACTATATCGGAATATTATTTGCCCAGATCCCGTACATCCCTAGAAAAGGAGCTAGCAGGGTTGGCATCGAATCGATCGAGATCCTAGATCCCACGTTCGTCTATCCTTGTGGGGATCTATACGATTAGCCGTACCCTGTACAAGTATCCTTCGGCTATTCTGTACTATTAGCCCATCTGTACGGAGTACTTGTTCTATAGATCAGAGTCAAAAAGGAAGAAAGGAAAAACGCAGAAAAGGCAAAACGGTCCGTAGAGCCCAACGTGGAAAGAGCCATAGAAGGTACTTCCATTTTGGGACATGCTGACTCATCCAATTCATTCAGCCCCCTAGAGCAGGTGGACACCTGGGGCAGCTATTTTTTACTCTAAACGACATGGCATGATGCTCCTTGCCACAGGATCAAATTCGGACTCGAATCGATTTTCCTTGTGCAAGTAAATTTCATTCTTCCATCGTCTTCCATCGCCGTCTATACTCGCACCGAGAACCAGCCGAGTCACCCCCGGCTCATCTCCATCAACTTATACACCGTTTTGAAGAGTCTGTTCAGTCTGGGGCGACAGACATCGTACGGTCATGAGATAGGTGGCGCTAACAGTGAGAGGAAATATGTGGGTTCTTTGTGAAAATCTCCATATCGTACCGGAGGATCCTTGAGCAAAAAAAACGACTAGCGAACTTTGGCGCATCCATTCACAGCGTCTGGACAACACTGCCGAAGTCCACTCGGCATTTGAGTGAAAAAGTGAAACAGGGTACTCCGTATACGGAGTACATACGGAGAAGGAATATCATTATGGAACCATCTCCACAAGCTAATAATAACATTCTATGTGGACATCCTACGATCCCCTTTTAGCTACTCCGTATATTGTACACCTAAATAGAAGTTGTATTAGGAATTATATGCCTATGACCCTGTTGATCGTCCCTGGCCTGTGCTATCCGACCCATAAGTCTTGGATCGGTGGACGACACAAACTCTATCTGAGATCGTATACGGAGTAGAGATCGCATTCAATAGTTTGATGCAATGAACTGCGAACAGTCCGTTGGTGGGGACGATGACGGATTCTCCCTTTTTGTCAGCACTCTGTTTGGAGTAAATGTCGGTGTATTCCTATGAAGGTCCACGCGAGCTAACCTCGTGGCAGATTGTCAGGAGCTCAAGGGACGCAGGTGGTAGATCGGTATTTAAATCAGGCTCTCGGGCCTCCCGCGCCATGCCGAGTTAGGGGGTACATTTGGAGATGGGTGGCCTAAGTGGAGTGTAAGGTTCTTGTTCTTTTGTTCTTCTATCTTCCCTACTTTAGCTAGTTGTAGTATATGGTGGCATGCTATTTTTCAGGTTGTACAATATAGACTCTCGGACTTGGCCGTCGAAGATGTACTAGAATAACGGACTTGCATTAGTACACCGAATCTGTACATCCTATATGCAAGAATATATTATTATTGCTTTATTTTTTATTTTTTTCTCAAATGCAGACATTACATTACCAACTGCAGCGGATCTATCCGAAACAGGTTCATCATCCTAGGTGTTTTCTGTACTCCGTACTTATTCAGTGAAGAATATCATCCTCACCAAAGACTACAATAGAAGTTAATCCTCAGATCAAATACTCTGATTGGATGGGGACCTAAGCCGGACCCAAACCCCTTCGTTTTCGCGTTGCATTTTGATTCCCCATGGAAGCTGACTCCATATTGAAATCGACTTCTGACTGGAGATACCCTTTTTTTCGGTGGAAAGTTTATCTGATTTTAACCAATAAGAGACCGTGGGTGGGGCAAATGGAGAATCGAATTTACCGGCGGACCGGGACTATTGATTTCAGTTCTGCATTTTCTTTTTGTATTTATAGTACAATATTACTTGGGTAGACACACAGATCTATATATCAGTATGCACTGCAAGCTGCAGGTTTTTTTATTTTTATTTTTCAAATAGTTCTGCATCCCTGAGATCGTGCATCTGCCCGAAACCCCAGATTGAGTACCCGAGATCTCCCGGGAGATGGCTTGCAGGAACATTGTGTATTGAATTTGAATTTAGGAAAAAAAGGAGGCAACCATTTTAAAAACCACTAGTCTTGCATGAAAGTTTCAAATCGTAGAATTTCAGCCCCGCCCAGATCTTGATGATGCAGTCAGGTGCAGGAGATCCTTACTCAAAACATCCTGCGATCTGAGATTGGCTCCAAGCGCCATTGTTAAAATTGTGGCGGTGAGCTTTGGAATGTATAAGGTACAACTGGGTACCCGTCATACCCGCCATGAAAATGGCTGGGGCAGGTATATCGAGGTTCCTCGGCATGTGAGATCCTGTGTGAGTGAATTTAGTGGGCTTAGGCCACGTCACGCATCTGAATTCATTCTGAGCCCATTCTCCATGCGAGTCTGCGTATCTCTCACACAGATGTGGTAAATCAGAATTACTTCGTGTGTGGAGATGGCATAGTTCGTTCAACATTGGCTTTTTTGATGGGACCCGCGCGATAAGCGCCTGGAGTGGGACAGCTTGATTCTCCTGGGATGTGCATATATCCAATATAGCTGTTGACCCACTACTCCGTATCAAGACCTACTATCTATAAATGTGTCTCACTGTGGATTGATTTTTAGAGAGGTTATGGGTCTAGAAAGGGTGAAAGTTGGGGACAAAAAAGGAGTTATTGAATCTTTCGGAGACTTTGGGAGGAAATTGATAATTCTAGAATAAGAGCCCTGAAAATCTTCCTTATAGTGCAATTAAGCTGCGAAATTAAATCCCGATCCCGATCTGCAATTTTTTAGTGCGCAAAATGGGACTATAGATTGCACGTGTCTTCAACTCGCTGAAGTAGTTAAGACATCTTCACTTGGCAATATATATTGTCTTAATTTTGGATATTAAAAGAGAGGAACATACTCCATACTCCGTGAGGGAATAGTAGTTCTTGGCGGCTCTCCCGCGTTGTATTAGAACCATGGTTCAATTGGCTTAAGTTCGGACCAGGATCTCGGGTCCGATTTTCAGAGAACTTCATGGATTGACCTAGAAGCTTACTCCTTGTAGACTGTACCTAGGTATTTTATACCATACAGTAATTTGTCTACCGCCAAAAATCTCGCGCAACTGAGTTGATATAGCCGATCCCGTCTTTGCGCCATGTATCAGCCTCCATATGACTGGTATTAGCATCGAGACAGAGGTCAACAGGCTTGTCCCTGGAATAAGAATCCCAATATACAGGCCCTTTCACAACACCCGGGTTTGGATCGAGGTCATGGATAAAAGATGCCCACATGCTCGCCATCATGGAACTGAGGTCAATGTATGAATGCGGCACCCCATCAAACGGTTTGCCATAGTGATATCCCAGTCCGGCAATGTTGTGAAATACAAAGGATACCTCCTCGAAATGAGTCACGCCTGAAAGGGGTGGCACATCTGCCGAGCGCACATTGAATCGGTAGCAATATGCTGGGGTTGATGTCTCGGCCCATGTTTCACACTGCCGCCGGCGATTGGCATGCATGAAGAAGTCACC